AAATACCTACACAAAAATACTTACCCAGATTTGAGCTGCTGCATCAGAGGTATCAATTACCGCCCAACTATATTCTACTGCATGAGGACCCTTCGCGGCTAGGTAACAATAAGTTAATTTCGAAACTTAGCCACACGAGACATCATTCTTATACATAAGAATCGGTGAAAAAACAAATTAAATACATCTATGAATTCTTTGCAAATATTCAAGATCACTTTTAATTCAAGTGCATGTTAAACATGTTAAAATACTATCGATGGATGTAAGATGCTGCCATGTTGAATCCCCCACTTCAGCTGGACGAATATCGAATATCGTATCGAATGCGATTATTCGACTATCGCACTATCGATTCTTCACCATAGCTTCTAACGGGGACATGGCGGCATTCGATCATTCACAAAATTTGGCAAGAAATCCGCCTCCAGCCCTCGCGCCGGCTCGACTCACCAGGGGCGATGCGTATAAGCATGCCCCCGGTCATCGCTTTACTTGTTGCGGCTATTTCACTCGTTCCTGGGGATTTCGTGCTAAACCAAAGTATTCCTGGGTTATTTTGATCGTAGAATTTATTTCTGACCTTACTTTTTTCAATAAAATGACGCTAATACGCAATTTTACGCGTTCTTTCAAACTTATTCCGTAGAAACATATATAACTATAAGTTAGGCACTCAAAGATAAATTTTACTCGTTCTTGTGGACATTTCGTGTTGAAACTCGGCACCCACGGGGACTTTTGATCGTAGAATTAGAATTCATTTTTGACCTTATTACTTTTGTTGATTTGTTGACACAAATACATGATCTCGGCGGTAAAAAGAAAATAAGGTACTCACCGTAGATTGTACTCACGTCCTGGTGGACATTTCGTCCTGAGACTTCGCAAACTAATGGTATTTTGATCGAAAAATGAATTTATGACCAAACTTATGCTAAAATATATGATGACACATTAAAGGGGGGGGGAGGAGGGGTGTCAGTGGCGTGCGGTCCGGATAAGCAAGGCAATAAGCATTGCTTGCCCAAATATCTCAGAGGAAAGAGGAAAATTACACCTGTTACATGTCTTAAATTTGAGCAAATATTATTGATAAAATGTACCTATTAGTAAGTAAATTGCATTAAAAACAGAAAGAGAGAGAGACAGAAATACGTGCATGGCAGCCACAAAAGTAGGAAAGCGGCGGCAGAGCGGACGAAGGTGCGGCGCAGCGCGCTGCGCGGCCTGACCACGGGGACGGGCCAACTCATGCTCCGGGGATATGAGGCGCCTGGCGCTTGCTGATGGGCTGTGAGCGGAGACCGGAGAGCCAGACTGCTCGGCGGCGGAATCAAGGCGGGCGGGGAGAGCGGTAAGTTCCGAGTCCGAGCGCTTCGCTGCTTTTGCTTTTGCCTCCCCTCCGATGCGCTGTCCTGTTCCCTTGTTCCCTCTTCTCGTCGCGGTTGCGATTGCTCCTTCCGCAGCTAGTGTCCTCCATTTCAAAAATATATCGCTTACTTGGATCTAATTGGTGGTGAATGAGACGATTCTCAAGCATGTTTTAAACGCTGAGAGATGTTTTTTTTTTAGAAATATAAATAAATCAAAAAATTCTTATCGCTGTGGAGTAACGACTGGTTACACCTCAAATAAGTGGCAAATGGAAATCATAAGTGTAAGGGAGAATGAAACTAAACCATTGATTTTCAAGACGTTCCATCAGATTCCATCCGAAAAATAGAGTAAATTGAGGTTCGCGAGGATCTAAATTTTAACAATTTTCTAGGGAGGTTCCCATAGCAAAAGAAGGGGGCTAACGTTGAACACCCCCCCCCCCCCCCCCCCCCCCCCNGGGGGGGGGGGGGGGGGGGGGGGGGGGGGGGGGGGGGGGGGGGGGGGGGGGGGGGGGGGGGGGTATTTTCAAACTTTTAGTATCAGAGTGAAAAGAAGTTATTCAAAGATAGATTTCACTAGTTCCGGTTGAAAATGCACGTTGAATTGTTGATACTTTTGATGGTATGTTCATCGAAAATCCCATTTTTGTCCTTACTTACGTTAATTGATTCACATCAATACGCGATTTTTCAGCCCAATCTCACTCCCTTAAAACTCACCTCTTCCCCTCCTACCACCTTTTGAGTCATTTTGATACCATCTCTATACTTACCCTTTTCCACCCTTGGATGCCTTTTATTATTCAAGGGCAACTCTTTTTCAGCCATTCTCTACTAGACCCAATCCAATATGAGAGTCGGCTGAGAAGAGCACAACTCTAGGAAGTAGTGATTTGGAAACTCAAGGGTAAGGTAACTCTTAAACCAATGCAAAAGGGCGGACAAATATAACGAACATCTCACTCAAAAGTATTGATAGAACATGTAGTAGGTATTTACTTAATGTTCTCTCCAGTAAATGCCCAAAATTTGTAAGCAAACCCAGCCCACCAAGCCCTTTTTTATTTGAATAACAGCTTTTTTCTAACCCCGACCAACAATTCGTAAACGCCACGAATGATATATTTCGGTCAAACGAGCAAAAGTAAGACGAAAATTGACTTGACGAAAAATCCAACTGATTGTATCAGTGACGTGGCGTCCATTAGCTTCGCAGTGTTCGCCGAACAACCGAACAAAATATTTTGAAACAATTAATAAATATGGCGCGGCGGAGAGAGAAAATCCTGCGACGCGGGACCGCACCGCAGAGACATGCAGGAAGAGAGCGAGAGGGGAACGCAATGATGAAGGGGCGAGAGGTAGGGTAGAGGTGAGGGCGAGGCGCCGGCGCAGCGCGGGGGCGGCAGAGCAGAGCGGGTCACTTCTGACCGCGCTCGCGGAGTAAACGTAGCAAAGAGAAAAGGGTGAAAAGGGATCAGGGAGAGAGCGGGAGAGGAGAGGGAGGAGAGCCGCTCATCCGTTCAGAGCTGTTTCTGCAGGAGCCTTTGCTGCAAACCGCCGAATTTCCTCATTTTCCTCTAAGCCGATTCATCCTCCGCTTCCCCCCCTGCGCCTGCGGGCGGCGCGCGAGGCGGGCCGCATCTCTCAGTTCTGCATTCTCCCATTTCTTCCTGCAGGTGCGTGTTGCACTTAAGGGTGATTTCTCGATAAAAGGAGTAGTCGTGTCGCCGTGGGTTTACCAACGACTTAAAGCCAAACGATTGAGAACCAAGTTGATAAATCAATAGGAATGATGTCCCTGAACTTATCCATGCTACTTAAACACTATATGATTAGTATTATGATTGTAATAATAATGTAAGACTTTAAAGGCCGAAAATGTCCGGTCGGTTATAGGTACGCGTCGCCATAACCCCGATTTTGAAGCAAAAGAGCAACTTGCGTTATTGAGTCAGTGCTGATCATGGATTCTTTGGCAATATTTAATGAGAAGAGACTCTAATGTTATCAAGAAAATTGTCATGTTGAACTGAATGTTTTTTTTAAGGGAGAAAAGGCATTAGAAAAAGTGTCGCCACATTTGGCAACGTCTTTTTATCAAATTGTTCGTTGAAGTGTCTTCTTGACCAAAGCATTACCAAACCAACCAAGACGGCTTTTTCTACACTGAAAACTTTAATTTTTATGAAAACCAGTGAATTTTAGGTCAGTAGCACTAATTTTACACAACACAAAATCCTTAATTTAGTATTATTAAACTATAACAGGAAGTCCCAAGTTTAGAAAACTTTTCAGGAACGTGAATTATTCCACCTCATATCTCAAGAATTGCCAAGTTTCATCTTTTGTATCATTTTTTATCTCACATTTTCAAGTGTCGCTGACGCTGTGTCGGTTACATAGCCGACACACTTTGGCAGTGCCGCCATGTTTGCCTGCTGCTCTTTGAGTAATGTCACAATTTCAAATTTTAAATGATGGAAGCTTCTTTGCTTGTTTGATAATGTAAAAGGAGCGCTGAGTTATAGTCATGTGTTTTTGTTCCTGTGCTTGAATCGATTGATGTAATGTTTAATAATGGACGCAAGAAATAGCAGCTGATCTGAAACTTAATCGTGAAGTGTGAGTACTTTTGTTATAATTTTTGATCATTTCCTTTGAAATTTTAAGTTATTGAATGCTGCCATGACTAGGGATTGATAGTAAGTAGACCAAACAAAGCATTCAAAGGCGCAATGACCGAGTTTCATCTGAGCCCTGGTTCACCATTTTTGTGTATTATACATAGCTATTAATACAATGGCCATTGCTAATGAATGAGATATTTGTTATTTGTTGAATTCACGGTCTGCAATTCTGCATGCTACTTCTATGCACACATGGGTCTGCCTCTCGAACTGCTCAAGTAATTATCGGAGGGAAAATTTTCAATGTTTCGTACTGCCATTCTTTTGCCTCTCAGCCAATTTTTTCAGAAATTTTTTTTTTAGTTGTGTCAACAAAAGTAAGGTCAAAAATGAATTCTACGATCAAAAGTCTCCAAGAATCCCGAGTTTCAACACGAAATACCCACAAGAACGAGTAAAATTTATCTTTGAGTGCCTAACTTATAATTATTTATGTTTCTACGGAAAAAGTTTGAAAGAACGCGTAAAATTGTGTATTAGCGTCATTTTATCGAAAAAAGTAAGGTCAGAAATAAATTCTACGATCAAAATAACCCAGGAATACTTTGGTTTAGCACGAAATCCCCAGGAACGAGTGAAATAGCCGCAACAAGTAAAGCGATGACCGGGGGCATGCTTATACGCATCGCCCCTGGTGAGTCGAGCCGGTGCGAGGGCTGGAGGCGGATTTCTTGCCAAATTTTGTGAATGATCGAATGCCGCCATGTCCCCGTTAGAAGCTATGGTGAAGAATCGATAGTGCGATAGTCGAATAATCGCATTCGATACGAGATTCGATATTCGTCCAGCTGTAGTGGGGGATTCAATATGGCGGCCAGGCATGCATTTTTCCGCTCGCTCAACCACGGCCGGTGCCCAAATTCCGGATCGCTTAATTCATTTTAATTAATTTAATTATTAGCCGTTGAAACTGTCATCTTCTTTGCTCATTTAGAAGTATTTAATCAATTCGAGGCGAAGCTGGATTTAACCACAGGACCAACGAAAATTAAGAAGAAGCCATGGGAAGTGCGGAGAAACCGCGAAGTTCTGCGTGGATCCAGGGTGGATCTTCACTAGAATGTAGGTCTGTAAGTAATCACTGCGTAAAAGTATGTGGAACCTGGTCTTGTTTTTTCCAAAATTTTTTTACTGAAAAGATGTTAGCCAGCTAGGATCCTCTCGTCCTGTGAATTTACTTCGGGAAGCGTTTCAGAGCTTTTATCAGTGATGGATGCAACTCCCACGGAAATCCTCCAGAGAGCACTAATCGAAATTCCGAATTCGAGGTATTTGAAATAGCAAGATTCGATCCCTCAATTAATCGCATTGGAATTCGATATCCATCTCTCTCTCTCTAGGTTATTGTTTGGCGAGGAGGCAATGCAGAGCAGAAAACTGCATGCCGCGGAAAAACCATTGACGTATAATACAATCTAGACCGCGCATTACGAAATTCAAGCGAGACGATAGGCAACCCAGCAACACACATTAAGTGTACCGGCGAGACAATGGTGGAATTCGCGGAAATGCCAGTCTTGCCAGCGGGGCGATTATTGAAATGATATCGACTGTATGTCAGCGCTTTGTCGAGTCGCGCCATCGACTAAGCCATTGCTTAGTCGATGGCGCGACACGACAAAGCGCTGACATACAGTCGATATCATTTCAATAATCGCCCCGCTGTGCCGTTGCCTGATACGGGTACACTTAGCTCGTATATCCGGCGGTATCAACTAGGCTGAAGGCGCGTCTTTACCCCCCTAGCTGTCTCACCTTCCCCGCCTAAAGTCGGGCCCAATGCGCGGTCTAGATTGTATTATACGTCAATGGGAAAAACGTAAAGGAAAAGCGAACGCGAGTGAAGTTATTGTACTTCACTAAGTAATTTTTCTAGCGGAGTCCTGTTTCACGGTTTCAGGTATCTGTGCAGTGTCAATTCCAAGTCTCGGTCTGATCGTGAACATTACTTCTGTAACTACTTCTCTCTTGATCCTGTGTCTCTGTCCTCTGTCCCATCACCTTATCTGAGCCAACTTTGCTCAGCTCAGTCTCGATTTTCTTCGTCTACCTACCTGTAAGTATATTCTGAAGTTCATAGTGCACTCGTACGAATACCTCCTTTAACTTTCTTGTAACCTCAGCTCTACTTTAAGCGGGGAATTAGTGGAGAAGATCTTGTCTCATGGGGGAATCACATGCTGGCATCAGCGTTATTCCTACTCAAACACCAGTGATGAAAATATCGGAAGTGTTCTCAATGCTGTCGAGTCCGAGACGTATTATATTGCACCCATGATTATCCATGTTGAACAGCAAATAACGCTGTTACTTGTCCATTGTCATTAGCATGGTAAAATAAGTCCTGAGGGGGACACTTTCAGTACAATATACAGGACATTTGTATCGTATAGGACCTTGACGATATTATAGAAAGAAAACAAAAGCAAGAAAATGGGGAGGGTCCTCTATCGATTGTGGATAGTGAGACGATTCACCTTTGTCATCTCAGCAGACCCAAATTATCGATAAAGGAATGATCTGCCCATGCTCCTCATCTGGGATTGTGCAGATGGACTACTTAATTCTTGAAGGAAACAATGACAAGATACCATTCAACACTCAGCAAGCATTGCTCATACTAATCTCTACTGCTGGAAATTATGGAAGGAAAAGCAGGGCACACCTTTTGCGATCTAGAATCCAACATATTTCAAGACGAGTGTATGTAGAATTTAGGCTTCAAGGTGGTTTTTTGCCTACCATTTAATTGAGGCTTAATAATGAGTCTTGAAGAACAGCGTGCTTACTTTTCTGAAAGAAGGCCTCTTTTCCTCTGTAACTTTCAGACTCTTGGATATTAAGATCAGTTATGTAGACATTTCATGAAGTTTTGTGTCTGTAAAAATATGTGGTTACTTTTACAAAGTCCAAGTCTTTAAATTCCTATGGCAAGTATTCAATCCTATCTTTTCTTCTTGTTTCCCTTTCCAGAAATGAGTGCCTCAAGTCTACCGAAAGCAGTTTTACTGTCTCCAGCCTCTACACATCTTCACGCTGCTTATTCTACTGCTGTAAATCGCATTAAATTCGAGGAGGTGAATTCATCAAGTGACTTTTTTTCATATTTCTAAGGGTCTGAGAAGTTCATTCAACTTTTCCTTTTACTTGTGTTCATGTACACACAGAATTTTTGATCATAGGATCAGGGTGATGTTAAGAAAGACAGGCAAAGTTAGACACGGCTTTTGACAGGATTTTGTTTCTGGGAGGGGGGGGGAGGCTTGGATGGGTAAAGAGGGGCCTGTTACTTTCAGTAGAGGGAGGATCTGGGGTTTTTCCCTCGGAAATTTTTGCAAAAGATCCTTTCTTCATCCTGGGGGGGGCTTGGGTCCCTCTTCCCCCCCTCTTCCCCCTTTGTCCACATGTCTGAGCAAAGTTAAGAAAGCATCTGAGTCATCGCAAACTTGTTAATTTTTTACAAAGTTTACAGCACCGTGAAATTTCTTAATTTTCAGTTAGCATGCGTACTTTTTCTGCACCTTTGCTTGTGGTTAGTATGAAAGATTCGTTCCAAGTTCGGCTGCGCCAATTTTAGACTGTGGATGCCAATTTCAGTTGAACTTTACTGTACTTCTTGAGTTTGATGAAATTATTGAAGAATTTTGGTGGAAAGACAAATTTTCTCTTGTCTCAAGGTGCATATATACGCTCAGAAATTGTGAACTAATCATTCCTGTGTTAGTTAGGCTACTTAAGTAGATATAGATTCTAAATTCAACTCATCTGATAGTTGGAAATAGTTGAGCCTGGAACAGTCTTCTTGTGTATTTAATGGTAATTGTTAATCCGAAGAATTCATATCATGAATGTTTATGTTGTGCAGCACATTGAGCGCAGCATTTCTTTGCTGGAACAAGATGAGCATCAAAAACGATTGAACAAACTACGTAAGGAATTGGATTACATCCAAAACACATCTTGGAAGTATCCATCTGTAGATAATTTCATTGGCCATTAAGGATTATTGCAAAGACAATCATCAAATCAGCTATCAATTTGATTTTCCAAAGGCAAGTTCCCTCATTTTCCCACTTTTTTTACTTAACTTTCGTTTCTTCAACGGTACAAAAATGTTCCAAGTCATCACCACTTGATTAGGTACAAAGCCTTTCAGCTTGTATCATTTTCTCATACTCTCTTTGTCACAAAATATTCAGTCCACTAAAATTTCATGTCCCCTCTAAATTCCTCTCTGTTCCAAGCCCTCTATCTTCTGATTCCCTTATCAGTTGGTAAAATCAATAGTTAAGTTATCTGACATCCTCAATCTTTTGACTTTTATTTTATTACTTTTACGTAATGAGACCAGTTCAGTGCCACTCAGAGTTTAATTGTATTTCAAGCGCAGGACAGTCTCCCAGTTCATCAACCTCAGCACTCCAAGTTTTATCATACAAGGGAACACATTTGTGAATGTTCACACGGTTTCAGACCTGAAGTAACAAAGACAAGGGCAAAATTCTTGAAAGCCAGCTTGTGTTATTGATAAGTCGCTTGCCATCCTCAAAATCGTGAATAATCCTAAACAAAAGAAGAAAGGAAAAATAAGGGAAAAGGGGGTAATATCTTTTAAGAATGTTTATCTATGAGAAATTTTAACTATGTGAGGTGCCAAAACTCACTGCATTTTTGGAGGTTCACTCTTTCTCTTGCAAATCAATGCTTTTGAATTGTTCAACAAATATTTTTGTATGCATATTTTATCAGGAGAAGAACAAATACAGCAACAGAGTTTTTAGGGAATTCTTTTCAGCAGCTCTTTGCTCAATATCTTACATATTGTTACTCCCTACGATCTGGAATGAAGTCCCATAGTATTTTAAATAATTCTTCTTAATTTGTTTCATTTGTTGTAAAATTTTGTGTAGGAAAAAAATCTACACTACAAGCTCTCACTGGGAGGAAGGAAGCACTTTTTTACTTTAAATAGGATTCATAATTCCTCCCAATATGTCCAGTCCATCCCCTAAAAGGGACTTAATTCCGTTAAGCTGATGGTTGAACTCCAAAACCACATTTGTTGATTGCATGTCTTAAAAGTGGACTAAAGTTTGCAGTATGGAACTATTTTCTCTATTTCATGCATAAAATCACTTATTTGTACAGGCAAACAAATGGCATGTACTTCGTTTCTAATTTAAGCGAACAATTGTGATTTCCAATTGCATAATATAGTCAATTGGCTGCATTTACTTTACTTTTTAGAAAGGAAACAATTAAACACTTTTACAATACATTTTTGCATTTTTGTAGGATGAACATTTCAATATTTCATCTTGACGTGTTTGCCCACCAAATGACATGGCAGACATTTTTAAAGGTTGTGGTTGAGAACCATGATCGCCAAAGTTCGATTTTAACTATTGCATTGATTATTTATGACATAAATAACCGCAATACTAAAAAATTGGACGCCACCTAAATTTCGAGATTTTTTTCAATGAAGTCTCTTACATTATTCTGAGGAGGAGGACAAGCTTTTATAATCAAACATTCTATGTACCAATCTCAAAAAAGTTGGGTCTGAAAAATGCAGTCTTCGAAAATTTAACATGTGTTATCATGCAGAGAAGTGGCACTGTTAAAGAGTAGAGTTGTTTTAAACTGAGTCGGCACGCGGAACACTGTGCGCTCATTGTCCGTCTCATCTTGCACCAGACGAGAAAGAAGGACCAGGACTCCTTGGTTACCTACTTTTTCACATTAGCTCAAGAGTGTAAAACTGTTGAAAAACACACTTGGCACACCTATTTTTCTCGAGATTGCCACATAGAAAGTTCGATCTTAAGCTCATTTACCCAGGAGATCGTAAGGAACAATATATTAAAAAATCTTGAAATTTAGCCAACACTAAATTTCTTTTTATTGTGTGCGTTGCTCTTTACTGCCTTTCTTTAAATAAGTCTCGTTTTAAGTATTTTTGTTATTTCTTCTCTTCTTACTTTACCATAATATCTGTTCTTTTTCTATTTGTTCTTTTCTCAGGTTTAGCAGGTATTAAGTGTCTAAGAAAGAGCAAATCGAGTGTGAAAATGTTTGATTTAAGCTTTCTCAACCCGAAGACCCTCTTTGGGTTTTCAAAAAAGGAGGAAACCGAAGATGATGTGTGCCAGGAAGAAACCAGTGGATATCTGGATGAAATGCAAGCAGAGTCAGAAGAAGAAGAAGATGGACAGATGAATGATTTTAAGCCATCTTCAAGTGTGGATGAAATAATATGTAAAGAGTGTATTGGAGTTGTCACAGGCATCCATGATGGTGTGTTGATAATCGATGGAAAGTGAGTGAATTCGAACTAAAATTACTCTAGGTTATTCAAACATCAGACAATCAAAAATAAAAGTTTCAGATTTGCATTCCATCGGTGGACCAGTGGAAAATGTTCGCTCTCCTGAAATTGAAAGAAATTTGGTTAAATTTCTCCCTCCTTGAGCTGTTTTCGAAAAGAAACTTTCAATTTATTCACTCTGTTGCCATTTCTTTTAACTTTAATTGTAAATGAACTCAAGGGCTGAAAGAAAGGGGGTAACGTTTTCAGAATTGTTTAATGGGGAAGTATACAGGCCCTTCCCCAAGTCAAGAAGATAGCTTTATGGAATGATTTGTGCATGCCATAGATTTATCCTATTCTGATGGAAGGAGAATAAGAAGAAGGAAAGAAAAAATATAGGTATGATAAAAAAATTCGCTCTTTTGCCCAGCTCTTCTCAATATTGGCACATGGAAAGTCCAATTTACATGAAACTTTTGACAAGGAAGTTTGAGACAAATAGAGTTGTGCAGATTTTTATTTACATTCTGCTCATATTCTGTACAAACTTGCTAATGAACAGTTGCCTCGCTATCAAATAAAGACTTTGCGAAGGAGGCATGGGTGGGAATAATATATCCATTAATTATGAGAGGAGTAAAAAGGCTGAAGACTCAAAAGTATCACGCTTTTTATTTTGCAGGCATACTGTTGTGAGGTCGGGACTAGACATTGAACTCAAGCTGGATTCGAGGGTATCGTACAAAGTAGTGACAGAAGATGGTGTAGAAAGGATTTGTAACATTCGTCTTTATGAAGGAGATGGTTGGTCAACCGCAGAGGATGAAATCGAAGTTGAAACTCCAGCTGTGTAAGTAAATTTTAAAGTATCTTAGCAGTCTCTACACCTGTTAAACTTTTTGTTCTCTGTAGGAAAAATGTTACATCAATCGTTTAAATGTTTTAGCTAGTTCCTAAAAAATACAGAGGTGTTTGAAGTCACCCTCAGGTTAAAAATTCAGAAGTAGGTACCACAATCATGTGGCTTGTCAATTTTTTCATCTCAGAGCTAGTATCGTAATTAGTGGGTACACAATGATTGTCATTTCTAGAATTAATAATGAGGCATTGTTTTGGACAAAAGCAATGAGTTTCTTCTATCCTAGCCTTGTGCTTTCAAAATTTGATGGGTTTTTGCCTGTATAAGTCTTTCTCAAGAAGTTATGCAAATGGCGTGGTTAGATAGAGTAAGTTACTCCCAATTCATATCAAGCATGGAGGTTGCTCAGTTTCAATTTAAGTCCCCTTTGGCTCATACATTTTCATTTTACTCATCATTGATTCATCTCAATTTGAAGTTTAATTGAAGTCTCAATTTATTTCAGAGAAACTAAAGGAATCAAACGCGAAATAATCTGTGAGGTAGAGAAAAAAAATGGAGGAATATTGGATTTAGTTACTGAAAATTATGAACGCTGTAAAGTAAATATGGATGAAGTATCTATCAAGTTCATTCCAACTAAAGGTATGTATTTGTACAGCCAGGATCAATGAATAGGAATATCAGGTTGATGGTGGTACTCAATGTAGACTTAAGCTCATAAGCAGCTCTTTTCTTTTTAAATCTGATGGTGAAAATTTAGCCTGCAACTTGTCCAATTGAATTGAAGAATGTGGTGTCAAGATGTTGAGACTGAGATGTCTGGACATGGTTAAAAATTAAAATGCATTCGTAAATCGCAGCATTAGTCTCACAATGCACAAGTTAAAGCAACATTTAGTTAAGTTAAAGCACAGTTAAAGCTACCATGCTGGCAACATTGTGGTAGAAATGATGGATGATCTCCTTGGCAGCAAGTGTATTAACTATTTTTTAGTATGTAAGTTAAGTCAAAGCAGAAAAATAAGGATGGCTATGAAAATCGATTATTAGAAGGAATTAGTATGACTGTATGAGAGGAAGTGAAAAGCAACAATTTTTCAATGCTTGCTTTAGTTTTCCTTTCATTCCAGCTTCAAGATCCATGTCAGCACAGATTCTGAGACAAAAGAAAGTTTGTATAGGTGAAACTCTTTTTGACAAATTTCAAACATTATCTTTACTTCAAGACTTTCTATGAATAATGGTCTAATTGCCAAAAAGTTGATTTCATATACACTTTTTTAAGTTCTGAAAACTGCCACAGCATTTACGATTAACGCCATCTTTTTGGACGTAATATGCACTACTCTATCATTGGTATCTTATAGCTTCTTATGCGGTATGTTGTCCTTGACGTAAGGAAAAAAATGCAGTGTCCTACTCAATTTCGATCTTTGGCACTTAGCCGGTTATTAATTCTATTTCTTCTGTTTTTGAGCATGTTCGCTGAATTTTTGTAATCTTGAATTATTTCTAATATTTTTTTGACTGTCTTGAATTTTTTGGATAGGAAAATGTGAAAGCGGCTTTTCTCGTTCTTACAAAAGTGTAAAAGAAAAAATGTTCTGTTTTTAACTCTACCTGTTTGTTTTCTGTTTCTTTACTTTCTCCTGTTTTCATTGAATTGTCCACTGTAAAATAAGCCTTTTCATGCCCTTTTATAGAGTGGCAGTATTATCTAATTCCAGCCCAATGTTTAAATATTATCTCTTTTTTTTATTGCAGGTGACTTGCTGCTCTGTGAAATAATATCAGAACTAGACGAAAGAAGTCCGAACTTGTTTGGTGATACAGTTTGTTTCAAGAACATCAAACCTTTGCGTTCCAAATTAGTTCTTGGAGAGGTCACTCTCTGGAGAGATGAATTAGCAATAGGCATAATCAACAATGAAATCTCTTTTTCTGCAGAATCATGCTCTGCTGGCTATAAACCGCATGTCAAAGACAAGGTGACCAAACTGATTATTTTGCGAAGTACATACATGGCTAGGCATTCCCAAATTATGTGGGATTTTCTCGTTTTATTCTAGTGTTGTATGTTATTTTTACTCTACTAATTTATCTGGCATTCTCACAAAGCCAAGCTGCCCCCATTTCTGATAGTTCCTGATATCTTTGCAAACTTTCCAAATGGAAAAAGAAAGAAACCGAAGTTTTCTCAAAGCAAGTTGTGCTCTGAACTAACGTTGGTGTGTCTTAGAGTAGAAGGGTTTTTCGCCTATACTGATCTTTTTTTGCTGGATCATACTGTATCTCAGTGAGGGGAAGATCATTATGTAAAACATGACTGACACAACTAGCTGAACATTCAAGTTCATTATCAGTCACCTGTTCGAACGACTTAGATTTAAGAACTCTCCACCAGGGAAAGATTTTAGCTGACTAATTTTAGTTTGAACTCAAAATACCGATTTCTTGCTAAAAGGTAAAAAAACAACTAACTAAAGCCCACACAATGATTTCATATCATGAGGTCTAGTTCTACCCTCTTTTTTTTAGTGCCGTGGTTGGGAGTTAAGAATTTCATTTTTTTTCGTATGTTTGGTTTTTTAATTTTTTAGTTTTGTTCTCTGATTTCTTGTTCATAACTGGGACGGATTTAATCGGAATTACAGAAATTAGTGTTACTGAATTTCACATTGCCTAATTTTCTCCCATGGTTAATTTTTTTTATCAGAGAATTAAACTACGTAATTCCGTAAAGCTCTCTGTGAATTTTCTTTGGATTATGAAAAATGCACTCATGAAATTTCAAGTTTCAGTGCTGCCTAGTTTTCTGTTTAAAGAATAAAACATCCAAGAAAATTAGGCAACGTCTGATGTAGTTAATTGATTCCGGTTAAAGAAGTTCATCTGGACTGCATTTTGCAATTATAAACTATGATTTTTGGCTCATCCGTATAAAGGCATACGTGTATAGGGGAACTAATGGAACTTGCTATGTTCCTAAACTGACAAGGGGAACTTCCCAAGGTGCCGTTTCTGATCGGGCTGAAAATTTTTTTAGGAACTCTTTGGATGAATCCATTGGACCGGGATTTTTTTTGTTTTTTCAAATGCACCCTTGAAACACCCCTAAGAAATTCTAAAAAAATCTTGTTTTGAGTGCGCGTTGGACACCCAGTGCCGCAGCACCGGGAAGGTTAAACAAAGCAAAGGAATGTTCAAGTCTATATACGCAGTTTAGCTGGGCCCTTCCCACAGCGGGTGGTAGCTCTGCAATAGAGGTCCTGCCCTGTAACTGAGCGGGCCTGGGTTCAAATCTCAATCCAGGTTACTTCTGTTTTACAATCGAATTTTATTTTCTCACTTATTTTCCGCAACAGCACTTCACATCGCATCACATTCAATACAATGAAACCTAACATCAATTCATTTACAACCATCATGATAAGAAAAAAACAAACAAACAAGCATCTATAGTTCTAATTGAAGAAGTTGTTGATCATTGATTAATTTGTGTTTGATGATGGCTGTTAATCAATTGATGTTAGGTTCCAATGTATTAAATATGATTTGATGTGAAGTGCTGTTGTGGAAAATAAGTGAGAAAATAAAATTTGATCGTAAAACAGAAGTCAAGTAGATCGATATTCGAACCAGGGCCTGCTCGGTAACGGGGCCAGCGCTCTACTGCAGAGCTACCGCCTGGTGTGGGAAGGGAGCGGCTGATATAGACTTGAACACTCCTTCACCTTGCCTAACCCTTCTGGCGTGGCATCACCGGGAGTCCGACGCGCGCTCAAAACAAGATTCTTTTGAATTTTTTTGGGGTGTTTCCAGGGCGCACTGGAAAATTCAAAAAAACACGGGTCTAATGGATTCATCCAAAGAGTTGGTTCAAATTTTTCCAGTCCGACCGGAGGCGACAACTTGGAAAGTTCCTCTTGTGAGTCAGAAATTGTAGTTCCTAATGGCAAAATTTAGTTCAGTTGGATGACACTTTGTAATTTAGAACTAATATTTCTCCTCTAAAATTGGTAAAAGCACTTTTGTAAGTATGGAAACTTACGGCAATTACATTGTTTCTATAGTGAGCTGAAAATTACAGTTCCAAATTGCAAAATGTAGTCCAACTGATCTTGGAAATTCCCCAGACATCTGCCATGTTTAGCATACAAATGTGATGAAGGATCATGTGGACTTCATTTTACAATTAGGAACTACGTACAATTTCTGGCTGAGTTTATAAGTAGCGTATGTACCATTAATTTCCCTATGCACATTAGTGTTTTTACTGATGAGCCCGAAATTGTAGTTCCAAATTGCAAAATATAGTCCATGTCGTATGGTGGGGATCCCAATTCTGTTAGGAGGCTCTGTCTTTGTTGTAGAATTGGCAATCCTCTGAATCCAGTCAAATAGCTTTTAGAAGCATAATAAAAAATAAAAAAAACTAACACTCTCTTTACAAGTTTCATTTATACTCATCTCTTCTAAACCCGTGGATCAGTGCACCATGCAATGAATCCGTTTCAATTTTTTTTCCAGGTTAATATTCAATGTATTGAGAGTAAACAAGGAGCTCTGATATGGAGAGCAATCCATGTTCATCCAGAGTCCTTCAACGATGATAGAAGACAAGAGCCTAGATTTACTCATAACAATAAGGGTCCATTGTATGCTCCAAAAAACGGGGTGTCTGTTTCACTTCTCACCAAAAATCTTTCTGTTAACCTGGGTGCCACTCTTGACTTAGAGGTAATCGATTGGCCCGATATTAATTTCTTACTTCTTTAAATGATTTGATCTGTGCTCTGTGTGATTTATCTGTTTTCCCTTTACATGGTCTTCTGCAAACACTGACATATGCTTGAGTATATCAAATTTTTTTCCAACCGTTTTCTGTCCTTGAAAATACTTAGATTCTGGAAACAAACTAAGTTTCCTTGAGAATATTCTTATTTTTTTTGTATCCAGTCAAAACTTGCCCAGAAAACAAGAGAACAGTAAACTAAACAACGCGGAACTTAGCTCTCTCCATTTCTGTAGCAATAAAAAACCAGTTCAATCGAGCGGTTCTGAGCCAGTGGGCCCCAGGCTAATAAATGGAGGTCCCAGAAAAATTGTCAAAATATTTTTCGAATTTCCATCCAAAAAAGGGCTCGCCAAGAGAAAGTATTTTCATGGTGGCTATGAAATTAGAGGCAGCCTGTAATCATAATGAATTCTAATATTGAGTCACTTGAAAATTAGTAAAACCTAATTAGATTGTTCTCATTAGAGAATAACAAGAGGTAAACTTCTTCAAATTACACAAATAGTACAAGTCAAAAAAAAAATTAATAGAAAGAAAAAAGTGATAATAATTCTCTTGTGGAAAAGTGATCATTGGCCAAAAAAGGTTTAGAACTGTTTGTCTCATCTAATTCAAAACTGATTTTCCACAAATTCTCATGTGGAAAAGTGATCATTGGCAAAAAAAGGTTTAGAACTGTTCGTCTCATCTAATCCAAAACTGATGAAACGGTGGAAAAGAGAAACTTACTTTTTAATCTTAAACAAATGTTCTGGTAGCTTTACTGTATCTATTTGCATTTAATGATTGTCGTTATAGGAGTTTTCTTTGGCCTTTGGTAATTGTAAGCTTTGATGAGCAGTCATTTTGTGTGTATTATGTAACCCTTTTATTATCAAGATAATCCATGAATCAATGGCTCCTATCATTGCATCAAAGATGTCAGGAAGTTGCTCATTCCTCACAAGTTGGGGTCTTGAAGCCTGGGGTCGAGAAGACTAGCAAATTATAAGAACAAATGGCAAAATATGTATGATGATGTAGCGCAGTGTGTTCGTAGATTAACAGATTTATTTGCTGCAGGTGGAAGTTCGAAATTCTGGCTCTGAACCTCACGAACTCAAAATCTGCAAAATGAGGACTCAGGCAGGCAAAAGTCAAATTTCAATCAGGAACAGTTCCAGGTTACCTTTTAATCTAAATCCCGAAGAGAAGTTCATCTTCAAACTGGCTGCAAAGGCTTGGTAAGTCACTCAACTGTAAAATTACGGGAACAAAGGTCTGAATTGTAGTGTTTCTAAATTTCGGCTCTTACTTTATTCGTTTCCAGGGTATCCAGCCACCCAGAAAAACGGGAAATTCAGGGAGAGAAAACTTGTAACTGGGACTGTCGCTAACTCCTGCGCAAGATAGTAATTTTTTTGCATAACCTCAAGGCGCTTTGATCCCGAGTGCTGAAGCATTCTCTTTCAGTCTTAAGTGAATTTATGCAGAAATTCAGGCCTCTACAAATCTAAACCGGTACTTTTCGCTGAATGACGTCTATGTTTTCATTTCCTTGGATTTGGCAAAAAAAGTCAGGGAGGATCCAGGAAAGTCAGGGAGATAGCAAATCCAAGGGTCAGGAGTTCCTTGAAACTGAAAGTCATGAAGAAGGGAAAGAAATTCTTGCTGGGCACATCCTGTTTACACGGAGTATTATTCAAAATTCTTAGACGGCATTCTTAAAAGTGAAGAAAATTTCACCGAATTTTGTGTGAGGGAAAAAAATTGGTCATTTTTTAAGACGGTATAAAATATGCCCTGTTCGAAACCAAAACGCAAGGTTTCCTAGTTTTATCACCCCTTTGTCACCTTTATGCTTAAAAATGGAGGAAGAAAAGAATGGACAAATGTCACATCAAAATATGATGACATTCAAGAGGAATTTACTAGCTTATTATTGCACCGAATGATGATTGATGCTCTTCAGTTTGATGTAAGATTTTTCCACTCTTTTATTCCCTAGTTTTACTCTCCAATATTTTAAAATCATGCTGATTATCTCAGGGGTGTTGTTGCAGTCAGAGGGGCGCTGCGCTGACCAACATTTTTCAGTTGAGAACTACAATTTCTAGCTCATCCTTCAAACTACCAATCCGCATAGGAGGGACTTTACTTAACTCTTTAATGGGTTCAGGACTTCAGGGAGAATAAAGTGTCCCACAACATCAGAGAGTACTGCAAAACCGGCTTTTATGTATTTTATTGCATTCTTCCCTATGTTTAAAACGTTTCAGCCATGTTTTTTAGGCAGATGCAAGTTCTGCATAGTTGAATTGGTCAGTTGCGGCTGTCATAAAATCGTGTTTTGGTGGTTTAAGCTCATAAAGAATGTTTTTAAGATTTCTTCCTAATCGTTTATTTTTTTTAAAATTCAATTTCAGTAACATTGGAAAAACCAAGGAAACTCTTGTTCTCACCTTCAACTCTTCACCTGAGTTTTACGTAGGATGCGATATTGAACTGATGGTCGGAAGTGACCAAATTACACAGCTCACAACCAGTGCAGACACCAGGACGCATGAAAGAGTTGAAAACAAATATGACAGATTTAATAGGTACTTTAATTTCACTCCTCTATAGATAATTTAAATGCAGCAGGGATTCTCACAATGATAACTGAACATATTTGTGCTAGAAGAAACGATGTTACTTGCAAACCCAATGCACTTAGTTCCTTTAAGCATTAGTACGTTCAATTGTTTCTCAATAGAGGTTTTACAAAAAGAATGATAGTGGCTTCAAAAGAGCCCATCAGTGCCTCCTAGGCTCTAGAGAAGCTTCGAAAATTTTCCAACTGGTTGTACGGAAAATAATGTCAAAGGTAGTAGTTGGTTGTACAGGGTATCTACAAGTCAGGAAATAGCACTGATTTTTTAAAGGCGGTCCGGAAGTACTAAAAAAGTGCAAGAAATTCAAATTTTTGAAATTTTGCAAATTCCGTGATATGAAGGTACTGAATTTCTGGGGAATAAACTGAAAAAGTACTGATTTTTGGTCAGCCTGTTTTAGTAGACACCCTGTTGTATGGTCATTGTTGTATCACTTGGCAGTTGGAGCTCTTGCAACGATTGCATTAATTGTTTTTGATAGTTAAGTTAGTTTGTTAGACATTTTTCAGCGGAAAGTTGTAAATCCTCAAAGGAGCGCCAATGGAAAAACGTATCAGCTACGAAATTCAGTTTTAATTTCATGACAAGTACTTTAACTCTTACAATAGCTTGAATGGTGAAGAATTTGTTGGAAATTGTCTGAACGCTTCACCGAGCAAAGCAAGCAATATTAGTGTCTATGTAAGTACTTTTGAAGAAGCTTGTTTTTATTAGTCTTCGTTGGTACTGTCACGAACATCAAAGTTGGATATGTTTTGACTGGTTTGATGGAGGTTATTTGAAATATTTAAAGCAAATTGTTTTTGTCCAGGCAAAAATTGTGGGACCTTTCACAAAGATAGGTGTTAAGTTTGGTCAGTGGAAACCTGAGAAAAAGAAGGAATTTGTTTGTGCCAAGTCTGTAGACACCCTGCACGGTTCGTTTGAGTAAAAGTTATATGAAATTTTCTATCACTCAAAAAGTCTTTTCGGATTCGAAAAGTAGAATGAAAATGGAGTCTTTCTAGCTAAAAATGAAAATAGGTTGTTCGAGCTCCTCGAGAAATATATCGTTTTTTATATTTTTTAGGGCTTATTAGAGGCTGATACGAAAATTGACTCAAAATTACTCAATGTTTCTGTTTTAATTTCTATATTAAGATAGCTATCAAAATGATCTTGGTTTCATTTTAAAGCTGGTGTAATTTGCCGTCGATTGAGTGGTCTGCAAGCTAATTTTGTTGAAAATTGACAAAGTTATGATAGCTTGAATAAAGGGTATCCAAAATAAGCTTACTTGTTTTCCTTACCGAGTAAGGCTCTATTTTTTCTTTTTTTCCCTTCAAGACCAAAAACACTAGAGTCAATCTGTAAAAATTACAGCATTTGCAGTACTCTCAGGTCTGTAACGAGCGTCAGATTTTTAAATTTGACCCATTGGTTCCGGAGAAAATCATTTTTTGGTTTCTGTTCCGTTCTGCTTATACAATCAGCTATTGACATACGGCGCAAGACACGCCACTGACGAGGAGACCAAGTACAGAAAATCGTTTTTATTTACTTTAATAATCGATCAGATTACATATGTAAAGCTCGTTAGAAAGTTCAAAATATGATAAAGAACATTTTACCCTTTGAGTTTTTTTCCCTAAGCCCCCATTTTTTGGAGTTATGGGGCAGTTTCAGGGCCATTTCCAATTCGATGCTGTAAGTGGCCAAATTATTCACATTTCAAAATTTAAAAATCTCCTGAGAAAAGAGGTCAATACCGTTTTATTGATGTGCCATATGACCCCTGCTGCTCCAAAATTTTGGGGGCCACGACCTCTCAAAAATTTTGGGGCTTTGGAGGGCCATAAGTCACAAAAATTTTAAATAGCAAGGGTATGTTTCGACTTCAGATATGGATTCTACGCGAAAAATTCCGCAGAATTGATATGGCGCACGGCCTGTTTGCTCCAAATTACTAAAGCACCCCATTTCTCCATAAAAGGCCGTATATTTTTGGAGAAAATAAGGGGCAAAAAAAATCTGAATCAAACAGGCCGTGCGCCGTATCAATTCTATGTTACTTTTCGCGTAGAATCCATAACTGAAGTCGAAACGTACCCTTGCTATTTTAAATTTTTGTGACTTATGGCCCTCCAAAGCCCCAAAATTTTTGAGAGGTCGTGGCCCCCAAAATTTTGGAGCAGCAGGGGTCATATGGCACATCAATAAAACGGTATTGACCTCTTTTCTCAGGAGATTTTTAAATTTTGAAATGTGAATAATTTGGCCACTTACAGCATCGAATTGGAAATGGCCCTGAAACTGCCCCATAACTCCAAAAAATGGGGGCTTAGGGAAAAAAACTCAAAGGGTAAAATGTTCTTTATCATATTTTGAACTTTCTAACGAGCTTTACATATGTAATCTGATCGATTATTAAAGTAAATAAAAACGATTTTCTGTACTTGGTCTCCTCGTCAGTGGCGTGTCTTGCGCCGTATGTCAATAGCTGATTGTATAAGCAGAACGGAACAGAAACCAAAAAATGATTTTCTCCGGAACCAATGGGTCAAATTTAAAAATCTGACGCTCGTTACAGACCTGAGAGTACTGCAAATGCTGTAATTTTTACAGATTGACTCTAGTGTTTTTGGTCTTGAAGGGAAAAAAAGAAAAAATAGAGCCTTACTCGGTAAGGAAAACAAGTAAGCTTATTTTGGATACCCTTTATTCAAGCTATCATAACTTTGTCAATTTTCAACAAAATTAGCTTGCAGACCACTCAATCGACGGCAAATTACACCAGCTTTAAAATGAAACCAAGATCATTTTGATAGCTATCTTAATATAGAAATTAAAACAGAAACATTGAGTAATTTTGAGTCAATTTTCGTATCAGCCTCTAATAAGCCCTAAAAAATATAAAAAACGATATATTTCTCGAGGAGCTCGAACAACCTATTTTCATTTTTAGCTAGAAAGACTCCATTTTCATTCTACTTTTCGAATCCGAAAAGACTTTTTGAGTGATAGAAAATTTCATATAACTTTTACTCAAACGAACCGCGCCTGAGTTTAACTCAGCACACATAGCATGTTATGGTTTGTTAGGAATTTTCTCCAAAGACTAGAGGTGTGCCTCATGTACTTAAGACTAAAAAAGCGCTCTTGATTTTTCTGTTTTCTCAGCTTGAGTGTCGTGCCAACAAGAAACGGTCTCATTTGTCCAGGAATAAGGCCCATAAAAGCACCTGCATTTATTCCTGTTCAGGCAACGTCCAATTTTAACATTCCAGAGGAATTTTACAAAGCTGTACTTGACCCTCATGACAGACAGAGGTATAATTTTCTGCCACTGTACCTTATTTAATTAATTTATGTACAGCGTTTATTTTTTTGGGTTTTTTCAATTTACGTGTTTTACCAGCGAGGGATGGTCTTATTTTATTCAGAGGTAAAGCCCACAAAAGCATTCGTATTTATTCTCATGAAATGAATTCAATTCATGCTTGAATTCGATATACCCCATCAATTTTATGAAGCTGCATTTGATTCTCTGGAGCAACCGAAATATGATTTTTAGTCACTTTTGGACCTTACAAGATAACAGCAAGAAAGGATACCCAATTAAAGATACATACTAAGCTATTTTGGGAAATTAGTGTGCATGATTTTTGCAGCACTCAGATGTGTGAAAAAAGTCCACCCTAAAACCTGTTATGTAATGTTACAGATCATTTGCGAAAAATGTGCGTATGGATTGAAAAAGTCAATCAAAAATCAATGTTGAGAAAATCGATGACTAAGTCATCGCTAGTCCTTGTTCGGTTCACTTCTGCAACACATCCACTTTTGACTTAGAAAGTTTGTTGCAACATAAATCGGATGTTTCTGTTGATTGCTATGATGAAGTTAGGTTACGTTTAACCCATTCCCTTATTGATTAATTTTGCATGCCTGCGCACAGATTTACTATTTAATTTCACTGTAAAAAGCTGTATTTGGTTTCATCTTAGTTTTCTGCTTTTCCTGATAATTAGGAGCAAGTTTTTGGCCTAATTCTTATTAGTTATAATTAGTATGATGTTTATATAAATAAATTTGCCTGGATGTTGCACTTTTTCTGCAGTAAGTCGGCTTATGTCAGGTGAATTTCCTGAGGAAAAAAAGAAGTAAAATTTAGGAGAAAAATCTTATTTATTGAAAAAAAAAATACTTGCAATAAGTCAGAAAACCCAAAAAATACCAATGTAACTTGTAAGTAAGAAATAATAGTTGTATTACAACCAAACCGCTCAAATATGGAATGAAAATAAAATAAAGTCGAGAAAATTGCGCGCAAAATTAGATTTAGTTTCGAGGTTATTCCACGCTTTCGCATTTTAAAACTAACAAAATTCCCTACCTTCGGGGAAATTACTGTACAAAACCAGTACAGGTTGGTCACTTTACTTCTAGTGACAACATCTGTCGATTTACGTGGCGCTATCTCTTGTGAAAACATCAAAACACGGCAATACGCGTAGCCAAGTTGCATGACGAGTGGAACTCGTCATTTCCCGCGTGGCCCAGTGTGGCCATGACGAGTCTCGCTCGTCATTTTAAGGGAATGGGTTAATCTTTCATTAACATTCAAGGTGAATCTGCACTCTAAGCAAACGAAAATTGAAATATCGAACAATTTCTGCTAAATTACTATTTTTATTTTAAATTCCGACAAAAACCAAATTGATCATGCCCAGAGGCACATTTCAGCTATTTCTTACCAAAGAATCTGTTTTGTAAACTCTAAAATAAAGATAGCAGAATGCAAACGGGGACATTCTCCTTTCAATTCAACTAATAGTATGCAGTCATTTGTGTTTGCATACTTCCAGCTCTATTTTAGGGTTTACAAAATATATTCTTAGGGAGAAACAGTTGAAATGTGCCTTTAGGTGTAATCGATCAGTTTTGTGCCAAAAATTTAAAATGAAACCAGTATTTTAGCAAACTGCGTTCAATTTCTCAATGTTTATTTGCTCCCACTCTAGATTCTTCTCAAATACAAAAGTCGTAAAACTCTTAACTTTTCAACAGGAAAACAATGGAGGCATATGAGGAACTGGCTAAAATCGCCCCAGCTGTGGTAAACCCATTGGAACCGAGTAACTATGAAGCCAAATTTCATGCGCTTCTACATTTAGAGGAACTCAGTGTAAGAATAATCACCTCTCTACAGTTTTTCTTTTAATTTTTCCATTCCTTTCTATTGTTTGATATTGGAACTTGTTCAGAATCCGAGTTTAATATGTAATTAGTAAGGAGAAGATTACAGTTAATTGACTGCCCATGATTATGGGATTTTTTTTATTCAAAATTATGTACTGGAAGCTTTCGACAAACCAGTTACCTTTCATGGGAACTGCATAGTTTTCCGAAAAGCTTCAGGTAAATAGTTGTATGGAAAATATCTTAAAATCATAATCAAGCGCAGATTATTAGCTATATTCTTTTCCTTACTAATTACTATTGCAAGACTTTAACTCTCATTTTAGTTCTGTGTTTTGAATTAGGCAACTTATGTAATGATCAAATAATGCTTGCTTGAATATTGAAATACTGTAGCAACAAGAGTCAAAATGAGGGAAGGTAGCAGTTTGAAAACTAATTGTAACCTCAAACAGTAGTTGTGTAACTTGTATTAGTGACCTCTATTTTACTTAGTGCATTCTGTTCAAACGTCTATCTACACACATACTTAGAAATCGATCTGGGCAAGACATTAGCAAACTTGTGAAGAATCCTAATAACTAAAATGTTGTAATATTTGCTCGCAAGAAATGTTATACCAGTTCCGGAATGCTCCGACGCTTCTCCTGTCGTCCCTCTATTTTTTTTTTTTTTTCAAATAAGTTTGATGAAGGTTCCATAAGAAAGGTCACATTTCAAACCTTCTATTTTTGAAAAATATAAAAGAAACAAGTTCAAGAGAAAAGAGCCAAGTCTCATTAGGATTGACCCGGGAAAAAGAAACCCGAAGGTTTATTCTTCTGCAAGACACGTTGGAGTTGTTCAAGTTCATCACTTATTTTCACAATCAAAATGATTTTTCTTAGTACTGAAGAAAATGTGCGGCTATTTATGAGCTCAAAACTAACTTTTTCTCATTTTTGTCCAAGTTTTAGGTCAATTTATCTTTTCAGTGTTTATACACCGTCTCCATCCTCTTTCACCTTCAATTTTGCTTTTGTAACCTGGACTAATTTCTCTCTTTCTCTCTTGACACTTCAGGTTATACTGAAAATGCGAAGGTTTTATCAAGAGAGAGCGATCTTTCGACCTCAAGGCGAGTATTATGCTCTCGAAGTTCCAAACCTTACTGAATCAAGGCCATCTCTCATCATTGGAGATGAAGTGCGTGCCAATCTGGCTGGTGATAGTAAGTAACTTATCATAATAGGAGAAGTTAATAGACAAGAAAATATTTAAATTGACTAGAAACTAAAATCTTTGGCTCAGTTTAGTAGTAATGTATGTACCATTAGTTTCCCTGTGTGCACAAGTGTTTTATGGATGAGCCAGAAATTCTAGCTCCACATCGCAAAATATGGTTCATAGTTAAGTAAGGATTCTCAATAGGGAGATTGGCAAAACCAAATACTCCTCAGTCCCTTGATTGTATTGATCTTTAAGTTTTTATTCTACTTGCCTCATTGTATCCAATATAAGCAATTTGCTTGAGATTGAAGGAACGAAGAGTTTCTATATGGTTTTTGTGCTAACTACGCAGTTAATCTAGACTCACTCAAGTAATCTATGTTGACAGCCGCCAGCCCTGTATAATTTAATTTAAAGACTCACTATAATATTTTACTAGATGAATAAAAGTCTTTAGAAATCATAGTTTTATCGTTTTCATTTTATCACTTTTTTTCAGGTAGACAGTTTCAAGGATACATTCACAAAACCCTTGTGAATGAAGTATTGCTTAAATTTAATCCCGCGTTTGATGAAGTCGCCAGAAGCAACACTTTCCGAGTCAGCTTCGTACAGAGCAGAAGTGTTTACAAGAAATGTCATCAAGCCATAGACTGTTTTTGCAGTAAAGATCATCTTGGAGTTGACTGGCTGTTTCCGAATTCCATTGGAGAAGCAAAACCCCCTCAAGTTATCTTTCTTGAAGAAGACGTCCAGCTCCAAGATGAAGAAAACAATTATGAGGCACAAGGTCCTTCCAGTTGTGAAACAAGTGCCAGCCGAATTGATAAATTAAGCAGTTTATTAGATGAAGATCAGATCTTGGAGGCAAATGCAAGGCGCAGTCCACCAAGTAGTGCAAGTAGTTCATCACCTGTCAGTTGTACTAATGGTGTCACTTCAGGAATAGAAGAATCTGAAGCTCCTGCCGAAAACTCTTCCGAATCCAAAAATACCATTTCAACCAAGCAATCTTCCCTGGACGCTGCGTACCAACACCTCGATCATTCATCGAAGTTGGGAAGAGAGGCGGAGAAAATCAAGTGGGCCTCCTCAGGGCGAGGCTATGGTCAAAAAAGAACAAAGCCTCTTGTTGTTAGACCTTGTCAAGTTGCGAAGAAAGACAGAATTAAATGGTACAATAAATCTTTGAACATGCGTCAAAAAGAAGCTGTAAAGAATATTCTGAAAGGTGAGGCTCGGCCTTTGCCTTACATCATTCACGGTCCTCCCGGTACTGGCAAAACCGTAACAATGGTTGAGACTATTCTTCAGATTTTAAGCTTGCTCCCAGACAGTAGGTAAGTGTGATATCATTTACCTCTTTTTGACGGTTTCTTCTGCATGATAGCAAGTTATTAGATAGCTACTCCAAGAAATGAGTCTTGCAAGTAAAATGGCATTTGCTGCTCTAACGTCTTAATTTGGGATGATGTTATTGCCTGCTATTCTCAGCTGTATGGTATAGTTTAGATTTAGACACATCGCATAGGGACACCTATATCTCCAGTTACCCAAAATTGCAAAATATCAATTTATGTAGTTCATTCATGTGGTGCATTCACAATCCACTCCCACCAAAAAATGCAAAATACAGGGGTCCTGAAAGTCCTGAGCCTTCCATCATATCCAATTGGCCTTCCTCCATATTTCACGGAAACCTATGATCAGTACTTCTTGAAGACTAAATAAAATATGAGCATTAAGGTCCTAAAAATAGTGTGTTTTTCTTGTCTTCGGCTGAAGTTGTGAAGTTATTTAAAGCTATCTTCAGGTCAAAAATTGCACATTAACATCCAATCTACAAGAATTTGTAAAAGAAATTTTAAAATCAGGAGATATCAATCAATCAATCAATAATTTTTTTTTTCTTTTTTTTTTTTTCTAACATTTATTCAATATAAAATTTCCGAAGGAACTATATACAATTTATTCACAAACAGAATGAGGGTGAGAGATGAAATAATAAGTCAAAAGAGAATTTGCAGGTGTCCGAAATTTGATGAATTTCGTGTTTAAGTGGAAAGCACTGAGTGAACTGAACACGAGGATACCCTTGATTCATGAATTGAACAATTATTGAAGAAGATATGACAAAATGATCTAATCTACTAAAGTGCTTAAATGGGAAATGCTGCCAGATGACGTCACCAGGCGGTGCATTTTCTCACTTTTAAATCTATTTTTATACTATTTTCCATATCAGAAAAAAATTATAAAAAATACTGTGAAATCAGCTCTTTAAGCACTTTCAGATTGAGCAGTAAAAAATTTGCATGCAAAGTCTCCATTAGACTTATACTTAAAATAGGTTAGAGGGAGCATGCTTGGACGACCAGGAACTAAACCAACATTTTATACAAGAATAAAAAACAATTCAAAGGGTCAGATCTGCCCTAGGAGTGAATTGATAAAGTATTGACGCCTTTTCATCATGACTGTGTCTTCATCATTATCTTTCTCTGAGTTTAAATTGTTAATTTTTTTCATGCAGGCTGTTGGTGGCAACTCCATCCAACTCTGCGGCTGATCTCATCACTGAGCGGATATTGGAGCGGTTGAATTTATATCCAGGGCAATTGGTTCGCCTTGTTTCATATACATACTGGAATGATGGCCGTGTTCCTCCCTTCCTCAGACCATACGCCGCTATCGCTGATATAAAAGAAGATCCAGATAAAAGTGAAACTCCTGGTCCAAACAGTATTAAAGTTTGCAGCCGAGAAGTCCTCGGACGACATAAAATTACAATTAGCACATGCACGTCCATTGGTATTATGTACACCTTAGGTTTCCCTGTTGGACACTTCACCCATGTTTTTGTCGACGAAGCAGGGCAGACCACAGAACCTGAAATCTTAATTCCCTTGGGTAAGTTGTTAAATCTCTCCATATCTTCAACTTAGGATAGCTGAAATAAATAATCGATTCTCTGGTTTTAAGAAATCACCAGGGTCTCTAAAATCAGCCAATTCCATTCAATCACATCATAACTGAAATTCGATGATCATTATTTTGTCTGGAAGTTTTAAAGATAGACCGCCGTTTTTCAAGATGTTCGAGAGGTTTGCAGTTAAAGCTCCAGTTTAGTTCCAACAGAACATACACCTTATAATTTTATCTTTCAGTTTTAAGTATGTCTTGTCCTTTTCATCATGTGGTGTCCATATGTTGCCTCCCAACATGAATATAATGTTTTAAATGCAGGCCTACATATCTCTAGTGAGGTTTCGTGAATTTCTATCAAATCTTAAAACTGCTACTGTCAGTTCACTAAAAACTTAAATACTACGGGGATTGACAACCTTCCAAGTGGCAAATCTTCTCCTCATTCCTTAATTTACTTGATCTATTTCCATCTTTTGCGAAAAGCAAAGTTGCTCAGGGAGTACCGGGGAAACCTGGCAATGTCAGGGAGAAATTATTGGGTTACCTTTATTTGCTGGCCAGAATGGATTCAAGGTTTCGATCAACACATTTTGCTTGAAAACTCTTTCTAACCGTAACCATCTGGCATATCTACAATTGTCAGGGAACTTCATCAAAATGTGTCAGGGAAATGTCAGGGAATTTCGTCTTCTAAATTCTGTGGCAACCCTGGAAAAGTTTAATCCTATGCGATTATCTTGATTTTTTCAACCTTTTTTATCGTGTTTCATTTGACTTAACGTAAATTTGAACAAATTTAAATTGTGTATTGGAGAGAATTGAAATATTTGTCCCATTCTCTTAAATTTCGAGTATGAAGGATCTCTACCAGTCAACTACCGCTCTCACATTTTCTCATTGCGCAATCTCAATGTAGCTTTTAAACTAAAAAAATTGCATGAAATAGATCCGCTGACTTATGTCCTAGTAACAAGCACCAATTGTTTTTCAGCTTTCCTACACAAAGACAATGGTCAAGCAATCCTGGCTGGTGATCCAATGCAATTAGGTCCTGTCATTGTGTCTGAGTTAGCCAAACCACAATTAGATAAGTCACTGCTATATCGTCTCATCTCACGGTTCCCGTACCTCAGGGATATCGAAAGGTTTCCAACAACAGGCGGCCATGATCCTCGATTGGTCACTAAACTTCTTGATAACTACAGGGCTGTCCCAGAGTTACTGGAATTCACAAGTGGAAGGTTTTACGATGGCGAACTTATTGCTCATGTAAGTTTAAATATTCGCAGCTAGCCCATTCAGAATGATGACCCTTGCACTGTAAAGGTGCTATTTACAGTATATTAGTATTTTCTAATTTTAACTCACGGACTCATGGAAATGTAAAAGAATTTAAGACCCCTTTTGTGCAAACTTGAACTGGAAGTGACTGGCGCAAGCGCCATTTTAACTAAATTTCATGGAACCTATTGTTTATAAACAAGAATGAAAGTTTCCATTAATAACTTCAACTCAAAAGTTATTTGTGTTTTCCCCCCACCATTTTAAATTTTAATTTTCCACTACAAGAACATGATGGTCATGGTCCAAACATTGTTAGCGACAGTTTTTTACTTTGTGCAATCTTCCATTTTTGTTCTTTCCCCGATATTGAGCCTCATGGAGGGGTAAAACTTCTAACCTTCTTTTCTTCGTTCAAACATGATACAACTTTGTGTGTTTCTGTTAAACTCTGTCTAAATACACTCTGGAAAGCTGTGACTCGGAACTAAAATGAACTTACATTTCCATTTTTGAACCCTTTCAGTTTTTTGCGATCATCTTTACTGTAACTTCCATCCTTAATTTCTGGTCACAGCCGAGACCAATCTACACAGGTCAGTCATTCCTGAGGACAAGTTTTGGTACTCTACTGCGCAGTGACGTAGTATTGAGTGCCGGCAATGTATTTCTTATGGGAGCACCCATTGTGACGTAGCATTGAGTGCTGCCGAGTTAGGGCCGGGCGGGGAAGTGGCTTTCAAAAAGATGCGCAATGACTGACCTGTGTGGATTGGTCTTGGTCATAGCAAACGTCACCACAAAGCTTTATGAGGGCATGCATAAAATTATGTGCATGGAATTGAAAATACGTACGTAGCGGGCCTCAAATTAAAATAAAATTTTAACCAAGAATATTCGGTCATACAAATGTGAAGATTGCTCTTTCATTTCCAGGTATCCACCAAAAACTCCAGGGAGGAAGAAGTATTGAGGAGGATGGCCAGTTGTTTACCCATCTCAATCCGAGATCCAGAGTTGGCTTGTCCATTTATTTTTCAAGGAATTCGCGGTGAAAACCTTCAGGAAAGAGACTCCCCCTCATGGTATAATCCGCAGGAGCTCATGCAGGTGGTGATCCATCTTAAAAACATCTATGCAGTAGGCTATGATGAAGATTCTGTTGGGATCATCACTCCCTATCAAAAACAGGTAAATTTTGAGTTTTCAAAATTAAATTCCCATAAAGAAGTCATAAAAATATGAACTACCCAGAATATGACTGTACCCAAAACAGGGTCACTGAAGAGTTAGGGAAAATCTGGAACAGGATTTACTGTCATCAAACCTTGAATTTTTCTTGTTTGATGAAAACTCTGATCCAACCAGTGATACTTATTCATAAGAGTTTGGACTTAGCATTGAGTATGTCTTTTGATAAGGATTATCATGTATTTTAAGTTTTAAATAAGTCGGTAAATATGTTGGCTGGCACAATCTTAGTCTTTTTAATAATTTGTTTTTGAGTGAAGTGGAGTTCTGTGTTGTCGCTTTCGCTCCATTCTCTCATATCCTCAAATTTGAGGCTTTTTCATGGGCGCAGTTGGGGAGAGCAGGGATGCTCCCCCCCCCCCCCCCCCCCCNCAGAATCGAAAGTAGGTAGTATTATCTGGCCCTTTTCAGAAATTCTTTACTTTGGAAAAAATCTTTGTGAACGATAACTCTTTGTAACAATTCAAAAATATTTTGAGCTGAAATGATGTTCAGGAATTGATGGAACGTTTGCATCACAAAAATCCTCAAAATACGTTTTGAGTTGAAATTTCAATAATTTTCCGAAAGAGGCCCCTAGACCCACTTATGATAAGGGGGGCTAGGCCTTCCCCAGCAACCTCATAGCGCTCATAGGCGTAGCTATCCACCCCTACGCCTATGAGCTTCTCCTCTTGGGTAGAGCTTGTTTCTGTGGTTTGGGATTACTGGCTTCCTGTTTCACAGGACACTGGTTTCTTTAAGGGAATGGATCTTCTCTAAAAACAGTGCGCCTTTCGAATTTTTTCAGCCAAACAAAATATATAACACTAAGTATGTAAAACGCCTGACATAATTTCGTCCTGCTTTGATATCATGTTCTTTGTAACCTTCTGAGCTTGATCAGTTTATATTAAATTAGAGCTTTTCACATACCAACTTCAAAGAAATCAGGATTAAAAAATGACTTTTTAGTAATAATACTCACACTTTCCAAAAGGTTGATTCTTTTAAGGCAGTTCTCCAATCATGCAACCGCTTAACCGAGAATTGAAAAGAGCCAAAATTCTTCGAAATGATGACAGTCTGCGTTGTTGCGTTGAATTGGGAACAAAGGTTCATCCAAAAATCCTGCATCAGAGCAGCTGAAAGTCTAAAAATGCGTTTCGCCATCGTAGCATTTTAATTTTTTTTATTATTTCTCATTTTTCCACAAGGAAACTAAACAAAAAATTTATTTGAGATTTTCTATAAATATTTTTGAACAAGTAATGAAAATTTCATCAAGAATCATCGGTTAATTTCCTTTCAAAAAAGAAAAAAAAAAAAACCAGAAGAATTTGTTGCATTTATCCGTGATGCTGTTGTTTCTGGAGACTTCTGCTGCATAAAAAATGTTTTCTAAAATTTCATTCACTTGCCACCTTCTCCAATTTCAGCCACTCAGAAATTTCTTTTTTTCATAATTCACCAATCAACTTTTCTCCTGTGTTCTAGGCGTCCAAGATCCGAGGCATGATCAATGAAATGAGACTTCCCGTACCCAAAATAGGTTCAGTAGAAGAATTTCAAGGACAAGAAAGGCCTATCATAATTGTCTCTGTGGTCAGAAGCCGGGAGGATCTAAGGGACATCGACATTCAACACGCGCTTGGATTTTTGAAGAACCCATTCAGAGTGAATGTTGCCACTTCTAGAGCAAGGGCGCTCATGATCGTAATCGGAAATCCTCACCTTCTGGGACACGACTGCTACTGGAGGAATATCATTGAGTATGCAGCCGAGATTGGGGGTTATACCGGCTGCGACTATCCTGATTTCTTATCATTTCCCAGGGGCAATATTGCACAGGATGCTGAAAATTAAACTTATAACTACCAGCATTCACAACCATACAGAACTGGAGTATGATTTTCGAACTTATCCCTTGTCTTGGAAAATTTTGGCAAGCAAAGAATAAGTTACAGAAGTTTTTTATTTGGTATTATTTAAAACTTCAAAGCTCTACTCAAATACACCCTTAATCATTCTTCGAAGACTGACTAACAATAAGGATATAGAATTCTTTTTCCCCTGCTAAGAACTGTTTTAATTGACAGACGATGGACCCAATCTCTCCTCCAAGGGACAAGTAGGCCTTGGTAGCTGTGAGCTCCTTAAAGTTTTAAAATTTCTATCGTAACCGGGTACGGTGAAGGCTTAAATTCTAACAGCATTTACACTGATACTTTCCTTATGGGAGTTCAAGAATGTGATTGATTATTTCACGCACGGGTTGTCAAGAGTTTAATTTTTAACCAAGGTGAATGAAGACATCAGTGGTTGCCTCAACATTCGTGACTCCATGGAGGTACATACAAAGAAGAAAAAGTAAACAGAATTTATGCATTCAGTGCCATCGAGAAGTTTGCTATGATTACACTCCTTGCTCTTGCAGCACTATGTCCAATCTTCTATTCCTGAATTAAATTACTGGAAAAGCGAAAAACAATGAAACACGATTAACCGAAAAATCAAGAACCAATTGGTTTTAGCCCAAAGTAGGCTTGGTTAGTGCAGATGTTTCTGTTATATGTGTTTTGTGTCGTTCTGATAGCCATAAGGTTGTGAATAGGATGTAAAGTTTAAGTTCTTTAATTTCTACTATGCTGTAATTAGTTCGCATAGATTGCATTGCCTTTTTAGGACTATTAGTTGCTCTTGATATTTTTTTGTCTTGTTACCTCTGGATTTGTAATCTACTGTGTGATGTAAATATGCATGTTACTTTCATCCGATCGGTGATTTGCAACACATCAATGGTATGTTTAATTTACAATCCTCACTTGGTAAATTTGGAATCTTTTGGATAAGTTTCCCCTTAGTTTAGTTAGTAAGGACAACCAAAGTTAAGTGCTTATAACAATTCGTTTTATACTTTCTGAATCTACAAACATTGATCTTTTTGATTGTTTCCCGAAAATCGCTAAAAGTATTTATACCACAGCACTCGTATCTGGATCTCCGCTTACATCCATACAGGCGCTAAGATGAAGAAATGTTCCAAAATGGAGCTCCTTTGACCAAATCTGCTCTTTGTCATCAAAAATTTGTTTCAAGTTTTTCAGTTTTCAAAAAAAAATTCAAATAAATTATGTCTCCGTTCTAAAAATATCAAGAGTCCAACACAGGAACCACGTAATCTGGTTAGCGAATCTGTTATGCTTTATTTTTAATTGGAAAACTGGAAATTTGAGAAACATTTTTCTGTGGAAATATTCACGGTTTTTCTGCCAGTCCTGAAGGATTTTCAGTGAAAATTTTACATGACGTTGGCTTATTTTTCTATAAAAGTTCCCTTGCCCTTGAGCACGTTCCTCTTTCTGAAGAAAATGAAGAAAAGAAAAGAAAATACAAGAAGGGCGGGCATTTTGTTTGACCGTTCCTAAGATATGTGTCTTTTGAGTTTTATCTGCGAAACCATTCTTAAACTTCAGTAAGATCATACTGTAGAAGTAAGTTAAGTAGATTTGCAATTTCTTTTCTCTTTGACACAATTTACCTCTGCTGGTGCTCGTTCATTTCTACTCCATTTGTTGCAAGTCTGTTAACTTCAGTTTTTAATGTTAAGTTGTTAGGTTTTATGTTTTGATACCATCATCTTCTTCTTCTTGTAATAATGAGGGGGGGGGAGGGGGTTGCATTTCTTTCTGTACAGTTTGAACTGTTCTCAAATCTCTTATTTCAAACATTATGTTATCTCACAAAGTTTTACAGCTCAACATATGTTCATAAGATTGAACCACACTGATGGATCATATACTGTAGGTGTTCGCATAACCCATGAGTACAAGTATGTTCCACATTTAACTGGGAAAAAGAAAGAACACAGAAAAGAACTTAACACATTTTTGTAATATAAACTGATAAAAGTAAAAAATAGAACAAATGTAGATTCATTATAACAATTTATTTTGAAAAATACTTAAAATAGTAAGGATATTTTAGGAAGCTAATATCGAAACATTAAATGAATTGCTTTCTTATTCTTTTCAATTGCTATGGAATTTCAGAGAATGCTTCCATTTTGACAAATGTAATCAATTCTTCAGGTTTCTGTATTGGAATTTCTTCATGAGAATTTTTTTCTCACTTGGTATTTACACAATAAAAGAAAGCAAATGGTGATTTCCATTTGAGTGCTTGATTCGCTGTGGCGACTAGTTTCTCTTCCTTTTTTTTTATAATTGATTTTGTAATGTGGGACTACTTGAGCTTATGCGAGGCTTACGGTAAGCGAAGTTATTTCTCAGGTAGGTAGTTTTTTAAAAAAGTTTGAAAATAGAGGAAGTAGTTTTGTAAAATCTAAGTTCTTAACTTTGTGAACAACAAACGTACAAAAAATTATTCTTTAAGCTTTATTTGACTCTTATACCAGTTATGGCGCTTTTGAAAAAATAAATGTTTCTACTTTCTTAACTTTTTTTGTTTCTTTGATTTAAAAGATTTAATCAAAGGTTCAAAACCTCTAAAGGTTGTTCCAAGACAACCAAATATAATTATTGCTGTTCCTACAGGAATCAAAATTTTTAGTTGGCTTGCTACTTTGGGTGGGATAAAGTCCAATAAATTCAGTCCTCTTGTTCTTTGATTTTCAGGATTTTTATTTTTATTTACAATAGGTGGATTAACTGAAATTATTCTTGGGAAATTCTTATTGAGAAAACTAAGCAAGTATCAGGCTGAATAACTTCACTCCAATTTAGGCGATAGTGAAAGAGAACTTTTCGAGTTTATTTAGCTCCCAATTTACTAGCTCACCACAATATTTTAGGTAGATAGAAAAAAAAAGTATACACCCATATGACTTCGGAAACCAACAATTGAACTACCGTTGGGTCTCCCATAGCAGAAAATGAAGAGAGCGCCTTGCTGAATCTTAGATGGGTGGTGTCAAACAAGAAATGAAGGGATAAAATTGCTACTGGAACTCTGGCAAGGTCGCTAAAAGAAGTAGATGGGTGTTGCAGAGCGCTTAGAAGCGTTTTAAATGTGGCAACTACATAAATACATCAGAAGTAGCCACATAACTTCATCTCTTTAGAAGTAGCCATATCCTGATGAGTAGCACTACCAATCTTCAGAAAGGTGAATTTTCCTGCCCTCATCTTTGTAGGGTACCTACTATTGCGCCATGAAAGATTCATTATTCCATTATGAATAATTCACAAGAAAAATATAAGAGAAAGAACTCTTTTTGAGGAGAGTCGTGTTTTGTGTCTTTTTATTAACATTTGAAAAAATGAAATCATACTTAATACCATCTTGATCACAATGTATGTGCTAGGGGTAGCATACGTTGCATGCCTGAATAAAGAGTTAAAAACGGTGCTCCATAGATTACTTATGGAAACGTTTTTTCTTCTTGAAGGACATTTTCTTCTTCTTTTTACCAGAGGATTTAAAAGATTTTTTCCTTTTTTTATTAAGTCTGTTCAGCTCTTGATCCAGAGTTTGAAAGTCATCAAATTTTGTTAGCTCATCACCGAAACTGCTAGAGGTTAAAGCTGCTCTTTGCTTTGCCAATATTTTGTCTCTCTTCGTGCGAGGTAATCGTGTGTAGTTGGTTTCTTCATACCTGGAAAAAAAAATAAAATAGAAACCAAATGCCCAGCAAGAAGTCTCCACACATTTACAAAGCAGAAAATAAAGCAAGCGTCAAAATCTCATTTGATGCTTTTGAAAAAACTTTGACTAATATATTTCTCCATTAAATTTTATCACCTCTTGAAAATTGGTTAAATAGACGGGTTATTTTAGATAATGACCACACTACAAAGGAGAAGAATGTGAAGACCCCCAAATGCGTCTTATTTCCTCAACCGATTTGCATAAGGTTCAGAGAGAGTAAAACTATCATATTTTATGTTCATAAGAATGCATGTAGACGGTGAAACTATCAAACGACGTATCTTGGTGTGCTACGTTGCAGACTTCCTGTCATGCATTATTTTTTTAATGAAAAACTACTCAACATCAATTCTTGAAAAAGCTGCATTTTATCCTCTCTGTGCGAAGTAAATTCAGTGAAAACTTCAAAGAATGATATTGATATGTACTCCTCTGAAAAAATAAAATGGAAGTGGAGATTTTTAAACACTGCAAACAAGATACTTAGTCTGATAGTTTCACCGTCCATGAATTATGTGTGGAACAGAGCTCATTTCATGTTGATAAACATTTTACTAGTTACCTAATGAGCAGTGATTTATCCCAGTTATCAGCACAACGCAGAGAAAAAAAGGAAAAAAAAGTCTACTCCTATCATCATCAAAATTATATTTCAAACTATTGTTCGGTGAGAGCAGCTTAAATTTGCTTCCGAGATATATCCATGTTCCAAGTTTTTCCAGGGAGACCCCTTTACTCTACCGTGACAATGAAGAGAGCAGTAAGGTGAGGTTGGGTAACTGGGCGGTGGGGTAACTGGGCAGTACCCTCTGTATTTCTACCAGATTAGTGCAAAAATTGTTTTCACTATTGGCATACCTTCATTATGACGTAAACCATCTAGAACATGTAAACATAACTTCAAAAAAAAATTTTATGGTGAATGGTGAAGTGCCGAAAATTGGACAGCTTTTTTTTCAAAACAACGCCGGAGGTGGTCCCGAAAAGAGCCTCATATCTCACTCCCAGCAAGTATTTTATTCAACTTTGACAATTCTTCTTCATGTATGATGTATTTGTGTAATGCGTGAGTAATTACAACGTAATTGGATGAAAATACTGGCTGCAAAGGGTTGATGCCCAGTTACCTTGAAAATTTTCCCTTTGTGGGGTAACTGGACACCCACTCCAAGGTAACTGGGCAGGTGGCAGTGGTGGCACCTGCCCAGTTACCCATTGCAAGGTTGCTGTGCTTCGGTGTTTGTTTACTTCTGAAAATGTCAAAACTAATTGACTATTGTGGACTTTTAAGTGCCAAAGACCAATAATCAGGGTTCCCAGCACACTAAACTTCTAACTTAAGTCAATTATAGCATAACTTAAGCATTACTTAATTACATTTTTGCCGCTAACTGTTATGACATCACTTTTAACGACTTAAACATGGTTATATAAATTCAAATGAAATTCTCTGAAACCCTCATGAGAAGGACATTCTTTTCTGGCCAATGAGAATTACAAATAATGCCCCCCTTAAAAATTAAGGGAACTTTTTGGCGCCTGACTCTATCCCAGATCAGCCTTGCGGCTTAATTTTTTTTCATTTTTTAAAAATGTATCATGCTTAATCTCACTAAAAGTGGCCAAACAGTGTCCTGGTATACAATACTACTTTATAAGTAGTAATACAGAAAGTTCTAAGCATTTATCTACAAGGAAACAATTTTTTTTTACCGTTCTTCAATTCTCAGATTTGAGGGTTTTTTTGCCGCTAACTGTTACGACATCATTCTTAACCACTTAAACATGTTTATATACATTCAAATGACATTTTCTTAAACCTTCATGAGCAGGACATCACTTTCTGGCCAATGAGAATTAAAAATAATGCCCCCCTCAAAAATTAAAGGGGGGTAGTCCAGTTACCCCACGACGTTGGGTAACTGGGTGAAAAAAACGGGAAATTTTTGAAAATTTGTGGGAAAAAATTGAAAGATGAAATTCGACTTTTGACTCTTCCTACATTTAGACAAGGTGTTGTACTTACTAAAAAAAATTTAAAAGTAGCTTCCACTGTCAATATAATGATGGGAAAAAAATCATGAAGTTGAAATTTTGAAATTTTTCTCCGAACTCCTGCCCAGTTACCCAACCTCACCTTAAGTGCATTTCTGTATGAGCCATGATTAGTGCATACTTTTATATGTCTCGCGGTTCATCCCAGCATGCACTTGTTGCTTTCTTCGCTATCAGGGCAGTACTGGTCCCCCTTCAGAGCTGGGTCTCTCGATGTTCCCCAGATATATGAGAAACTGAGGGGTGTTGATCGGTTAGTTTTGGCAGCTGTCTTGACGACACAGAAAGGTACATGTAATGAGAAGGTGGCAGGAAGGGGGGGGGGTAATGGAGGAGTGGAGAGACGAAGAGTCTACAGAAGGGCAAGAGGGGCCGTGACTGTATGTTGAATGATACGAATGTGCTAACAACCACTGTCTTTTGATTGATTTTCTTTAAGTCTCAGATTAGAAAGTCCTATGTTTCTCAGACTCTCCTGAATGAGATGTTCTCATGCACCCTGTAAATAAATTCTTGAATTTGTCCATGTGCTCAATGCCACTGCTTTCCTGTCATTATCAATAACATTTCTTCAACTGTACTGCGCTCATAAATTTTCACTTCCTTTCACAGAATTAAATAATCTGTACATTCTTCGTGTCTTTAAAACCCCTGTTTGAAAGGCATGCTGCTACAACAGATATGAGCTTCGTCAATTTGTTCTCTTTCTCCTTATTTCGTTACATCTCAGGGCCCCGTAAGGAATGATGTAAAGCAACTAAGAAAGGAAGATGGCGGTTAACTCCACGACTGATATTCGACGTTAACGAAATCAGCGGCAACTATGCGCGCGACGTGGCATCCATGCCGCCAGTGACCGACCACGACCGATCATAACCGAGCCCGCCCGATCCGCGACCGAGTCTGCCCGATCCGCGACCGAGTCTGCCCGATCCGCGACGCGGCTCGTAGCGGCGCGCGACTTGTGGACGCGAACCGTCTATAAAAGAGCGGCCACCGGCCGGCAGATTGTCATTCGATCAGCGCTCTCGGTCGAAGACCACTCGCCTCTCAACGCTTTAAGGTAAGTTCTCTACAATTGTTCCCTCACCGCTGAGTTTCACAGCTGGTGGGAACCTCTCCCTCATACCCTCTCTCTCCCTTCCCCACCTCTAGCTGGGTTTCTCGGCTGGTGGGAACCTCTCTCTTGCCTTCTCTCCCTCTCCCCCCCTTCTGGCTGAGTTCCTTGGCTGGTGGGAACCTCTCTTACCCTCTCTTTCCATTTCTTTCTCTTGCTCTCATCCCTTTTACTGGCTGAACATCTCAGTCAGTAGAAGACTCTCTTGTCCTCAAATCTGGCTGAGATGATTTCTCTGGTCTTTCTCCTTTCTCTGGTCCTTCCCATGCGCGGCTGAGTACCTCGGATAGAGGCCCTTCTGAGTATCTCATTGGGACCTCCCCCTTCATCTTTTCTGTCCTTAGATGGAACCCTTCTATGGACAGCATGACCATCCACAGTCATTATTCTGTTGAGTCACACTCCACTGGGCACATCCAGGATCTCTTCTCTTTGGAGTGCCTTCAGGAGTCATAGGCCACCCTGACCCCTCCACCCCTGCCCTCTAAAGCGCAAACAGAGGCTCAGAAACCAGAAAATTGTCATACTCCAAAGAGTTTATGGCTCTATAGACGTTGATGATTAATTCATTAAGATCATCATAAAAGTGGTTGCAGGATAGGATCACAAAAAATTTCATTAGGCCGAGTATCTGTGATACGTACTCTGTTCTTTCCCGTTCCTCCTTAGATATCGCATTCTTCAGACCAGATGAATGGGCAATTTCAACAGGAGCGTCTAAATATTCTTCTTGCATTTTCTGAACAATGGAGCTGCTCAAGGCGCGTTTCTTGGCCTTTTCCAGCAAATCTTTTTGTTTTGATGCCAATGTTTCTTCTCCATCTACAAAAAGAGGGAAATTCAATACAAAATATTAAAATTGAAATGGTGGAATAAACTAGCCGTGGAGAATCTTCATAGTTTTGAAAATATCTACGATCATGCAAAAAAGGAGGATGGGTTGGTAGGCAAGGCAAGGTTGTTGGATAAAACGTAAACACAAGAAGTTATGAATTTTCGGCATGTTTCCTTGACCTGGCAAGAACAAAAATGTATCATTTTTGAATGAAAATGATACACATTGGCAAGGGACGTATTCCTGCCAAACGAAACTATGTGCATTAAGAATGAACCCTGAGATCTATAAGAATAAATGCATAATGGGGCTCACGCCATAATGCACATAGTTTAGTTAGTCTGTTAAGCAGAAATACGTCCCATTGAGAGCCTTGTGAATTATTTTTTAAAAAAAACTTACATTATTTTCTGAGTTGGATAAAAACTTCATAATCCACTAAAGAGGTGTGTGAAAAAACGGCCAAAAATGCCTCAAGGCATTTTCGAATTTTGATCACTTGGGGTGATACAGTAGCTTCCCAGACGCCCAAAACTGGTCGCCGTTTTGCTTAGAAGCGCCGGGTTGCGACGTTGCCATTTTTTAAAGCGGAAACCTTTAAAAATTCATATCTCCGCCGCATCTCAACCGATTTCAATGAACTTTTTTTTAAAATGTTCCTCTTAAATAGAGCTTTCTAGTGGTATATAGTTTTCTGGGGTTTACTTGGCTTTAAGTGACACTTACGCGGTTATAGCACTTCTTGATAGACACAAAAATGTAGTTTTTATTTTACCACGATCGTGGAATCGACGGAATCTAAACAAAAACCAGTCTAAATGAAAGTTCAGATTCTCACCTTTCTAACGAGCACAAGATCATCCCGGGGAAACGTTTAGTTTCCGAGATATGACCGCTCAAAGTTGGTCACATGCGCTTTTGCGCAATGTGAATGCGCCTTATCACTAAGTCATTCGCGAACTGGGGGTCCCTTATGTTCAATTTACGTTGAAATAATTACACAGAGCAGTAAGGTGTACAACACGAGCCGTATTTTCACCTTCGGCTGCTGATGTGCGACGTTGCCATTTTTTTAAGTGAAAACTCTTAAAAATGCATAACTCCGCTGCATTTCAACCGATTTCAATGAACTTTTTTTTAAAATTTTCCTCTTAAATAGAGCTCTCTAACGGTATTTAGGTCTCTGGAGTTTATTGACTTCAAGGCGGCACTTAGGTCGTTTATATGGTTCTTTGCAGAGATTTTTCATATAAATAATTGAGTTGCTATTTTTTTTTCTTTTTTTTCAGAAGGGGGTCTGTATTTCCCCCGATTTTTTTTAACATTCAAACTAGATCGGAAGATCACCATCGCTTAAAGTATAATGCAAAAATCTTGGTAAATTAACAACACCAACTTCCCTTGTACAATGAGAGCGTCGCTTTCAATATTTGTACACGTAAGAATAGTGATTAAAAGAATCCCTTTTTTCAAAGTTCTTTCTTTTAAATTTTGCCATTTCAAACCCTCCCACAACCCGCGGAAAAAAAAATAAAAAAAAATAAAAAATAAAAGATAGCAACACTATTTTCTATATGAAAAATCTCTGCAAAGAACCATATAAACGACCTAAGTGCCGCCTTGAAGTCAATAAACTCCAGAGACCTAAATACCGTTAGAGAGCTCTATTTAAGAGGAAAATTTTAAAAAAAAGTTCATTGAAATCGGTTGAAATGCAGCGGAGTTATGCATTTTTAAGAGTTTTCACTTAAAAAAATGGCAACGTCGCACATCAGCAGCCGAAGGTGAAAATACGGCTCGTGTTGTACACCTTACTGCTCTGTGTAATTATTTCAACGTAAATTGAACATAAGGGACCCCCAGTTCGCGAATGACTTAGTGATAAGGCGCATTCACATTGCGCAAAAGCGCATGTGACCAACTTTGAGCGGTCATATCTCGGAAACTAAACGTTTCCCCGGGATGATCTTGTGCTCGTTAGAAAGGTGAGAATCTGAACTTTCATTTAGACTGGTTTTTGTTTAGATTCCGTCGATTCCACGATCGTGGTAAAATAAAAACTACATTTTTGTGTCTATCAAGAAGTGCTATAACCGCGTAAGTGTCACTTAAAGCCAAGTAAACCCCAGAAAACTATATACCACTAGAAAGCTCTATTTAAGATGAACATTTTAAAAAAAAGTTCATTGAAATCGGTTGAGATGCGGCGGAGATATGAATTTTTAAAGGTTTCCGCTTTAAAAAATGGCAACGTCGCAACCCGGCGCTTCTAAGCAAAACGGCGACCGGTTTTGGGCGTCTGGGAAGCTACTGTATCACCCCAAGTGATCAAAATTCGAAAATGCCTTGAGGCATTTTTGGCCGTTTTTTCACACACCTCTTTTAGAAGTTAATTCTTGTTGGATCAGGAAAAGTACTGATTTCGCTGACTATAATACTGTCTATACATTTTGCAATGTCTGTAAACTACAAAATTCACCAGGAAAGGAGAGTAATTCAAGAGAAACAGTAAAAATACAAAATTGTCTGCTTTAATTGTACTAACCATATTTCATTGCTGCGAGGCGAGGAGGAACATATTTTCCGACGTTTCTAGAGCTATCATCAGTAGGATCCATTCCCTTTGGTCTGGCATCTTCATCTTCATCACTTTCTTCTGACTGCAAACAAATCCCAAGAGTTAATTAAGAAAATTTGAAAAAATTTTTACGAGCTACTGCCATAGTAGACAACTATTAAGAAAATATGGACAGTAACAAACTACGGGAGATAGTTGATAATATCTTAGTAAATTTAAGACTTTCAAGTTCCTTGGATAAAGATGTAGCAGTTTTTGGAAATTGTAATGCAACTGAATGGTAAAATTACATTGTAGTAGGTATAAAGATAAACTGTACCAGAGGACACTTCTGAAAATAGAGAAAGAGAAAAATTCGAGTTTCCAATTAATGAAAAAAACTGTTGCCCAAATAAATCGTACTGGCTTTATCCATACGTAATGGATAAATCAGATGGAACCCTGCACTGAAGGCAATGGAATTTGACACAAGCTAAGCATTGTTCCGATTTTATGTGTTCTTTCCAACCTCATGAGCAAAATTAGCTTTAAAACTTGAAGATTCTGTGCGTATATGTTGAGATAAAAAGGGCTAAAAGTGTTGGAGAAAAATTTGTTTCCGACTATCTGGCATAAAATCTTTCCAATTTCGGAGTATATTTGACAACGCTACTCTCTGTCCTTTTCTCTGATACACAGACGGCGCATACGCATATTAGAGAGGATACACAATTAGCAGACGCCGTGTCACAAGGTCGAGAGAGATCAGACAGAGCATTACGAGATTCTGTGCCGAAGTGAGCTGTGGCTTCGTCTGCAAATTTGCCTCGTAATTGATTCCCTCACAAGAGTGTTTTGGTCGTTTTCATCCAAAAAAAAATCCTTGTTGATCACTTTCACCTCTCGCTGCCTTCATCATCATTCAGACAGCCCTTTTGTTCATTCCTACCAGAAATTCCTTAGTCTGCGCTACGCATAGCAGTACTGCAATCAGACTGAGTGTATTTCTTCAGCATGGAGACCCAAGACGGCTATCCCCGGAGCACAAGCCCCCCACGAAGGATAATTTTTCAGTAGTTTGACACACATAATATAATTGGAATGTTGATGATTAAGGAAAATTCTTCTTTCCTAGCTGCACGCCAGGCAAGAAGTTAATACAGAAGCCTTGCATTTTTGGTGAGAATTGCTTAAAAATAAAAAAGCTCCGAATATCCGAAATAAAGCCAGAGTTACGACTCCATAAAGAAGCCTGAGTAAAAATTCTGCACAATTTGCTATTCAACTGCGCTTTAATCAACACTGGCAGTAGGGTGGATCTCAGTGTCAGTGAGCCGCAGAGAACACAGAAAAGTGAGAGAAACACTGCTTGAACCAAATCACAGAGTTCGAACAGGATTCATGGCATTATGTAACATCAATGGCTGAAACAACCCTTTGATGGTATTGCAAAGGGAGAGTGAAATAACTACAAACATAGGAGAGCGAAATGATGGGAGAAAATTGCTGGACCAAAAAACTTATGCTTGCAATTTTGAGGTACATGTTTCCATGGGGTAACACTTAAAACAGACTTTGCTAGAAGGGGCAGAGTGCAAAATGCCACAGCCATGGATCATGTGGATGGACCTCAAGCAGAAGGTTGCTTTGCTACTTACAGAGGTCGTGTCGTCACCATTGGCTTTGGTAAAATGGAGTCACCCGATTGGTTAATAAAAAGAGGCAACCAAAAGGCAAAAAGGTGACCAATGAGGCAACAAAGAGACACATGATCATCAGAGGTATCAGAAGCAAGTGTAGTCGTTACAAGAGTAGCCAATTGCTGAAAGATGGGTTGAGAGCCCAACTGGAAAGATGAGAAGTGAATAAATCCAGGAATCACTAATTCTTGTTCTAATACGAAAATGTAAAAGGAAAGTTAAGGTGAAGAGGCATTTCAGCGCCCATGACAGGGTCATTAAGAACATCATATCAAAAAATACAAAAATTTAGCTAGCACTTCATTTGGTTTTCCTAGCAGGGTGCTATGTGAATGTAAGTCTCAAGTCCCTACCATTGAAAATTGAGTTACGACCATTTGGGGTTTTTGATAGACATACATATAAAAATTAATAGCTTTTGAGTCCATAAATGCGTCAAAAATCATGGGTTTTTGGAAAAAAGGAGTTGAAATTTTACCGATAAGCTTGATTCAAAATGCTCCATTTTTCTCCTCTCCCTTTCTCCCCTCTCAGATTTCTATAGGTAAAACATTTTTTCACAAAATTTCAGAATTCCCAAAATTGGTAGCAACACTGGGGGAGAGGGGGGGGAGGGCAAAATTGTAACCTTTGAAGCTTGATTTCTCCTGTGCGAAAAAAAGATATAGATTTCCAGTTTGTGCAAAAAATCATCTAGAATTTCATACTTACATCATTCATCAGGCTTGTGGGATTGGCTCGGAACTGTGTACCATCATCTGCACTAGGAGCACCAGTCAGAGCGATTTTCACTAACTTGTCAATTTGATACTTCAACTTTTGTTCGAGAGGTCGTATCCTTTCAATAACAGTTCTTATTTCAACTAGTCGTTCTAGAAGGAAGAAAAAAAGGTTCATACAGATGGCTGATTTTACACAGTGGCCGTTTATTTCCCTAAAATGTGTCTGTCTGTTCAATGCTGATTTAGGGTAGCGATGAATTTGTATGGTTATTAAACAACGGGCTGGCGAAAACCAAATATAAGCAGAAAAAAAAGAACTTGAGAGTAAAAAATTTTACTAAAAACTGAAACACAAAATTACAATAAAATAAGATAGCAAAGGAACTATTCAGAAGTAATCGAAAGTCATTCCCTTGATAAAAATTTAACATCAGCTACAACTGAGCAATCTTGAGGATCCATTGCAGTCTTCATAATTAAACGAAACTTCATAATATGATGCTCTCAAACTGAGATTCCAATGATTTCATATTTGTATCTCCTCGTAACTTAAGCAGGTAATGGGCCACTAGAGAAGGTATAAGCTCGACCATTTAAACATATGTTTCCTCTATAAAATTTCACATGAAACATGATTATCTCATCAAAAATTATCGCAGCTCACTCCTGCTCAAGATATTAACATTTCTATTTAGTATTGATTAAGAAAAATTTGGACTTCTCCCTCAAAATCCAAACGCAGTTTAGCCTGGAAAGTTAAACTGGTCATTTGCCCTTTATTTCCCTCTAGCACTGGCTGTGAAAATGTAAACTCATTACTTTTTTGCAAAATCTGTGTATACTTAGACATTGATCAATTTTCAGTTGAAGCTTGCATTTTGCCTTTTGATAACATTTCTTGAAGGTGTGGGAAAGTTAAGGAGGCAAATCTTACAATCCTAAGTCTATGGGAAGAGAAAATGTCCCATGTCAACAGCCTGTGTTAAGTTTCACTTAATCTATGGCCTCATGAATTGTTAAATGATCATACTCACCCACTGAGGGACTATTCTGAATTGATTTGCCACTGCATTTGCTCAAAATGGTGAAAACCAGGTTTGTGAGGTACTGCAATAGCAAATGATTTTTGACGGTAAGGATGCTCAGGCCCTGGAATGAAAAAGGAATTAATTATTTTGTGAAACAGCAGCATCTGCTTTATCTCTTTTAAAGTGTTCTTTTATGAAACAAATCAAGGAACAAATGAAATAAAATAATTCTGCAGCCTTTTGGCAAAAATCATGGTAATCAGAGCTACCTACCTTGATTGTTCAAGGTCTGCAGTCGTGCAGAAAATACCTACTATGAAAGTCTAGAGATAAGAAGATTATGAAGGCAAACTTAAGCATTTTGGAAAAGTTTGAAAACGTAATGATAAAAATAAAATGTAGAGAAGAAGGAGAAAAAAAATTATGGCAAATTGTTTCGTTGTTGAAAATTTGTCAAGACAGCTAGATTCTTCTTGATATCCCCTGATCATTAAATGTTTCATTACATTTAAAACATCAACTGAAAGCATGCGAGACTCACTTCATCCGCCACGAGACAATCTTTATCTTTGGAGAGTAAATTGTTGACTGAGGCACTGAGTTTTTCACTAGCTGCTGCGATTTCATCAAAAGCTTCTAAAGTATCTTGAATATCATTACTTTCATCTGCTGCTTCATCTTTGGACTGAAAACAGTGAAGATGGTGATCAATATCGCGCAAAAGTTATCATGGGTGTAGCTAGGGGGGTCCTAAGGGGGCCTGCCCCCCCCAGAAAAACGGGATCCTCCATTTCTCCCCCCACTCTCTTCACCACGAGAGGTGGTCCCATGCCCTCCCCCCCCCCTTCGAGAAATTTCCTAGCTACGCCCCTGCCAGTTATTCAAACCTTGAAAAAAACAGAGGGCATTCCTTTCAGCTGGCCTTAGATTTAAGGGACAACACAGTGAGTATTGCGGGCACGATTCTTTCCGTAAAAGGGCTTTGTTAAAAACCAAGGAACAAATGAAACGGGATCCCCTTCGATTTGGAATGGTTCCCCAGAAGAAAAAATTTAAAAAAGAGGGTAATAATGCATTTGTTTATGTTCATGTTGGCATATAATAGAGGCATATCAGCTGGACGCAAGTTGGTCCATTGCCATTTTCTGTGGTTCGAATAAAAAGAGCTCTGAACAGACAAAAATACTTGTGCTCTTGCACAGTGATTGCGTTTAAACCGCTTTTCTTGCCTCAGCTCCATAGTTTGCAAAAAGAAAAAGAGCCATAAAAGCCGTGAGACGACAGGTTGCTCAGCTAAAAAGCCAATGTCTGGTGTGATGAAGGCATCAAAAGGCAGTGATGATGAATTGAATAAAATAATTTGAGTTTAACTTTCCATTCAATTTTCATCCGCATTGGTCGGGTGAAAAGTTTAAGCACCTGCATTAGGCTTAGGTTTATCTGCCTTCAGCACCACATATGGAGCTCTTGCATATGTGGGGGATTTGCGATTAAAGTACTTTTTCTTTCATTGAATTTTGCAAGAAACACGGTGGTGCTACTGCTTGCTTTCTCTGAAACATATTCCAAAGCTGGAGAAAAGCTCTCAAAGTTGAGGCCGTAATGGAGAGGATATTCCTTGCTATCTATGAGAGTCCACCTCTTGGTTAGGTCAAACTCTCCATGCAAAGATAGAGAGTAAATACATTGGCAAGATTGCTGTGTTTTCGGTACTAGAGTCACCGTATAAAGTGGCAACCCTGTTGATGTATTTGCTCCCTATCTTGGCATGGAAAGTTTGACTTGATATAGAAGTGGACTTTCAGGATAGCGTGGGATATACCCTCCATCACAACCTCAGCTTTAAGAGCTTTTAATGAGTTTAGAAGTTTGATTCAGAGAAAACCAGGGGCACCAACGTGTTCCTTGCAAAATTTTACATGAGAATCAGTGCTGATATCGCTCATTCCTGACACATGTAAGCGCTCCAACTTATGGAAAGTTTAATAGAAAAGTTGAAGGTGACTATAGATTCAGAAAGCCCTGCACACTCCTTATGGGAAAGTGCACCGGGATCAATTTTTAATTTTTCTATTGCATTCAACTCCTCTCGAGATGCTGATCAAAAGTCATCATTGCGCCAAGTTTCTACAATACACGCTTTTGAACCAAGTTTCAATTATACAGCAATAAAGAGTCAAAAAGAACAAGGCATTCGAGAACAGGCCTGATGGAAATGAGGAAAATAGTAGTGCATGTCTGTCTTCTCATCTGTTTCTGCCGACTCTGGGGCCATCTCCCTCTCATCATTTGACACTCACTGTTTTTCTCCAACTTTCCTATTATGAAACTGATTTGGATGGTCAAGAAAAAAGGCGTGCAGAATCCAAGATAAGACTGCCGCTGGGTGCTGGAGTTCCCCTGATTTCCTTGTTGACACACAGCGGACCATTAACTCAAGAGCTGAAATGAGGAATCTTTTTGACTCTTTATCTCCGAATAATTGAAACTTTAAGCGAAAACAGTGCATCATACTGAGCTGATGTAATCATGACTTTTCATCAGCATCTTGAGAGGAATTAATTGAAATAAAAAAATTAAAAATGGATTGTGGTGCACTTCCCCATAAGAAGTGTGCAGCAGGGTCTACCCCATTCAACTTTTCATCCAATTGTACACATATCATCCAAGTTCTTCATCCGACAAAGGCGGAGAAAAAGGTGGATGAAAGATTTGACATTCTGAGTTGAGCTTTTACTAATGCAGTACCAGCGCCATTTCTGAGGAATGAACAAATTACATCAATTTCATAAAACGGGAAAATATGGTAAAACCAAAACCTACCTTAACATCCATTATGGAAGGCATCGATAAGTATGGCAAAGGAAGAAACAGATAAGAAGGAGAGGATACCACTAATATCTGCAGAACTTTCACTTCACAACCATTCAGATAATTATATTTTAAAGGCAAAAATTAAATAATTCAAAGTGTGTAGTTGGATAAATTGGTTTAAATGCAATTTGGATGGAACGATTCCTGATTGCGGCATGACATACCGCGTCAGAGAGTATGGAAGGTTAGAGGCCCGACTGGATCAAGGCGGATAAAGAATGGTGGTCGCATTTCGTACCCTCTGGACGTCACACGGTATCGGGTACATCGGGTACATGGGCTGGCCGAGGCCGGGGGGGCCGACTCAACCTCGGATTGCACGGCATAACCCGTACCCTCCTGACGTCACAACGCTTCAAGATGGCAGCCAAAATCGAAATGCGACCACCATTCTTTATCCGCCTTGCGACTGGATAGGGAATAATTGAAACAGAAGTTGGAGCCGTGAGCAAGCAGTTGCGTACGTTGGCGCGAGAGTGCGCGGCGAGCGGAATCCCATACCACTGCGCTGATTGGCTAAGCGAGGGTTGCGGACGGACGATGTATAAAATATTGCCTACGTGGAGGTGGTCCGGCAGCAACATACCCGCCGCTAGTCACTGGAAAACAATAGAAAATAGTAGTTGCGTACGTCGCCAGCGAGCGCGCTGCGAGCGCTTCTGTTTCAATTACCTAGCATTGAGTCGGGCCTCTAACCTTCCATACTTTCTGTACCGCGTGGAGAAATCCAATAGATATCCTATCCTATTACATAGATTAAACATAGTAAAATGTAGGGACGGACTCATATTCAAAGAGTTAGAAAACAACCGTATAACCACTCGGTATCAGCCAATAAGAATGAGAATACTGCAAGGCACTGATAATACTTTACGCCACACACGACCCAATTTAGAAACAATTTTTTATGCTTGGTCTGTGTTTGGCTTCTATGACCTTGGAACATACATTTTTTTCTCTTTGCTACCATCTCTTTGTTTTAGTTTGTCTCGAGTAAATCTATGAAATATGATCGGCATTGCCGTATTTGCGGAGAATTCTTTGTTTTGTTAGGATGATAAACCAAAGAAAGGCGCAAATTTTATCTCACATGTGGCAACGGTGATGTCGCCATTTTACAAAGTAAACCATAAACACGACGGCCATGACAAAACCGCCATTTTGTAATGCAGGAAGCTTCAGAGAGGAAGCTTGCGTAACTCGCGTAGGAAATAGGAAGTGTCCCGCGCTGTTTTATTTTAATTAAGTATATATTTGGTAAAAATTTGTCAATTCCAAACGGAAAAAGTTCATCACAAAGTTTCTCATTTTTCAGTGGCGATTAATCTGTGCAGTTTTCATCGTTTGCCTCATTAAGAAGCAACAAAGACGGGATTCAAATCTCGTCACCCCAGGCTGTGTTGTTTCCTCCTCACTGATCCTTTTCGGAATCGAAAGGTAATTTACAACTTTTCCTCTTTAGTCTAGTAAGCTAATTTTAGAGTATGGTTATCCATGACATCATTCTACAGCGAGAACTTTTGAGTGGGAACCTAATTTCTTGAATCTATTCTGGGTCAGCGTTAGTGTGGCCTAGATAGGCTTTCGCAATTGCACTAAGCTTTCACTCCTTTAACCTGAATTTCTTAAGACCTCAGGTTGGCACAGATTAAGTCAGATCTTTCCCTCCTAAATCGTGAAGACTATAATTCCTGGTCTAAGACATTTCAAATGGAAATTATATGCTGATGGCCACATTGTCTGTCATGGCAGGAGCCTTCCCTCATGAACCTGTCCGCATTTGGCTCAGAGCTGCTTAATTAATATTTATAATCTCAATCCATCACGAGTGAGACGAATTATGTTTAGGACAAGTACATTTCTCCAATTTTTTCTTGTTTTCTCTGCTCAATCTTGAGCAGCTATAGAGAGAGCAATGTTCAAGGTCGCAGCTGAAAGCAGTGTTCCCTCAGGGCTTTTTTTTATCGCGGATCAGGGTGGATGGCAGTGGAACGCACTGGATCGGAATCCTGAGCGATCCGGACCGATCCAAGTGTTCCAAGTGATAAAGAAATCCAAACTTGGAATTTGGTTCGATTTGTTATTGTTTTGATTTTTTGGGGACGGCAACTTCCTCGCATAAGGTTAGGATCGCAGTGGATCGCGAGCTCGCCCCACCTCGGAAGAGCGATCCAGCGTTCCACCCTGATCCCCCTGGAACGCTTGGATCACGCTGAGGAACGGAATAAAAAAATACCGATGTTCATCGCGATCCACTGCGATCGGCATAATAAAAAGCCCTCTAGTGTCGCTCTGGAGAATGCATAATCGCATGGTAGGTATGGTCTTGACCGCTCATCAAGATATTATGGCGATATGACAGGCAACCCGGATTGCAACTGGTACCATTCAACAGTTGCCTGTTCCTTGGTCTAGGTACGCTGCTAGTAACCTTGAATGCCATCAAATTTCTGAGAATGCAAACCACCCTCGGGCAAAACAGACGCGCAGCCACTCTCCTACATTAGTACTTTTTCCATACCATGCTGTATCCAATAAGCTGAAGGCGAGTTATTACCTTGGTTTACCCCCCTAGCTTTCTTACCTGCTCTGCCTTAGTCAGGCCTAGCGCACGGTCTAGATTGTGTAAAAATTCTATGGGAAAACAACACTTAAACAACCTGCCTCTGAGTATGTTGTAGTTTTTGCACAACTATGTTACTTCCGAAGTTTCCATATTTTGCGTTAACACCTCACCGACTAAGAAGGTCGTCCGTGAGGCCTCGCCTAGCACCATGAGCCTCTGCGATTGGTAGTACACTCCAGATCGCCCCCACGCTATTCAAACGCTACAACGGTCGCTGTTTGGCCTAAAGCCAGATTGCACCATAAGTGCCTTGTCGAAGAAATCTCTCCGTTTGCGTTGGGCTGCTCAGCGCTAACGGATATCACGTGACCGTTGACTTACTCGTCGGGAAACGCGTTGTCGGTGGTCTCCGTTGACTAAAAACTGCTTTGTTTTGTGTGTGACACCGCATACACAATTACATTCTGAGGTTAGCTCAATGCTCTCAACTACCTCCTGAGACCGATGTCTTGTTGACTTCCTTTTGGTAAGTAGTCCAGGACGTCGGGCAATCAACGGAGTCGAACTACGCCGAGCGTTTGGAATCTGGTAATTCCGTTGCCCAACGGTCCCCAACAGTTTACTTCGACAACGCAGCTACACTCAAACCAACAACAACCTTATTTTGCGTGTGAAAGTAAGCCTTGACCCTACAAAATTAAAAAACTTTAAAACTACTTTCGTTTGTCGCCCATTTTCAGTAATTGTTGTAAGTGTTGCTTGCGATCCATTGACTCATTTTGTTTGAGGCAATGGAAGGATGCTGTTGGTTTTTATGTTTTATTAGTCAAAATTAAACAGTCAATGAGGGAGTAACCTTCAAGACTGCCAAAGCCATTGGTGTTTTGTAGTGTTATTTTTTAAATCCTAAAACATCCACTGGGGCATGTCACAGTTGCTGAACAGTAAGTGTTACTGCATGGGCCCTGCCCCCACAGTGCAAAACAACTTTAGACAAAGTGCGATTATTGCTTGTTTTCAGTATTTAACTTCAGCCACTGTTGCCAAAGTTGCTTTTGATCGAAATCGGTTTAGTCCAAATAAGTAATGACCTGCCTCTATAATAGTCATAACGGGCTGCACACCAATCAGTTTAGTTCTTTCGCTTTCTCTTGTATGTCATCTCTAGCTTCTTTAATACCAAAGGGAGAGGGTTAGGGGCTTTGCTAGCATTACAGTTAGTTGTGTGACAATTTGGATGATTCACACTAATTCAATTTTTTTATTGACATTTGTATCAGGAACAAAAATCTCTTGTCGTAGCAGCTTTCTCAGTGTGACCTGATCATCTGCCTCAGAGTATTGTTGACGATGTACTGAGATTTATACTTCTGTGGGTTATTTTGGATAGGGGTGGAAAAGTCCTGAAGTACATAGCGACATAATTTTAGTTTGTGTATGCTAAGTTTAGAGCTCACGCATTGTATGTTGAGACAAATGTTAAAGTTTTGTTTATGTCACCATTCACCAGTGGTGCCACTTGACTACATGTATTAACCTGTTGAGTGGTGCGAATTCAGAGCTACGGAGATTGACGTTTGTCTCAACATTCGATGCGCGAGCTCTAAATGGAGTAGATGAGCAGGGAACTATGAACGCATGATGAATACCAAAAATGGAACTTTCTCTTTCAAGCAAAGGGGGGTGCTCCTAGGTAAGGAGCCTTTTTTAAGTAGACTGTTTGGTACCGTCTGGAAACAAAATTATTAGATGTTTAAGGGCCGGGTGTCAGAACCGAGGAAAAAAAGATCAGCCAAAAGTCATATCAGAAAACAGCATTATCCAACAGACCTTCATGTGCTAACCAATGAGCCAACTGTAGATTGATGCACCTCAGGTTGATGGAATCTTTATGCAATCTTTTCTTTCCTCGGTTCCAGACTTGGTTTGAATTATTTTCTTTTTACTTTACTCCACAAAGTTGGTACCAATTAGTCGATTTAAGTACAACGTAAGTCAAAGATAGTTTTGAGAGTACAATCAGTAAACCTGTTACCTATTTTCCTGATAGCTTGAGTGTTTATCGGGGTAAAGATAGTTGTGTGCATAGCTGAAAGAAGCCTAGAAAGAATCTAAACAAGGCAATCACAGGGAGGATTAAGAATGATGATGATGATACGCCAGGGACCAAACCTGGCACCCATTGGCCAATGGCCAGTGTGCAACGCTCTTGACTAAGACTAGACAATCAGTCAGAGGCTAAAGTCTTACGGGTGTCGGTTTACAGCTTCAGCCAGCAGCCCTTTTCGGCTGTATTAGAAAAAGTTTTTTTTTGAATTCCCAGGGCCCATTCCCTTAGACACAAGTCAGAAAGTCCAATAATTTTAGATGAAAGAACATTCGGCCACGCTCCATTCAAATTCTAGGTGGGGGACACCTAGTGACCACTCCCTATCAGTAAATTAATGCGATTTGCCTCGTTAAGTATTCTTATTAACATATCCTTCTCTTTTTTCTCTTTTCAGATTCGAGGAGTACAAGTCAAACTTCTCTTCACCGCCTCCTAGCAGTTCAGAAGGATACCTCAAAGGACTGATGCTTCTTGGGAAACAGAGTGCCCAGATGTCGCGTACGAATTTTTTCATTCCTGATATGTTATGAAAACTTTAATGCTGGTTACAGCTGCGAATTCTTTAGTTCAAGTGAAATACCCGTTTTAAAAGAACAATTTTGGGTAATGACACTTAGTGTTATAAACGTGCTTTAAGGTGTTAAAGACGGAGCCTCTCATATATTTTATATACAATTTTATCTATCAGAATCCATCGCAGCAAAGTGGAAATTCTTGCATCCTCAAGGAAAATCTCCATTGAAAAGTTGTAATTGCGAAAACAAAGTCATCCGTGCCGCCAGGCAAGAACATTTGCATCGTTGAAAATTTCAGTCTAATAAAATGTGTGACACAAAAAAGTTTTGCCGTGAAGCAGCCAAAAGGCGAGCTTTCCAAATCATGAGTCAGAGAATTTCTTCTAAAAAGCGAGCCATAAAAAAATGGAAAATTAAAAATTTTGTTCGCAAATCCTCTGCCAAAAAAACAACACCGCAAAAACGTACTAAGAGGCAAAATACTCGGAAAGCCTCCAGAAAATGGAACATTAAAAACTTTATTTTGAAACCTAAATCGAACTGTTCGGATTTGGGGATCTCTGAGCCCAAAAACAGTGCTAAAAATAAGGGAATTGTTGGAAAAAAGAGGGAAGTACAGCCAAAGGCAGAGTTTCCAAAACCCTCTGTCCAGCAGTTGAACACACCACAAATCAACAACAGCACCGAAGCTCCGCAAGTACCAAAAAAACTGTCAACGGTCAAAAAAAAAAGGAAGTGGGATTTGAAAAACTTCATCATGAAGTCACCTCCTCGGCAACATTATGTAAGTCAATACTCGCTGTAATTTTCAGTAGTAAATCAAACTTCACTATCTTTTGGTACCTGCTGCGAGTTGTCAAAGTTGAAGTGATTTTTTTCTTCAATTAGCCGTAGTATTGCACCTCAGCATGTCATTAAATACTTTGTAAGGAGTCCATTATCTTGTGCCATCATGGGGATTGTTGAAATTGTGTCAATTAACTGTGGCACATGATAAAACTGAAGTAAAATGGAGTCAAATTATTTTGTCAGTCTTCTGAATAACTATTCGTTGTTCCTTTAAATATCTGAAAATTTGAATGGGTGTTGACCATTATGGAGTTGTGTTTATAGCCCGTAAATTATTCGGTCCGATCAAGACATAACAAAATGAACAAAGTAACTGAGCAATCGAATAACTCCAGCTTCTTAGTCGTATACTGTTTGGTCCAAAGACACATTTTTAACAATTCCTAACCATAGAGGAAGAGGAGAGAGTAATGGCTAGTCAAACATCTGTGCTTCTGACATTATCAGTAAAAATTAAGTAAGGTTTTGTGCCTTGTAATCTTTTTAGCTTCTTCAGTAGTGAATTCAATTTCTAGTATTCTTTGTGTGTTTAATGTGCTGTATCTGATATATTTAGAATCAAAGCTTTACGGAGCAATCCTTTGCCATGGAGAGTGGGAAATGGCGGCTTAAGTTAACTTGCAATCACTTTCTTCTTTTCCTTGGTTGACATCAGCGTGAAAAATGTGTCTGCCTTTAAACGTAACACATATTTCTTCTCTCAGTAATGATTCTTATTCTCTATTTACCTTATGCCAATATTGTTCTTCCTTCTTTCACTTGCCAGTGAGTGAGAGAAATCCTCTGATATAGCGGTGCTGGTGGTCATTGTCATTTTGTTGACCATTGAAAAGAAGGAAGAATGCATGAATATAGACTAATTAGAGTACTTCTGAAGTAATTTTTATAATGTATAGAACCTAATGGAATGGGTTATTTTTTATGAAGTTAGCGCCATTCTTAGGAATTAAAGAAAAGCAAGAAAAAAGGACTGTCCAATCCTCTATCAATCCTATCATTTTTTTTTAAAAAGAACATACTTATCAAAATGTAAAAATAGTCAGCTAATTGAATATATATTACTTAGAGTACCTGTATAGGGAGAGTAGCGACAGATCTGAAACTCCGAAAGTCCATCAGGCCTTCACCAATGCCTCCGCGAATAAAGTTAGGGCCCAAAAGGGCAGCCAACCTATGAATTTCGAATGTCCAGAGCGATTTACAAATACAATTGTTACGAACCGTCGTTTAGAAAGCATGTATTTGGCTTACTTTTTGCATAAATTTACTTCTTTTTGCGAAAGAACGCTCATTTATGTACATTCTTAGCCATCTTGGTTAGAATTGAAATCTGTAGGCTGGCAGTGAAATTTTGTGTGTTAGAAGTTGCTCAGAAGGGTGGCTGCACTTTTGGGCCCTAAGCCCTCCATGAACCGATCTGTCGCTACTCTCCCTATACAGGTACTCTAATATTACTATATATTTGTGTTCGAAATTTTGTATGCAAGTGGACAAGAGAAGGTGAAGATGAAATGGCATTGTATGATCGGTGGCTTTGTTCCTCTTCATCGTGCCTATGTCAGGTCAGATTGACGATTAGCCATAGGCAACTGAAGGGGCGCCTTTAACTTATTGTCGATTTCACCTGTTCAGAGGACAATTGAAAAAGCTAATCGGTCTTATAACTCCATTTCACCCAAATCTCCTCTTGTCATTTAACAACATGAAATTTCAAAGTTTGGCCTGTAGATGTATGCTGTAGACTTCTAATAGGCTCTTAGACAAGATATGAATTAAAAGCACAATGCCATGTGTTTTTCTCTTCAAAATTTCACAAGAAAACGAATCACACAATGGGAAGTCTGATGATCAACTCCTGAACAAAATACAAGTGTTTTTTGTGAGCATTGGTTTAATGGCAAAAATACAAATGACATCATTTGTGTAATCGAACTTCCATTTGATCTGTGTCAGAAGACTTGACAGTATTTTATTCAGGAGTTGATTTCAAAACTTCTAGTCGGGTGAATTCTTTTCCTTGTAAGATTTTGAAGAGAAAACGTGTGACGTTTTCTTCTACTTCAGACCTTGCCTAGCAGCCCACAGATTGAGAAGATCCGCCAGTCCTACCAGCCTCCTTTTTCTTGCTTTCTCGCGGTCGATCTGTTCATATGTCCCCAACAGTCTGCTCAGAATTGCATCGGTCCTGTTTTATTTAATTTATGTAAGGGTCAGTCCGGAAAAAAGTGAACCTCAGTTAAAAGTGGTTTTCAAAACTTGTATACTGATAGAAGTTTTGAATAATCATCCAACATTACACTGCCCTGGAAGTAATGAACACGAAATTTCTACAGCAAATCCAGTCGAATTTCAAAGATATGCCCTAAATTATGCCGAAATTTCAATATTTTTTTTTTGTCCCACCCGTCACAAAAATAGACCCAACTTCCATTTTGCCCTAGCTCCACCAGTGTGGTGAAACCTTTCTGTATTGTGCACAAGTGTTATTCAAATGTTCTTTTTCATAACTATACTCCTGGCTTCAACATTACTAAAATAGAGGTTTATGCCGAAAGAAGGGCGTTTGTGGAAGGTATAGAATTTCCAGGAAAGTAGCATTTGAAAGTTTGGAATGGTGTTCCACAAAGTGAGTGAAGCTATTGGTCAAACCAAACGTAATCTTTCCAACATAGATACCTAAAAATTAATTGAAATATATCAATAGTTTGAAAAAGATTTTTTTTTTTTTTTTTTTTTTTTAAAGGAGGTAGATATACCCAGAGGGATACTTCTTTTCCAGAACGGTTCTCAAAGGTAGATGTTTATCCCTGCTGCCAGAGTAGCCTTCGAAGAACTGACTGCAAGGAAATTGAAGAGCACTTTTGACATCCCCCTCCTCCTAGCACTTTCATTTGAATTTTTACTCATCTCACAAAAAAAAAAAAAAAAAAAAAAAAAAATAATAGTCAAAATTAATGACAAACTGAGCTTTTTTTAATAGGATCATAATTCAGGAGATCTGTTTTTAAGAAGTAGTTGAAAATTCTCTTTAAAGGCTCACAAATGTCGCACCAGAATGGCGCGTAGCTCATCCCTCTATTTGTAATGTTAGCTAGCAGCTTATTCTATCTTTCGCAAATTTTGTCTCCCTGAAGTAAACGCTCGTTCTAAATAAGACAAAATAAAATAAATATCTCCTTTTAACATTGTTCTACACATTGTAATTGTGACGTTTTGCAGTTTCAGGAAATGCCCAGTGCCAGAATTCTCCCCAGAAAGACCCCTCTACCTTTCCAGCCGGTTGTAAAGCTTAGACATCATGATGTTTTATGGGATAGCAAAATTCGCAGCAGAACAGGGCTTTCATTGAAAAAGTGGGAGGAGTACTATAGAAGGTAATTAAACGCACAGCAATCTACTTTAGCAACTCCTCAAACGCACAGTATGCCTCTTTGTAGATTATGATTTGCTCGCATGTTTCATTTTAACCTTTCCTGGGAGACACACCATAGCATTTTAAATTTTTGTATTTTGTGGCGCAGGGATATGCTCAGGACTTCAAAGAGTCTCCAGTGAAGAGGGAGAGGCACAAATTACCTAAGATTTACCTTCGATAGATAGAAGATACCCAAATTACCTTCTTTCGAGAAAATCCGGGAGAACCTTGCAAACCTAGCGGACCAGGTTTTGCAATCCTATTGCCTTACTGCTTTTAAATATCTACGTATTTTCGAAAACATTTTTTTTTTTTTTTTTTTTTTTTTTTTTTTTTTTTAATCACACCAATAAATATTTCTGTTTTTAAAAATTTTCAATTAAATTAGTGAATAGGTGAGTCTCCAAAGTGGCCAGCTCAATACTTCGTCACCTCCCAGGCAAAGTATCACAAGCGCCATGCGACGTTTAAAAATTTCCGCCGCCATTATATTTGTTTACAGAGAAATTGTTCAACGAAGCTGTCCGAAAATTTCACTAAATTTTCTTTGTGCTGCCGATAAAATTTAGTGAAATTTCCTATCAGATTCAACCAACAATTTCTCAGTAAAGAAATAAAATGGCGGCGGAAATTTTTAAAGGTCGCATGGCGCTTGTGATACTTTGCCTGGAAGGTGACGACTTGATGCTGTTGGCAACAGTTAATAGCAGGATTTTAGCTGATGGACAGATGCTTTTCATTTTTTGCCCATGAATCCCTAACAATGTGTTGCCGAAACAATGTAATTTTTTTTTCTAAATTTTAATTTTTTGCTGAATTTATTTTCTTTTTTACTATTTTCTGATAAACTTTGTATTTTATTGTCTTTCTCAATTTGTCTTCCTCTTTCAGGGGAAATGTCACTGTTGCTACGGATTCAATATTACCCAAGGAAAAGCCTCATGCACAGAAAAGAAAGAGACAGGATGAAGAAAAGAATTTGCTAGAAATTTATGGCAATCCTTTAAAAAAAGTCAAGAGAAAAGAAACATTGGATCTCTTTTTGAGCTGTTTCGGTCCTGATAGTGAAACAGACAGTGTGTATGAAGAATGGTCCAGAACCAAGAAGAAAGTTTCAGGTATCAAAAGTCGCGACATCAAAAGTATTCATCAAAAGTCCTCTTCCACATCTTGCAGGCAGCATCAATCGACCATCAAGCGAACCAGTGAAGCATCAACGAAAAAGAGTTTTAATTCTGTCAGTGCTGGTTCAACTTCAGCTCACAAACCTAAATCCTATCAGAGTAAATCAAGGCATTCAGATGAGTCTCCACAAGTTAATCCAAAAACAGAAAAGGAAGTATCCAGCATAAAAAGCCACAAGATCTCCTCTAAATCTAGTGAACAGCCTAGTCATGTGCCGTTTACAAGTCTTATTAAAGGCTCATCAATCTTTAAAGAAGTCAAAGATCCCAACAGAAAAAGCCAAGAATCTTGCCAAAATGTTGATAGTGTTGCTATTAATAGTGAAAAATTCATGAATGAAGCAGTCGCTGCGAAGCATCACGCCCCCTCACTGAAAGAAGCAGTCGTCAACAATGAAGCACAAGGAAAAATAATTAATCAAAGTATCAAGGAGGTTTCTTGTATCAATATATTGTCCCCTCCTTTTGATCAACCCCCTTTAAGTCAACAAAATGACACCATTGAAGCATCAACCCAAAAAACCGCTCTCTCCTTTTGTACTGGGTCCCCTTCTGCTCATAGAACAGAATCATCTCAGAATCAAACAATGGAGATGAATGAGTCTTTCCCAGTCTGTTCAGCATCATTAAGTCAACAAAATGAAAGCAGTGAAGCATCAACTGATCAGAGTTCAAATGAGCTTGTCATTCACACTGAGCCGACTCAAATTTTAAGTCAACAAAATGACACCAGTGAAGCATCAACCCAAAAAACCGCTCTCTCCGTTTGTACTGGGTCCCCTTCTGCTCATAGAACAGAATCATCTCAGAATCAAACAATGGAGATGAATGAGTCTTTCCCAGTCTGTTCAGCATCATTAAGTCAACAAAATGAAAGCAGTGAAGCATCAACTGACCAGAGTTCAAATGAGCTTGTCATTCACACTGAGCCGACTCAAATTTTGCCCAATCTAAGTTACAAGGAACTCTCCTCTCATATAACTGATGCCATAATTCAGAAGGTATCTTGTCAAGCCAAACTTACTGACAACAAAGAGTTGCAGGAGATAGTTACCGATATGTCAACAGCACGAGAGAAGGGTGGTGATTTGAAAACTTTACTCCATAAAATTCAAAAAATAATTGATAAGCCCTTGCTGGAAAAGTTTGACAATGATTTTATAGTGAAGTTTCATGAAGAATATAAGTCATGGGCTATAGATGAGAAAAACAGCAAGGCTCAAAGTGATTTCATTCTCAATATGAAGCATCCAATCTATGTTTTGAAAAATATTAAGAATAACAACATGCTATCTAAGAATGAAAAATTGCAAATGACAAACCAGAAATCGAATGAAATTGTAAACATCTGTAAACTTCTGCCCCGAATTTTTACTCCAGTCTTGAGTCATGATAGTTTTCCATTATTTGTGCTGATCTTCACCTTACGCACCTATCTAACTATATTCATGGTTGATTTTAAAACAGGTCGTCTAGATATAGATGATCTGAATCTCCTAAGGTCAACCCTAAAGGTTGGTCTGGGTAAATTAAGTATTGGCGATCTTACGGCTAAGATACTCTTCAAAATGCTGAAGAATGACTCATTTATAGACTCTTGCCACCATATCTGGTTTGTCATGGATCTAAGTCAAAAATTGAACTCTGTCAACTGCTACACTGACTTCACATGCGAAAATACGAATGACATCTCATCAGAGGCGCCTCAGAGAAATAATAAAGTTGTTACCTCCTCTGCATCCCCACCACGCAGTAGCGAATCGCAACTGGATAGTATCGTTGTGAATACCAACCTATCATTAGATTCTAACAGGTCGACAACAGTGAGTTCCACCGCTCCAAAAATTTCCAGCATTCTGAATAGCAACTCCTGTAGCAAACCCCTCGGAGGAGTGCCAATTTCAGAAGCTGCCACTAAGACAGAACGCAACCGCAAACAAAATGGTAGTAGAGGTCAATCTAACCTGCAAGCATCAAAGCAGACCCTTGTAAATCATGAGGATTTGCGAAGGAAACGGGCAAATAAAGGAATTTTAATATATCCCTCATCAATGCAGGAATGTGGAAACTTTATCGAATCAACTCCTGTACCAAAAAATATCCGCCCAAAAACAAACTTGCAAAGTTTTGCACCGTCATCGTCATCGCCTACTGGAGAATCTCAGAAAGAAAATTTTCCCAACCATCATGTGTGCACCACTCAGCATCTGCGATCCCTCAATACCAAGTCATCAGAAAATTCAAATGCATGCCAATATTTTGTTGACGCAACCTTGTCAGGCAAACAGAATCCTGAACGTACGGAGTTCGCAAATCCATCTTCTAACTCAGCAGCACCTAATGTATTCTTAGCCCAATCACCTTTGCAACCGCTTTCCTTGCACAAATCATCGAGTCCAAACCTTCAAGATGGGTCTATTAGCAGGGGTAGTTCTACTGGCCCAGTGTCTACCTTTGGTACTTTGGGACCAACCACCATAAATAACCTGCCCATGGCTCCTATTGTACAGAACAACAACTATATAAATCAAACAACTGTGATCCAAATCAATCCTGCATCAAATTATAATTGGGGTCAAATGCAGCAACAGGTGCAGCTTCCACCTGTGAACCATACTGTCTATCCTCCGCAATACACTCCAAATAGCCAGGTGGTGTGGACTTATCAGCAGCAGATAGCTCCCACAAGTGCTCAAATTATCGGGAACCCTCAACATTTTCCTCCTAGTTCATCTTACAATTCCACTATAGCAACAGCCCCCAATAAATCCACCTCTAATTACTATGTCCAATCTCATCAAATTAATTTATTGCAGAGTAATGGAACAAATTTTACTCAAACACAAAGCAGTTCACCCAGTATTGTGTTAAATTTGCTTTCAAAACCAGTGAATACGAATTTTTCCTCAAGTCAATCTGGAAAAGTTGAAAGAATTCCACCTGTGAGGGTTGATAAAGGGAAATCATCGTCGGTCTTCTCCACAGGGGGCCAAAGTCTGGCAGCCTTGCCGATCAATAATCCCATCCATGAGAATAGCAGAATAACACTACCTCAAGCACCAAGCAGTTTACGTGATATTTCAAAATCATTAGCTACAAGGCAACCTGATAGTGCAGGCTTTTCGATCAATAATACCATCAATGCGAATAGCAGAATAACACCACCTCAAGCACAAAGCAGTTTACCTGATACTTCAAAATCAACAGCTACAAAGCTACCTGATAGTGGAGTTCATGAAAAAAGTGCTCTTGTTGATCAGACAATAACCTTGACAGGTCAAGATGGAATACCATTTGTTATTCATGTGAAGTCAGCTGAGAATTTGACGACTGTCTCTGAAATTTCTGGTGTCAATACAGGCAAAAGACAGCGTGTTAAATACACTAAACGTGGACTTCCAGATCAGATGGAGATCATCAAATGGAAAAATAAATCCCTGGGGAAATTCATGAGGAAGGGGAAAACTAAACTTATCCCGACACCTGACTCTGTCAAGTCCCAGGCACCCTCAGTATGTGATGTAAAGACCAACTCATGCAAAGATCCCCGTCCACGTGTAAAGTACACCGAACGTCGACCGCCAGATCAAGTGAGGAGGAATCCTTCGCTAGGAAAATTCATGAAGAGGCGCAAAACTGAACCTACTCCACGCCCAGATTTCGTTCAGGCTCATTCTCCTGCATTGAGTGAGGGAAGGTCAAACTCAACCTGGGATTCAACGGCTGACCTTGATAATCTGTTGATCATTGAGGAGTCCTCACCCATTAGCTCGAGCGATAGAGAATCTACGGCAACAACCAAATCTGTGGTGGCTGATAGTGATAGAGTGTCAAATACCCTCCAAGAAATATCATCTGATAATTTTTGTGAAGATGGTGTTTTAGAGACTCCAAATAACTCAGAAAAAATCATTAAAAGTAATGGACTTACCTACAGACTTGAGCAAAACGGGACTGCAGGAAAAACTTTGAAAGGGAATTCGGTCTCCTTAAAAACTCAAACGGAGAGGTCTCTAATGAATGACAAAGGTGAAGAGAATGGAAATCAAAGAAAAGATTCTTGTGAACCATTCCCATCATCGGCAACTGGCACAATCACATCCTGTACTTTAATGGAAGGTGACTCTGTTGAAAATGGTGCAAATGAATTGAACAAAGCAAAAGACACACTGGCTTCAGCGACAAGTGTTGCTAAACATAAACTACCAGCATCAATTGCAAGACCAGCCTCTGTTTTTGGGAAAAGAATAGGAAAACAAAAGAAAAACGATTCAGTGTCTGTCAATAGAACTCCTGTGTACCAGGTTGTCAATGATGTTGACAATGCACTGAAGGTGCGTTTTGAGCTGAAGAAATTCGATAACCATGGTAATACTGGCAAACCACGAAGAGCCTCAGACACCATTATTGAGGACTCATCTACTTCTACCTCCAATAGCAAGGATCATTTGGGCAATAGTACCAGCAAACCGTTACATGGAAAATTCAGTCGAAGATATTCAGATACTAGTCTTAGAAAGGAAAGGACCATTGATGTAGATACATTTTTACAGAGATCCTATGAAGAAATCGAAAATGATGTCATCTCTATGTATTTGAAAAATTGTGAGGGTGATCGATGCCTTGACCGAAAAACTTTGCTCAGTAAAATACTAGCAAATTGGAAAAACCAGCCCATTGACCACATTTACGAATGGCTTCGAAATCAAGAGCCGTTCAAGGCAAATCATGAGGCAGACATCTCTTGCTCTAAAAATCAGGTACGTTTAATTATGCTCCTTGATCACTTAAGACTTTATGAATTCATTCAAAGCTGTGGGCTTGTCCTCAAGTAGTTTAAAATACTTTAGCACTGTTAATTCGAAGAAAGAATTGTAGCCTAGGTCAAATTGATTGAGGATATAGAAAACTCGACAGCCTTTAACCTTATACTATACTCCCTGACAGTCGAATTCGGAATAAAATGACACATGAGCGGACAGCAGACATGCCTGACAGTTAGTGCAAAGGCGCACATTGTGTCAATTTGGGAATTTTATTCCCAATCAGACCTGTCAATTCGGCTGTCAGGCAGTATAGTTGCTAGAAGATTGTTGTAATAGCTCAAGATCTAATCATATATACCTTCTTCATCATGCAATGGTTTCCTCACTTGCCAGTGTCATCACTGATATTGTACTGTTAAGTTCCTCTTTTTTTTCTCTCTTTCAAATTAATGCCTCGCAGTAAAGGACAGCGCACGAAACACTGTAACCTTTTGAGAAAGTCTAATCATAATTTATTTGGAATATTTTTTGCTTATTGAATAGTTGTATCTATTTTCACGATGTCCCTTTGTTTTTCAGATGAAAGTGTGCAGCAACATTGCATGTGGGAAAGCGCTGGTTGGTCCTATTAACCCATGTGCTGGATGCAACAAAGTATTTTATTGCTCCAGCACCTGCAGGGTAAGCATTTGTTTAATCCTACACTTTAATCTCCCAAACTCAAGGAGCTCCTAATTCTAAAGATGAGAGCCAGAGAAATGTCTCAGACTACAGGGGTGCACAATATACTAGATCACGCGATAAATTATCGCGTGAAATTGTGGAAGGCCTTCCCGATTTTCGGAAGCGCAATCACGCGATAAATTATCGCGTGAAAATGTGGAGGCGTCCCAAATTTTGTGGAAAATTTTTTTTCTTTCTTTTCGTTTCTTTTCTCGCTCTTCACTTTGAATCTCATATTTTTTACCGAAACATTGTGGAAGGGTTTTCACAATCTTCACCAAAATCTTCGGGAACAGTTTCCACATTTTTTAATCTATTCTTGTATCTTCTTGTATCTAAAATTCTAAATACATTGACATTCTGATTGCGTTACCACTAATACTTGGGTTCAGTTCAAGTCAACAACCCCCCTCCTAATTCCCCACTGGAAAGAACAAAACAAAACAAAAAAAAAAAAAAAAAAAGGTCATCACTTTTTGTGGAAGGAGTCACGAAATTGTGGACATTTTTTAAAAAAATTTTGTGGAAGAGGAAAAGCTTATCGCGCGAAATTGTGGAAGAATAGTAAAATGTGCACCCCTGTCAGACTATGGCGGGAAAGTTTAAAACTATGACAGAACTTATTTCATAGCAAGTCAAATCTGAACTATTTAATATACCAAATTTTCTCTCATCAATGCTCTTGTCAATTTGAATCCCTTTGTATCCAAGCTTTAACATGTAGACTGTTATACACTAGCACATCCTCCAATGTTTAACATCTCCCCCAGTGCTACGATTTTGCTATTTTGCGCACTAAAGTTTCTGTAAACTCTGTGTCGACACAATGGATCCACCAATCGCTGCTGAGCAATAATGATGATTATTTGGCATGGTTGGTTCCAGGCCCTATTCCCGGATGTACGAAAATGGTACACTCGGTCAACAAATAAGCTTTTTTTTAGTTTTTCCACCTCTGATAGTTGGTGCACAAACTGTCTCTTATTCGTTTTTCTTTTTATTGCATGTATTTAGTTTCCTTTTTTCTTGAATTAAATGTAAAATTTGAGAGAAAAAAAGAAACAAAAATTGAAAATGTTGTGAATTAAATGTAAATGTTAAATTTCCTCCGAAAGCCCCTATTAACTTACTGTTGTTCTTTTGTTTCAGGATGTGGACTTTCAGCAGAGCCACTGCAATGTATGTGAAAGCGACATTTTTATTTGACCAATTTTCATCATTAAATTTGAGTCCACGTATATTTTTTAACGTCATATTAATCATCACGTCTAATTCAATTTTTTGTAATTTCCCTTGTCTCATGTCTGCGCAGAATCAATTTCGTAAATTTATACTGTAAAAAGTGTGCCTTTAAAATTAATGTATAGTACCCCTCTTGCACTTATTGTTTTGAGTCAATTCGATTTAATGCTAAAATTGGTTATTATTATTCTATTGAATTGGCTCGAAACATGCTGTAGAGAAGCTTACTTATAGGTATTTTATAACTTTTTTAATGTTTTGTGTTCAGTTGATGTGGACCTAAGAGATGGATTCTTCCCAGAAGGATCCGCATTTTGCAACAATGAACTTGTATTTTTGGTTCATTTTAGAAACATCATATTTACCATTGGTTTCTGTACGCAGATAGTGTTTTTATGGATGAACCCAAAATAGTATGCAGCTCTTTATTGCATAATGTACTCTGAATAGTGTAAGTAAAACTATGCAGTTTTTTACTCAGTGCTCAAGTTTAATTTTACTTGTGATATGTCACTGCTTGATTCAAACTTACGCTTTGGGCATATCCTAAACATTTAATAGACTCTTTAATTCCCTATATTGGTATAGAAACTTTTCTTTAGATTCAAACAATGACAATACTTTGATAGGGAATAATTTAATTTATTTTATACATTGGGTATCTACCCAGGATTGAGATGATGTCTTACCATTATCATTTAATTTATAGGGTATCCTTTTGTTTATGGTTATATCATGTTTGTCCATTTTTAGCTTTACGTACATTAATTACATGAAAGAACAATTAATCAATAAACATGCTCAGATATAATTTAGCCAGTCTGAACATGGAGGCGAGCAAGCACATAAAATCCCGAGACTTAATGGGTGGAGAATTATTTTAAGCTTTTTTTTTGGTGTCCAACTTTCTCTTTGCTGACCCTAGAGGTGAGGTCTCGGCACCCATAATGTCTTTGGGTACTAGGCTAGTCATTAATTCAATTGTTATCTCATCCACAAAGTTGGAGAAACTTACAGGAACTCTTTTGAAAAAGAATGTAATTTCAACCCCAACAATAGATGTGAAAAATTCTGCATTCAATCCCGGATGAAATAATTTATTTTACCATTATTGTTAATAGTTTCAGAAATTAATATTTGTTGTATTTTTATATATTAATTGTCCTTCCTTTTCTGTTCTGGTGTTGCTTTATTTGTGAAACAAGATGTGAATATCAGCTGCCACTCCCACACAAAGATGAAAATATTAATTTCTTTTGACCAGAACCAGCTGAATTGAATTGCTTTTTGCCTGACTTTCTCCCATGTTCATTTTTTTAATCAAGGAGCTAAACAATATAAAATCTAGAATATGATAAGTATATTGTATAATTTTTATCAGTAAATATTTTATCATTTTCTGTATTACATATTAGATATTGTGTAAAGTATATTTTTAGATCACATAATTATAGAAAGAAGAATATTTTACTATTTGAAACGTAAAATGTGAGAGGTAATCAGGCAATATCCGATTCAGTCAGGCTAATTCTGATCAAATCTGTCCAAGTAATAGAAGTTTTCAATGGCCACTTTAAACGCACTGTTTCATATTCTGTTCTTGTTTGGCTAATATCTGCAACATGTTGTTGAAAATGAATGATCCTACATGCTCTCCTTGAGCACAACTCAACCAATTTTTTGTACACTGCAATAAGAACACATCTACAAATTCATTGCAAAATAGAAATTAATATGTAACTTTTGATTATAAAAAAGTCTGGCGACCAAGGTATGCTTTATGAAGATTTTGGAGGTCAAGAAACAAAATTGCAACATTGTTACAAAGCTGCCAAGAAATCAGTTCATTTCCTCCGAGTTGAATTATGTGGATGTGGCCCTATGGCATAGATTTGTTCATTTGTTTCTCTATCGTGTATGATTTATTTTTTCCTTCTTTCTCTATCACTCTATAACAATTGTCTATGTAATGACAGGGTTGCCACAGTTGGAGAATTTTGGGAAAAGTCAGGGATTTCAAAAAGACGGGAATGTCAAGGAAAACGATGAAAGTTTCCGGGAAAATTATTTTAGTTGTCTTCATTTGCCTTCTAGAAAGGTTTGACATTCCTGGCATCTTTTGTATGAAATCAAATTCCATCCCGTCTTTTAAATCATCCCGCATAACTTTTAATGTCGGTGGATTTTGCCATTATGTATCAAGAAAATCACAGAATGTCAGGGAATTTCATTTTCTAAATTCTGTGGCAACTCTGTAATGACCCCATGACCTATTTTTTGACTTGTTGTGTCATTGTGTAATGTATAAATTTTAACTTATGTTTTTACTGCCCAATAATTTTTGTTTTTATAAATGCATGACGTTTCATTATTTTGTTGTTAAAAAGAAATGAGAAAAAATAAAATAAAAAAATATTTTTGTACATAAAATATCCTTGATTTTTTTCTCTTTTTTTTTTTGCCTCAAGCAAGTTGGTACAGTTTTCATCCCGAATTTAGGAGGCAGTGTTGTCACAAATTCATGGTCTTTCGCAAAGTGAAAGACCTCATACGCCTAACAGCGACCAATGCCAGCAGACAATATAAACAATCAACCGCTGCACTTGCCTCTTGAAGGTCCCCCCAAGTTTCAACTGGGTGAATCCAGCATATTCAAGTTTAAAGAGCAAACAGGGTTGAAGTGGTAGGGAGAGAATTCAGCTAGTGCTTATTGTTTTCATTTCTCACTATCACTCTAGCTCAAGTATGCACATAAACAAAATCATTTAAAACATTTATGGTTGAGCTTAGTAAATATCTCTGAAAATAGGTGGTGTGAGAGAAAAAAAAATCTTGCCACGAAGAACAGTTACATATAATTTATTCACAATAATAAAAATATAAAACCATTTATTTCGATTAATATTCAAATCAAACGGGTCAAAGAATGATCTCATTTTTGAAACTTCTCGTCAAGTCTTTATAGGGAAGAACAATTGAATTTAGCAAGATCACCTCCGAGGGCACTGTGACACTGCAACCTGTAAATGATCAAATAGAACACGAGTGAAACATACTGTTTAAGTGAGAACATTAGACACAGCTCTACACAGTAAGTTCCCCTTCCATATTTTATCTGAACAACGTAAGTTAAAGAAATTTCAAACACTTGACTGATGGACCGACGGCTAATGAGTTGTTGGAAGACCTCGTCACATAAAAACGATCTTTTTTACGGTCACACTCAATTAGTTTCAGGGTGCCATTTCTTCTTTTTTTTTTTAAAAATAAAAAATTTACAGTTTAAAAGATGAGGCTAAAAGAAGTCTTAACTAAATGCCATTGCAAAGTTCAGCGCACCAGAAACATTGACTTAACACTTGAACCTCAGAGCATAAAAAATATTGAAGATTAGAATCGCTCAGTTCAGAGACAGACAAACTCGGATGATTTTTAAAATTATTTGAAATGAAAAGAATAGTTGGTAGTGCGGGATTCACCCCTTTATTCTTTTTTTTTTATTCATTAAAAAGTTTCTTGTTGAGCTTCCTGGAAGGTTAACGCGGGTAAATTTTGAACAATACAAGAAACATTCGAACTTCAGAGTTCATGATCACTTAAAGTTCCAAAAACAAAAAAGAAAATACTTTGATACCACTGCCTACTAGTCAATTATATTTTAACAACATACACTAAAAATAATTTCAAATCCTTGAACTCTACAGGTTATTCTTGCTAGTAGCAGAATCGTGTTTAGATAGCTTAGAGCTTGTGGATTAGCAAAAATTATAAAGATCAATCCGGATGCAAAATTTTAACACCCAATATTAATGGAGATATTGCCCATCAAGAACCGTAGAGAAAGAAAAGAGGTGTTTGCATCTTGAGGTTTGTTTACCCTGTGACGTAGGTCGGTGCAACCTGGCCAGCAAAATCCGGAATTCGAAATATGAAAAACGGACCATAATGTCCAATGTTTTTACTTAAATCAACTCATGATTTAATATCAAGCACTTTTTACAGAATGGCTTTTTTCCATAAATTACACCATTTCCAAGAAAATCGATTATAAACGTCGCTGTACCGACCTACGTCATCAAAAAAATTCCAAGATGCCCGAAATGCAAACACCTCCTTTTTTTTTCTCTATGATCAAGAACCACAGAGTATGACATTATCCACAGCAATGAAACATACCATGTTTCTCATTACTGCAGTAAAAATGTAGAAATATCACATTCAGACAGCTCCTACTAAAACTTTTTTGCAAGCATTAAAACTTGCTTGAAGCAATAAAACTTGATTCTGTGACTAACAGTGGCGTAGCGACCATAGCGTAGTATGGCGTGCTTTGAGATATACCAATTGATCTGCCATCTAAGCCTATGGAAGAGGATCGATTAACAGGATGTTCGCAACGAACATCTTGCTAATCGATTCTTTACTATAGCTTCAAATGGGGAATTGATAATCAATCATTCACGCCTCGCCACTGGTGACTGGCGTGATGAATTCATTGATGCCGATCAATATTATTCGTCAGAATTAAGTTGTTTCCAAACTGAAAGATTCAAAAATTCTTAAAAAGCAGTTACACAACTCAAAGGGATGAAACACATTATGACACTGGAGCTATTTTCAATAGCTGAACTAATCAGTAAATAAACAATCTCAAATACCAGAGGAAACAAACTGGATCGCAGTGACTTTTTATATATCAACAGCATATAAGAACAGCAGGGAGAATCACTAGGCAACTAAAAACTATACAGTGTTGTAAAGTTTTTACATTCTCCCCCCTTAAAAAATGTATACAGATTGAATATCATTAAAAATTTGAAAATTTTGAAATTGAAATTTCATCAGTAAAAACTGTGTGTGTGTGTGTGTGTTTTTTAAGCACATTAAATTTAAGTTAGTCATCACTTAACGGTAATACACAAACTTCAGTGATGACTCTCACTAGTGTGGATGTTGCTGTTTCCTACTCTTGTGATGCCATCTGATCCTGGGTGAAGGATTAGATCAGGATATTCTTCAGGATATTCTTCATCAGGATATTCTTGCTAGTTTCCAAAACATCGGGGGACAGTGTCTATCCTTTCTTACGACTAACGATCCTATTTTCGGAGATTCGTTTTTTTTGAGTGAATGTTTGAATGTGTTGAAGATACTCCCTTTGCCATTTCTTCCAAAATATGTTGAATCCTTCCTGTATTGCCTCATACGCCCGTAGAATTTTTGTAGATTGCTTTGTAGGTGTGTTATCAGGATAAGACGTGAGAGGTCCTCCTCCTGGCGGTAAAAATGACCTGGCGTCAATACGTCATACTTTTTGAACTTTACTCAATTCGAACATTCGATCAATAAGGATCTGCATTCTTATTATGTAAACCACTGAACTCAGACTCATTTGTCAACACGTCTCTTTTATCTCATCATTTCAGCAGTATTTATTAGTCTTCCACAGTCTTTCCACTGTCTTTACTTTTTCTTACAATGAATTCCTCAAATCTTGCATCTCTATTCAAGAAGGTTATTAAAAGTATGAATACATCATACATTTTGGATGATTTCCTTCTGCACCAAAAAGCTAATTCCAATTTTTGGAAATTCGATTTCTAAGTAGAGCGCTATTAAATCGGTTTTTATGTATGGTATAATAATTTACTGAGGAATTATGAATATCGTATTATTTTCACCATGTGTTAATTTATGACGTGTTTAAGTTCATAATAATTAATCCACAATAATGCTAAGTTACATAAAAATTCATGTATGTTAAACTCGCTTTATTTCTCTATTGTGCTCATTCTCTGCATGCATTGTTGAGTCAGGAGTTTTCTCCTCAGGATTTCACACATTTTTCTGTAGGTGCTTTAATGCAACTGTTACTTTTAAATATTCAAAAATCAAGTTGGCACAACTGGTATACTGGGCTTTTATTTTACTTATCTCAGGTGAGCTTGTTTCGGAAGTTGTTTCCATAGAGTTCACAAATCTGGACAGTTGATATTCCATGTTTTCCATTCGAATTTTCAACTCCTCTGTAGCTTCTTTGTTTTTAAAATTTCTGCTTCATTCACGCTGGGTTTTGCTTGACTAGTAAATCCTCCTTCCTTCATATTTACTGTAGTATTATGTATTTTATTCCATTGTTATATCTCTGCTCACTTTTCTTTATTCTCGATCTTATAACTCATATCAGTCTTGGATCATAACCTTATTTTCTGCTCACTTAGGTTATACTTTTTCTTCTCTCTCAGATGTATACTTTTTTTTTCACTCAAATTTATACTTTTTCTTCTCTTAACTCCGACTAGACAGGGCTTTAGCCTAAATGTACTGAGACTTAGATAGGTCTTTTATGCCTAAATGCACTTTTGCGCTTAGATAGGTCTTTTTTGATTATTATCGGCTGAAAGCCGTCATTTTTGCCTAAATGCACTTTCGCTTAGATAGGTCTTTTTGCCTAAATGCACTTTCGCGCTTAGATAGGTCTTTTTATTTATTTTCGTTCGTGTCGAGACACCGCCTCTGTCCGATCGAATTAGAAGTCTAGGCCCAGGTCTTACACAAGTATTGCAAGGATAAGAATGGAGGCGAAAATATCGCTCACTGCAATCTTATTTCTATCCAAGCTTAATTCATGAGTTCACATCGGGAATGGAGGCGAAAAATATCGCTCACTACATTCTCTATGATGTAGCTTTTAAGCTCTCAGTTTGTATACAACAATATTGCTTACTGCATTTATATTATTATCGAATGGAGGCGAAAACCGCTCACTGCATTCATATTATTATTGAATGGAGGCGAAAACCGCTCACTGCATTCATATTATTATTGAATGGAGGCGAAAACCGCTCACTGCATTCATATTATTATTGAATGGAGGCGAAAACCGCTCACTGCATTCATATTATTATCGGATGGAGGCGAAAACCGCTCACTGCATCCTCAATAATAAATTAGTAAGAAATGCTCTTGTCAAAGTGTTAAACGCAACGTCTACTTTTACTCTCTCATTTTTTTTTAGGTTATCTCAATCACATCTCACACTCACATTTCATCTTCACTCTAATTCCTTATTATTTTTCACTTTGACCAGAGATTTCGAGTATATAATCACGTCGGGGTCACCAAATGGAGCTATTTTCAATAGCTGAACTAATCAGTAAATAAACAATCTCAAATACCAGAGGAAACAAACTGGATCGCAGTAACTTTTTATATATCAACAGCATATAAGAACAGCAGGGAGAATCACTAGGCAACTAAAAACTATACAGTGTTGTAAAGTTTTTACAGACACTATAAAAGTAGTTGGCCAATAACTTATTAAAACTAACGTTTTATGGAGCAATTTATCATGATTGGCAATGATTTAGCTGAGAGACTTTCTTACCAAGAACTGTTATTGAAGGATTCAATTTCCCGCTTGAATTGAACAAAGGCAGATTATCCATTTTGGCAAACGGCTTGTTTGGATTAGGATCACAAGGAGTTCCTTCAACACGAGTCCACTCGCCAACTTTAGTTCCTCGACCCACGATGCTATATAAAATCTGGAGAAAAAGGGGGGAAAATAAGTACACGATGAATATTTGTAGTTTCCTCATGAGGGATTGTATCTAACTTATTTTTTCTATATCTTTTGTGTAACCTATTATTTTCTTATTTTGCTCTTACATTGCCTAATTTTAAATCATTTTAAAAAATCATTTTTGTTAAATTTTTATTGATTGTTAGAAACAATTGTTAACTTGTAATACTAGCATCTTATAATCTGACTTGTACGATCCCTTAGAGGGAATATATGTACCAACTGTAAAAAAAATAAATAAATAAATGTAACTTAATGAGCAATGAAAACTTGAAAAGGATTGAAAAATACAAAAATTGTAACACATACTAAACTGTGGTCAGCAATGACCGCTTCTTGAAGGACTATTGATTCCCTTATGCGCACCCCAGGCCCAACAGTAGCAAAGGCACTAATTGATACATTTGGTCCAAGCTGAAAATGGAAAACATTACGTTTAAAATTAAGGCAAGAGTGCCAGAGAAGTTCCTGGACTGAAAAAATTAAGCTGAAATCGCTTTGTTTTCAACGTTACTGAGGCTTATTGAAAGAGCCAGAATCACCGTAATTTCAAACATCCCAATTATTGGGACATTCTTCAACTTTGTGAAAAACACTATTGCTGAGAATTTTACGCAAAAAAAAAAAAAAAAAAAAAATTAGTCAACTTTGTGGAAAACACGATTCCTGAGAATTTTTTGCTCAAACCAAATTTTTCCTTTCAACAGCTAGTAGACCTAAAATTGTTAGCCATTCTTCTTAGCTGTTACAGTCTGCCTCCTGTAGTGGAGTGGACGTAGCCCTAGCTCTATGATAAGGGGGTCCTGGGTTTGATTCCCGGCTAGGTGGCCCAAGTTTGATGATATTAACAACGATTGTCTAGGGCTGGTTGTTGATTAAGGACTGAGGAGGATGGAGCTTCAACTGTACACCAGTGGCGTGGCGTGCTTTACGATATATCGATTGATCTGCCATTAAAATCTAAAAAAAAGGAAAAGGATCAAGAAACATGGTGTTCTAACGAACACCTTAATAATCAATTCTTAACCATAGCTTAAAATGGGGAAATATCGAGAATCGATCATTAATGCCTCACCACTGCTGTAAACGTAGGATTATCCTTTCGGAGGTACTTTAAGTGAAAAAAAAAAAAAAACTGGAAAAATGCGGCTAGTGCTAGTAGAGTGGGAATTAGACATCCAAGCCTCATTATTACCAAGCTTGATTATTGTGGTATAACAAGATGCAGGAAGTTTAAAGACCATTAGTGTACAGCACAAAAAAAAAAAAAATATGTGCTGATGCTTCAGCTGGAGATAGAGACAAATGCAACCTTTTCCAGATAAAGGGACTTAATTGCAAGAAAGCAAGTTTTCAAAAGCACAGTTTTTACCTTGATACTTGGGTTTCTTTCTTTTTCAACAGAATGTTTGCAAAGCACAATTCTGAGTCATTCTAAAAGCTTAATTTTGAGTTTTTTGGTTCACTGCCATGCCAAGAAAGATCAACGTATGCGCCTTCAGATGTTGCCAAATCTCTTTTGAAGAAGGACGAATTTTCAAAAAAAACGTGGGAATATATTTCTTCGGATTTTTCAAAGCATTTCAATCACTATTTGATCGAAAATATCTGAAAATTTCAGGGAAAAATACATGTAATTTTCGTAAAAAATAACAATATTATGGGAGAAATTTGGCAACATTTGAATTTTCATACAGCGTTTTCCCTTAGCTCGGCAGTACTGAGGTCCTTTCCTCCGAGGACAGTCAAAAGTATAGAAAATAATTTGTTTAATATTTCTTGTTATCAAAAAGAAAAAACGTGATGGCTTTTTTCGACATTGTACATTACGTACGTCCTTTTTTACATTCTTTTTAAGTTTCTTCGTTTAAATTCTTCCCAGACTTCAATTCAAATTCATTCATATTGTTCTGGAAGATTCTTAATTATTCAAAGCTTGATGGAATACCACTTACAATGGCTGAAGGATGAACAGTTGCACTTGGATGAATATACACATCACCGATAATGTTCACTTGATTCTCCTTTGATTTTGCAAGTCGCTCAGGATGTTTGTTCCGATAAACTTGAAGATAGTGGCGATTAGCATAAATTGCTGAACCAGCTGACTTTAACTGAGACCACCAATCAGTGATTTGGTAGACAAATGACTTCCCAGTACCAGAGAGTGGCTGCAATACTTCTTTTTCTAACTGCATGCTACCACTGCAACCATTTTCAGATCCGTATCCATTTTCTCCACTGTGCAAAACAATTAATTATAATAAACATCAGTTAGATTAATTTCACTCACCAGTGAGAGACAGGCAAGCTTTACACTTCGACATTTTATCTGTTCCCCACTTACTGCTGAAACTAGTTTTGACTAGCATTCCAGTAAAATTTTGATACGAATTAAATTCTTAGGATTTTGCCAATGTCACATTATCAAAACTGGTTCCGGCTCAAATTTGCCATGAAAACCTGGTGGAAATTAAGTTTTTGGTATTTTACCGATGACACCCTGTCCAAACTAGTTTTGACAGCAATTTGCAATAAGCGGCCCCTAAAAATTGTCTTTGACTAAACTAGTTCTTGCTGTATTTTTAGGTTTTAAGGCTTCTCACATTTGAACTCTAAAAAATACATCACATCTATTGGGGGTTGTATAAAAATACAATGTTATCATATTTTGAAATATTTTCATTGTTGTTTTGGTGTGATTTCACCAATATTTCGATTCTTTTCAACTGCAATAAAAAAAAAAAAAAAAAAAAAAAAAAAAAAAAAAAAAAAACCCACACACTCTATGGACTACTAGACAGAGTAAAGATTGCAAACCAAGCATTACAGTCTTCATTAAAATTTTACCTAGAAGACAGAAGGTGCATAGTAAAGGCATTTTCTAGTTTCTCTAATTAAACTTTATTGTTGTAGGTATTAAAACTAGAGTCTACTTGAGTTAACTTGAGGATCAACAGAATTTTGGTAGGAATGCTTTGAATAGAGAGTTTTTTTCAATGGAGCGATTTTTTTTGGACCAAATATGAATTATGAATGCTACATATCAAATCAGAAGATGGAAAACTGAAATTCTTGACTAAAAAGATTTATCTTTCTTAAAACAAATTTGAAACAAGATAAAAATAAAAAAATTAAAGTGAAAAATCATACTTATAAAAAGCTTCTTCTTTTTTCTTGAAAACGTCTGCCATAATTTGGAAAATATCAATTGAACAAAAGTACACACCACAGTTTATTAGAGTTGAAACAAAGGTTGAGGGTTTCTCAACATAGTGTGTTATTTCTGAAGTTTCTTTGGCACAAACGAGGCAACCTGCAAAAAAAATTGACAGCTAACTATTGAATGCTCATACTTTTAAATAGGACTGCATTGGGCAAAATGGCTTTAAAATAGTACCAGAAAATTCCCAAAAAAGAAATTCAAAGATGGTTGAATCAAAATTAGAAAAAAATTGAGTTTTTGTCAGAGGGTGCTTTCTAACATTCATGGGAATAAATTGCTGTATCATCAAACATTTAAAAAGTCATAATTTTTAAACCTTGTATGTTCACTGGCCCTTGACAAGCAACATCATAATTTTCTGAAGTTGAAATATGTTCATGTCCTCTTTAAATGTCCAATCAAAATATACTAATGATAGGTAATTCATACTTTTACTAAGTACATGGACAAGTTCAGACAGATTGACATTCTGGGAGCAAACAAAGGGGAGAGTATGTTATAATTTGGTTGGTAAAGTTCATACCATAATATACAGATTGTTGCTTTGTTGCCTCTGTTCCTAGAACTGTGATTAGAGCTCCAGGTCGTTTTTCATGGAATTCGAGCATTTGACTCAAAGGGAAGTCGGAACATACATCGCCATGTATAACAAAGAAGCCACTAGGATTTCCACTTCTAACTTGATCCCTGAAATGATACATTCCACCCGCTGTTCCAAGAGGGGTGAATTCCTGTAAGTACCTAAACAAAAAATTTAGCCTCAAAATAAGAGTCGGCCTGTGGTAAAACTTAAGGTTCTTGGATCCAGATGACCCTTGAAGTTCATAATACTTAAAAGTAATTGCCTATGAGAAAATGATAATGTGAGAGTTAATATTGACGATTTTGTTTGCAATCATCAAAACTTCTGATGATGTTGCTGTGTCAATTTTAAAGTCATGATCAGGTTGCAAATGACATGGCAAAGAGCTTTTCCATATATTTTATTACCTCCCTATTAGACGCAGCAGGTACAATTTGTTTGGCATGCTATATCTGCTTTCCAACGTATTTTGGGCTCCTACATCTCAGAATATCTTTAATTTGTCTCTATTATACATCATTTTCCTGGAAATTTTTGGGTGAAAAAGCTTAGTTAAGAAGAAAATCTTGATTTTCTAGAAAATTTATAGGTATGAGAAAAAAACTGAGGTAATTTTGAAACTCAGTGCTCTCAGTTGTAGGAGAATCAATCATTATATTCCCAGTGTTTTGGAAAAAAAAAAAAAATATTTGCAGAACTGTATCACCTACCTATTCTTAAAAAAAAATTTTACTGAGTAAATCTAGTTTGTCCATTGTTAAGTTCAACATTATTGTCAGTTTTTCTCCGATTAACTTTTGAATTGGATTATAAATACTTACTCACCTAATTAAAATCTTATATTTTTGATTCATTTCACTAACAAACTGCGCAAGATCATTAGTGGGATAGTATCCTAGTATGATGATTTCTTTCAGATTATTGATCCGTGTGCATGCCTCAATATGATGCTGAATCATTGGTAGTCCGGCAACAGGAAACAGAGGCTTTGGAGTATCCAAAGACAAAGGCCGAAAACGAGTGCCTGAAAATAAAACTTGCGTTAAAGAGCTATTGGAAGTTATACTGATTTTTTGATGAAGCCAATTAAATACATGGAATAAGAGAGCAGACAACCGGTAAAAGTGAGTGATATTTTCACAAAAAATTTAGAGAATTTTTGAGTGAATTTTAAGCTTCATTTCAGGGTTAAAGAAAATATAAGATATAAAAATGCAGAAAAAACATAAGTACAATAAATTTAATTACTTTGAGGGGTAAGCCTCCTAAAAATGCCTCCTGCCTTCTGGGTAAACAAATTTATAAACAGAAAACATATATCCTCCTGATTTTTCTTCCTTTTATGACCACAAACTATTTTTACAATCAGGGGTCGATAATCTTCTGTTCTATCTATAATGTTAGCAATCCGCAGCCACGATTTATACTCTTTCCTTGAAAAGTGACGACCTTTCCTTTCTTCTTCGTTTCTTGAGTAGTGTGGAAGGCTTCCAAACCAAGATTTTTAAATTTGAAGTGGCAATCATAATTTTGGTGGTTCCCACAGTTTTCAAAAAGTGTATGAACAGTGACAGTAAAACTGCGGAGAACTTTTCATAGTTGATGCCACAGTCACATTTTCAGCACTACCCGATGAAGAAACAAAAAGTCAAGAATTTTTAAAAAAAACCGCGATCCCAGGATCGCGTTATCAAGAGCAGAGTCATTGTGTATTGAGACAAATGTGAGTCTCTGTCTCTGATTAGCTCTGAATGTTCACCACTCAACAGGATAATATGCGTTGTCAGATCGCACAACTGATGAGTGGCGATATGAATAGTGCTTAACTTATGCCTTAACATAAGATGACTCCGCTGATATTAACAACCCTTGTCTATGACAGGCTCTAAGGGAAAATAAATCTTTTCATCTTCATAGATGCAGATCAGCGCCAGTGGAGGCTAGCAGCGTGCAGCAGCAGTAGAGCTGGACCCTGCAGACAGAAGGTAATTAACTGCCCACTTCACTCACAGTAAGTAGCCTCATGGTTTCGCTCTTCCTCGAGGGCAGGTACTCATCTCCCTTGCTACAGTCTTCAGACAAAAAACATGACAACCAAATAACAAGACTAGTAAGAGCAACATTTAAGGTTGATTAGGTCGAAAGGTATCAACATAGTTTGCATCATAAGGCTGTCATTACATACTTCAAGTGACAGGATCACTGATCAGTTCCGTCGGCTGAGAGTCACCGAGTTTCCATACTGCCAGCCATAAACAAAATAATTTTAAATACCGTCGGAGGTACTTCAGAAGGTTCTAAAAAATTGCTGAGAGGATTCATACCTTTTTGTGGACCACCGATGAGTATGATTGCTTTTACCATGCTTTTATCCATAATGACAGCAAATAGCAGAAAAGGACACTAATAAGAAAGCTTATAAATGGGATTCTTCTTTCCTGGTGTAAGTGGATTTAACATGTCAAAGAATAAATCATTCGCTATTTTCTTTCACAATGTAGAACGCGATCGAAAGGAAATGATTCAATTGATAAAGGGCAAAAAAATCATGATAAAAATGTTGATCAAAAGTTGTTGACGCAGATTGACGCGTGGGTGATAACAAGATAAACAAGATCGATTCAAATCTTCGTTTAGGAGAGATGTAAACACAAACTGTTCCAATATTTGGTCATGTACGGCGTAAAGTTGCTCTTGCGCCGTGCCGAATCTTTATTTTCATAGGTTATTACAAGGTACGCCCCGGGGGCAGATAAATTGNACCGAACTTTCTTAATATAATCGTTTTAAGCATTTAAAACACGTTTCGAAGAAGAAATAAGGAAAAATCAAGAGGACAAGTTCAAATCAAATTTCCGTTTGCCGCCATGGATTCCCGTGCTCATTTACACACTCACACAAACGCGCAGCGCCGAACCTAGCTTCACTTTTTCCCCGTGCTTTTAGATACGAGCACTCCGTCTTTATGTCTTTGGTCTTTATGTCTTTGCTTTCTCCACATTCCCCGTGATGAAATCATAACATTGCGCTTGGCAGTGAGGTTAGGCATAGGTCTTATTTATGTTCAGTTGCCGCAAGTGGCCGCAAGTTGAAATCATCAGGTTGAAGTAGAAAGAAATCTTTCTTGGAGAATTCGCCAATTTGTGATATCGTGTTACATTTCACTCACAGCAAGTGTTGACGTTCAGAAGTTTCGGCCACATTCATTTCACACTCAAGAGTTCATTATCTTTACCGTTGTGTCTTCGTGTCTTCGAGACACCTCGGCGTGCCATAGCACGTGGTTACTGTATTAAATAGGGTCTACATCGCGACCTCATGGAGCCAAACGAAGGGAACGCAGACGATACAACGCAGTTACAGTTGAAATTCGTTACCAAGCAAGAGCAGTAAGTGCCGAGTAATTATTACAGACTCATACTTAGATAATGTCATGATGGATGTTGACTTAAGTTTACCACTTTGCAGCAAAAAATGAAAACCCAACAGGGAATGGCTTATACTAATTTCCCGCTGTTAGAATTTTGGAACATAAGGAACATTCACCCTATATTTAACTAACAGTTGTACTGCAGGGAACATCATGACCGGTAAATTTCTACGCTTCACTTCGTTTAATTGGGTTCTGAAGCTGTACCTTCCTGTCCATAACCATTCTCCGAGATATTGTGGAGTGTGCTGTTAAAGTCAACTGTTCGAGACCATTTGAAAATGAATTTCCCTGTGCACTTGTTCAACTGCAACGACCTTGATTGATAAATAACACTGCTAAGTTAGGGATGTATAGACTAGGATCAGTCGATAACGATTTAATAATCGGCCTGCAGATCTGTCTCTGCCTGCCTGCTTGCTTTCTTTTCATTTGCTTTTTTATGAAAGTTTCTTTTTACTATTTTTCTCTTTCCCTCCCCCTCCAATGGACTCAACAGCTCTCACTTTCTTTTGTTCACAGATTTGCAGTTCCAGACACTGTGTATGCTGTTCCTGCTACTCTTCATTCCTGGGGCTTAAATAATTTGATAAATGATGTTTTGAAATGTAAGTTGTGTTGAATAGGTATTCTTGTGACTTGTACGTCTAAAAGTATTCAGATGAAATGACTGTTCTTCCCTAGCCTTGAGAGTGCTATTTTGAAATGGAGATGTGTAATTAGATCATCAAGATCAGGGTTATACACCACCTTCTCTGTTTCAATATGCTGCTTTTAATTTTTTCGGAAGAACTCGTATCCATGGCTAGAAATTGCTCATGTTTAATCTTACCGATACTATTAATTGTGATCAATTTGATTTTATAAGTGACAAACATAGCATTAAATTGGAAATTCGTAAGCCTGTTTGTTACAACGATTTTTCGCAGTTACCAATGACTTTATCGCCCGCTAATCAATACGTTTACGCGTATGCTTGTTGGGTCATGATCTACAAAGCTAGTCATTGTGATACCGTTTCTAGATTGGCCCTATGTGTCATAATATAAAATGTTTTAAGATAGCTGACCATACTTACATATGTATGTGGTTTCTTCCATCACATTTATTTATTGTTTTTCCCAGCATAACATGTGATAGGCATGGTCAACGAAAATCGAAAAACTTTCACCTTAGAGGCCGCACAAGAAAATGTTTAAAATTTTTTAATATAGATTCACTTGCAAGTCAAAAAAATTTAGTTGCGGACGCGTTTCGCTTCCGCCCGTGGAGCATCATCAGCGCGACTCAAAGAGACTGCAACTAAATTGATTTGACGAGCAAGTGTCTTTTCTAAAAATATTTTGATAGGCATGGTTTTAGAGTCCAGTCACTTATGATAAGATGCTTGATGAAGAAAAGACACTTTGCACTCCCTTCCAGATTTCTCGTAGACTCAGTCTATTGAGCAATGATACCAAGCCCTTCTTTTACCAACTTTTTTGACTCTCAAAAAATATATAGGACTGGCAAAGTTTGAATCTTCATGCCTCAGTAGCTCCAAAACGAAAGAAGACATTGAAATTTGGTTTTCTCCAAAAATCAAGTGTAATTGCCTTCTTCAAGATTTTCTTTCAAAAAAGTCCGAAGTTTTGATTCTGAGGATGCGTTTTGAGTATTTTTTAGTACATGAAATGAAGACAATTTTTCAAAACGAAGAAAACCTAAAGATCTCAATTTTTTTTATGGAAATCAAAACTGGTGTTTTACTTACATTTTTAAAATTTGGGCAAAGATAGATTCAAGTATAAGCGATCAATAGAGGAAATCCTCAGAAAATGTGGAGGGAAGGGGGCGAAGAATGTCTTTTCTGTATCAAGCTTTTTGAAATGCAAAGACCCAAGTAGGGCCCGTTCCTAACGATTTAACATGGAAGCGACGTTGCAAACTAGTAACTCCTCTCATCCTTTTAAGTTTCTAAAGAAGCTCCGGTACAGAAAATAAATAATGTGAACCCATTTATTGGATCAGCTCAATAAGATTATGGTGACCACTGCATTGCTCTTTTTTAACAATTAGATTCAATATCCTCTATGAAATCCCCTATCCACTTGAAAACTTTTTCTCAAAGTTCTATTGAGTTGCCTGATTCACTACACATTCTGGATTGAGATAATTTAGTCTCTGTGTTAATCATCTTTATATGTGCCTATCTATATTTGTCTGATACACCATGCTTTCAATTTGCTATTCATTGCAGCAACAAAGGCAGACCATGAACAAGTCAAGTTTGATTTCCTTATCAATGGGGAACTCTTACGTGCCAGATTGAATACTCATTTCAAAAACCATGAGTTACCCACAGAAGCAATTCATACGGTTGAATATCTGGAGGCTCGGCCAGCTCCCGAACCGCAAGATTGTCTCCTTCATGATGATTGGGTTGCAGCTATTCATCATCAGAAGAATTGGTACGTCTATCATATTTCACTGCATCTTCAATTTTGACATCATTTATTCCTACCCTTTTGATCGGAGATCTTGTTTGCCATTATTGCCAAAGGTCATCTTTATCGAATGAATTTGTGGCTTTTTAATAATTTAAATGCGTATTATTATATATTTCCTCTCACAAGGTTTGTGAGCAGTAAGAATAAGTATCACAGATCATGTTGTAACTCGGATTCGATCATTAAATTTTTGAAACAAAACATGTTTCAAAAACTGCTTTTTTTCCTCCGTCAGACTTCTGTGTTGAGGATTCACCAAGCATGCATTATTCAAGGACGATCACTTTTCATGTCATCAGAAACGAGGAATGTTGACAGGTGTTTTACTCTCCCACAAATTTGGTTTTTTTTTTTGCTTTGAAAGCGGGGAGAAAAATTTGGGTTATCCCAGATCTGGCAGTTTTGCCATCGCTATGATACCAATTTCTAATATCTGACAATTGCTGTCCCTGCATGGAAAAGAATCTGCTCTTTTATTATTGAATCAACGCTTTCCTGTTTTCTTTAGGATCTTAACTGGTTGCTATGACAATACCCTGCATATCTGGAATAAAAAAGGAGAGCACAAACTCACCATACCTGGGCATTCCGGTGCAGTGAAAGCCGTCTCGTGGATCACAGTCAACAATGATTCTGCCTTGTTCGCCAGGTTAGTCTACTGAAGATAACAAAAGTCTATGAAATGCTATGTGCCATGAATTTTCTTTCAAATGTTAACATGTTGCCTGCCATGCCAGTCATGTCAATTGGCATTTAAGGGTTCTGGAAGCCCCATGCATGCCAGTTGGTTCCTTGGGGATGTGTTCGCTCGCACTGCCAGGTTCTCTGGAAGCTAGCGGTCATTGAAGCGGTACGACTACCATACGTAACGACTGGTATGGTCCCATTGGGTGAAAGAACCACTGAACTTTTTTTTGTCTTGTGGGAGGGGGAAAAACATTGTGGCGTCCAGACCATATGTACCCAAAACACTGTGACTGACAACGTCTTAATAAAACCTCTTGTAAAAAGAGTTCTATCAAGGTCTGAACCAGAAAAGAAATGCAAAATGTTTTCTCCCTTCAAAATCTTATGCTGAAAACAATTCACATAGCGGAAAGTTCGGGAACCAACTTGTGAACAAGATATTCCCATGTATTTTTAACAAAGATCAAATAGAATTTAGATCACACAAATGAAGTCATTTGTATTTTTGTCATTTGAACATTTTTGTAAAAACTCATATCTTGTTTAGGAGTTGAATTTTAGACTTCCTGTTGAGCCACTTGTTTTCCTTGTGTGGAAACATATTGAATCATACTTCAATTCATACCCTGTCCAGTGGCCCATTTCCGTATTCAAATTGCGTTGCTTTCAACATTTTTGACACCAGACTCCCTCTGGCTTTTTTCATGACTAGACATTGCCATTTAAAAAATCTTTACATAGCCATAATTACAGAACTCAGCATATTCTGGAGCTATTATGCATATCTCACTAATCCATTGATGCGTTTAAATGCTCAACAATTTCCTGTTTATTTTTGTTGCAGTGGAGGAGCTGACCAAACTGTTATGCTGTGGGAGTGGAATATAAGGAAGAACTCAGTTGAATGCGTCCATGTTTGCCGTGGTCATGAACGCTCTATTGAATGTCTCACTATAAATTTAGATGCAACAAAAATTGTATCATCTGGATGGGATAATTTAATCAAAATTTGGAATGCAGGTACTTTTTTTGATTCGTCAGGTATCACAACTCTGTCGTCCTGAGCAAGAATCCTGCCACCCTAATTTTAAATTGGCTTTTTCTTTCAAGCACAATGCTCTGATAGAAGAAAACTTGATTGCCAGATTGCTTCATTTTCTTAATTCATTTTCTACATCACAATAAGCGAAATGCACCTTCAGGTATTTTTTGTAGAATAATTACTGAAAAATAGTCCATTCTCGTGTTTTTTCCTCCCTTTGATTCATGTTTCTGTAGTATATGAATATTTTTCAAAGGCACTTTTGTGAATTTTTTTTTTCAGAAATGCAGTCTTCAGTAGAAGGAGAACCCGAGAAAAAAAAGTTCAAAAGCTCCGACAAGAATCATATCCGAGTAAGTGAAATGGTGAAATAATAGAATCTTTTCATTCCAGAACTGAATGGAAATGTTTTTTTGAGTGGGTTGAAGAGTATTTGTCAATAAAGAGAGTTGTTTCCTAGGAGAATTTAAGTAGTATGTATTATGTAACGAATGGGGGGGGGGGAGGCTACATAGCAGTGTGTTAAGAAGATGAGGAGGGGAGGGCTAAAACTCAGCTTTTGTGTATTGGTGCACTTCTGAAAAATAGCTCAACTTTTTGAGGTGGAAATATGTCAAGTCCATCTGTTATTGAAAAATTCAGGAAAATGAGATGTAAGGACTCTACTCAGAGTTTCGTAATCCGCAAGGGGTAATCGAAATTTACATTCACATGAGCTGTAAAGAGGTCGCCAAAAAGCCAAATGTGTGGATCATGTGACACAACAATGCTTCCTCATAAAGACCATAACCTAAGCCAAAATAGATACTCAACAAAGAAAGCGAATATCAAGTTTCACATAAAAGTTGAAGCACTGTTTTTTGTTTAGATGTTTAGCTGAAAGGAGTTCAGCCATTGGCAGATTATTTTTGAAAAGTGTCTCAAAATTTATGAATAGTCAGTGTATTGAAGTTGTGGCATATCGCTGAACATACATTACTGTAATCAAATCAATCCTGTTATTCCAGAGATGTGCTTAGTCGCACAGTAAGAACATTATTTCGGTAGTTGAAAGGTCCTGATTCTCTTTATGGGCTGTATTCATAGTAGTTTCATGAAAAGCTTCGAGCTTCTTTGTCAGGGGGGGCCTTTGTGGTTTACATTGAAATCATCAGAGGTTTCAGAAGTGCCCCAACACAGCTACCTAAAGAAGGACAATTATTTGAGTAATATCCAACAGTTCAACATTTGAAACAGATTCTTGCAAAGGATCTTAATGATTTGCCACTGCAAAAAATGAAAAATAAGGAAGGAAAGACTATGGTTAAGGGATACTTTGAGGAAGCTAAGGATGTATCTTAAAACTTTCAAAATCTGATGTGTATTTTATTTTGTATTTTTTGTAGTGGCAAATCAGTGCAATCATACTGTCCTTTTTTATGATGCCATTTTGAAGGCCTCTCTAAGCCTCATTCAGTCACAATATTAATCATATCCATGGCCAAAGTGCAAGACTACGCATCTCTGTTTGCAATGGTGCAGTTTCCCTGTCATACTTCATTTCCTCTTTGGGAAACTATTCATCTCGGAGCTATTTTCTCAAAAACCTCTTTGATTTTTCTTCAATGGTAGCTGAACATTCTGCATAGACTTTAAGATAAAAAGTTGGCTCGTTTCTTTCGGAAAAAATAAAATTGAAGCAGAAATTTTGAAACAGTGCAATAGAGATGTGTGGTTTCCTTCTATGACCATGAATATGGAGCTTCCTGGAGGGGAGGATTTGGATTTGATGATAAGAACAACTATGAATAAATCCTTGAATGTCCATTAACAACGATTCCATTTTACCTTTTCAGACACCGGTAATGACTCTAAAAGGCCACAAAGAAGCAGTGTCAGCTATTAGGTGGATTGCGGAAGATGAAATTGTCACCTCATCGTGGGATCATACCTTGAAATTTTGGGACGTCACACTGGGTGGTGTGAAATCCGAGTTGGCTGGAAACAAGGCCTTTTTTGATCTAGATTACTCACATCTCAACAAACTTATAATCACTGCTTCGGCTGACCGACACATTAGATTGTATGACCCTCGATCTACAGGTAAGATCCTTCTCTATGCACAAGAAAAATTAGTGGTTGAGGTTGTTTTTTATTTGCACCTTGTTAAAAGTAACAGCCCCGTCCTCATTAGGATTTTCTCTACTCTGTGTGTTGTACTTTTCTACATACTTAAAATGGCCATTGAATGAAAAGGCCACCAACCTCAGAGTTCAGTCTGCCTTACCTATTCTCCTCTTTGATAGTCCTCTTTCTTTCTAAATGTACAGGGTTGCCACAGCCAGGAAATGCCGAGAAAGGCAATTTTTAGGGAATTTTAATCAGTCAGGGAAAACCTATAAATGTCAAAAAAAAAAACGATGCCTGAAAAATAACGAAAGTGTCTGAGAAAAATTGTTAAGTCACCTTTATTTGCAGTTCAGAATGGATTTGATGTCTCGAACACAAATTTTGCCCGAAAACTATTTCAAATTATGTCTTTTTAACCATCTTGCGTATCACCAATTGTCAGGAAATTTTACCAAAATATGTCGTGAAAATGTCATGGAATTTCATTACCTACATTCTGCGGCAACGCTATTTTGATGGATTCAATCAGAATCAGTTCAACTACATCAGATGTTGCCTAATTTCCCCTCACGTTTTATTTTCAATCGAAAAGTAATCATCATTCTAATTTAACATTTCGTGATGTTGTTTGCCTCTTTGTTAAAAAGAATCAAACTTGAGAGGAACTTAGGCAACACAAAATACTGTTGGGCTGATTCCGATTTTATCTGTCCAATCAAAACGCAAGGATTACCTTCATGTAGGGTTACTTTTCATTCCTCTAGGCATCATCACGTCTGAAACTACATATCGATGGTGTAAGTCGGCAATCACTTAACTCGGTTTGTTACGTCGCAGACTTCCTATCATACTTTAATTTTTAAACGGAAACTACTCAACGGTAATTCTTTAAAACTACCGTGATTTTTCTTCTCTGTGTGAAGAAAATTCTGTTAAAACTTCAAGGAATGATGTCAATTTGTTCTCCTTTAAATAAATAACATAGAGCAGGTGGAGATTTTCAGACACCGCAAACGAGTTATGTGATTGCCAACTTACGCTGTCGATATGTCATCATAAAGAATGAGAATCGCATGTACCGTCTTTTCCTGCAGTCTGAAGGTTTTCAATGAAAGTTCATGAACGTGTGTCTATGAGTGAAATACTTATAAATTGTAGGAACGAAAATCAGGATTACTTTTTTCTAATATCTTGTAACATTTTTACAGAGGGACTCTTAGTGAAAAGTACCTTTACTCACCACACACAATGGGTGCCTTGCGTCAGGTGGTCGACAACAAATGAATATCTTTTCGTCTCCGGGTCCTATGATCAGCAAGTGAAACTTTGGGACACAAGGAGGTAAATAATTCTCTTTAATAAAATGAATAGTTATTTAAGCTTTTCTGAAAGTGTTGTCAATGCATTTGTATACTTTGTCTTTAGTATAGAAATTCAAGTAAAAATTGCAAGTAATTCCTAAAGGCCTCCCAAAATACTTTTCAACTGTCAACAGTTCACTTAAGATCCTGAATGTTAAGAACTTTCCGATGCAGTCTGCAAAAAGGAACTTGACATAATCCTTTTAATTCTCTCAAGAAAGCCATGATAGTGATTTTTGGCCAACATTTTCTAAATACTCGTCATTGATTTCTAATTTACACACTCCAGATATTTATTCAAGCTGGGTCAAATCCAACAACTCAGCTGGAAATCATCCTAAATCATTGAAACAGAAATTTCAAGTTATTTTCCGAGAAAAAACTTTCTACACAATTTTCTTGATATGCTACTTGTTTGAAAACCTCTGTCAAGATATTTCAAAATGTCATGACTCGGGTATTTTGAGTCCTAATTCCAAAATTTAGGGTCATATATATCATCAAAATCTCCTCTTTTTGATGTCACAGGTCATAAACTGGATATTTCATTTTGACGAGAAGTCCTTTAATTGCAGATCGCTTCAGTTACCAACTCTGCGTGAAAGATGAGCTTCAGGCACCCACACATTGTTTTCAGCTGTTCTGTAATTCTGATTCTTCTATATCTTAATTAAATTCATTTCTTGTTTTCTTTTTCAGTCCGAAAACCTCGCTTTATGACATGACAGGGCACACTGATAAAGTTCTTAGCTGTGATTGGTCCGATCCAGAACTGATACTTTCTGGTGGAGCAGATAACACTTTGCGATTATTCAAATTCACCGGCTAGACTAAAGAAATTTGAGCTCTCATCGTTGAGATACTGTAATAATCAACTTTAGAGAAGCCCACCGAAAAGCTCTCTAAGTTCTTATGTATAATAAGTGAGTTCATGTTAATGACTTGAATTGAAACAACTTCCCTGAAATGAACACAAGAAAAGAAAATTTCAAGGAAACTCCTTCCATTTACAAATACTGATGGTATAGCTTAGTTCGTATGGACTAACAAACAAACTCTGATGCTGCCACAGCTAAGTCCCTATGAACTAATTTTGAATAAACAAGTTCAGTGATCTCCTCTACAGTTGAATGCAAACCTATCATTTGGTTTCTGAAAACCTGTCTCATAATCAGTTGCCAAACTGACTCCACCGATTTTGCAGTACATGTTTATAAAAAGTTTAGAGGAAGCGATCATAGCTTTTCAAGGTGAAGTTACATGCTATTTTGCTGCCCTTTATCAGTAGAGGATACATGCAACTACCTCTCAAATTGAGGAAACTATGCTTACAAGTTTCCTTTTCACCCTTTCTCATTTTAACTAGCTCATCAATTCAACAGTCGATCCTGAAGAGAATGTTGGCAACAAAATGGGCCCGTTGCACGCAAGGAATACTGCTAAGCGAACAGACTTGCCGCAGGTGAAATCACACAAAAATCACATTGGGCACATAAATCACTGTTTTTAGTACTGTGTCTCTTGCGTACAACTGGCCTGTTTCAGTTTTGGGAAATGAGAAAAACTCTATTTTGTTCGACCAATAAATTAAAATGCCAAAATCACTTAAGCAACGTAGAAAAGAACTGCAGAAGCATCATGAAACTCAAAGAATCCGGTCTCTAAAACAAGATACCTAGTAAAGTTTATCTTGACGAGCAACTTTTGCTTCCTGTCACATTTTTTATCAAAATAAAAAAACAGAGTTTTATTCTTACTTATTGGATTTTTTATTTTTCTTATTTTCTAAGGTCACAGAGAAGATGCTCTAACTTTGACACAAAGTTAATATAAAAACTGTCTGTTGAATTTTATTTGTTTTAGTTTTTAAGCCTGTGGACATAATTTATTTTGTAGACAATTCTTTAGTCAGTGAGTCATGGATACTTCCATGGACCCCCATAAACCCTCATTTTTCACCGAATCAAGGACCATATAGCCTCTATTTAATTTTTAAAATTTTGATGCCGGCCGATTTTTTCAGTGTCAGGAAAATGGATCCATTTTTGTGACATGAAATTATGAATATTAGTCTGTTAGTCAGAGAGGAAAACGAAGCAAATTTGTCCATTTTCAAGAACCTGAGGATATTATATGAACGTGTTTTTATCAAACGGAACTATGTGCATTATGACGTGAGCTCTGTTATGCACATATTCTTATGGGTCTCAGGGCTCGTGCCTTAATGCACATAGTTCTGTTTGATAGAAATACGTCCATATATACAATATGGATACTGCACGTAAAAAAAACAAAAGAATTTAAAAAATATAGTTTTACTTTTTAAAATAATGGTCGGAATGTACAAGAAAATGAGAAGACACTGGGTAAATTTTCACAACTTATCAATGCATGACGAGAAAATCATGATGAGAAACATCGGGAGACTCACAAATGTGATGAAATAAAGACTTTTCACACTTTGGATACATCATTCTGAAAAAAGAATAAAAGAAGAATGGATCAAAAAGGTTGCAGGGAAGTAGAAAACACCTGATTTTGCGATTTGTGGATTGTGGCAAAGGTAAAATGTGAGTGATCCAAGGGAATTTTCAGCAGTAACCTTACCTCATTCAAAATTTGAGAAAATTGTCAAAGGTTTGGCAAAAATGTTGAGCAAGTCTAGAATTTTTAACGAGGGGTTTGGAAAATTTAGGGAAAAGTGCCAAGTTGCAGTGAGTAGTTGATGTCTTGGAACTTTTCATACCCCTGGAATTTTGGTTTAGAGGATAAATATCATGCAATGGGAGCAAAAATTAGATGATTCTTTGGTTTAATAATCTGACGTTTAATGCAGCAGAGTCTTTAAAGGGTTAAGAACCGCAGGAAGAAAAATATTACCCCGAAACCTGGTCAAAATATTAAGTTTTCCATTTGCTTTATTCTCTTTTGATCAAATCCTCCAGATTTTCACAACAATCACATCTAATATTTTAGAAAATTATAACCTAGGCATGAAATAAAGAGAGTTTGTAAACCTTTCGTAAGATTAGCAGCAGGTAATCAGTTGTTACTCCTTTTTTATGCGTATCCTTCACTCTCATTGGTTTTGCTATCCATTTTGATGGATTTTTTATCGAAAAAGTTAGGGAACTTTTATCTGTTTATTTTTTTTTTAAGCGTGGATGATGAAAATAGAGAATTTAAAATCATACCATCAACATTAGGAACTTTCCACTGGCAGGATTTTCCTTCCTTATACATTTCTTCAAGGTGTGTTTGCACCACTCCTTCCTCCGAAAACTTTAGATACAGTTGGTAAAGTTGTAAAGCAGCTTTTGCATCTTCTATTGAATCGTGAGTTTCAGCTTGAATCTTCAAACCTGCAAGAATTAATGATGACCAGGATGAACTTGTCATAAAAAAACTAAAATTTAAGAGGCTTTTGCTACAGAATCAGAACTCTATCAACCATCATGGGTGACTCCATAGAAAAAAAATAGAGAAGGGCATTTTATTTTGTCATGGACATAACATTTTGTCACTTTGAAGTGTTATTAAGGGCTAATAATTTGGGGTAAATTTTTTTTACAAAAATTCTCATACCCTCGCAAGAGGAGTCTCCTCCTATTCCTCAAATTCTCCTTAAAATAATTTAACGTCAGAGAGGGTAATACTGAAAAATAGAGCTTCACGGACAATAGGTTCTATATTTGTAATGTCCATGACGCTCTATTTTCTAGTGCAGCTCTTTTAAAGGTTTAATACTTTTAATGAAACTATGCAGGAAAAGAGGGGACCCTTCCCAGAAGGGCTCCAGGATTTTTTTGGAATTTTTTACTCCAAATATTGAGCCCTTTGCAGCACTTTAAAGGGTCAAAATGTTACATATGTATGTCCATAACCAGAAAAAAAGGGGAAAAAAAAGCTCAGTAGGGCAGTACATTTTTAATTTTCATTCCCTCTCATGATAGAATTATGATAAACTTCTTTATGCCTGGCAGATACTTGGTTTACGCCTTGGAAATCATTGGATATTATTCTGAAATACCTTTAAAACGTTCTTTGCTAGATTCTTGGGTCTACAGAATTGGAATGCTTATAGAGTTAATGTGCGAGATTATTTGACCGTTTCGAAGGAAGCAATCTGAATATTTTTGACTCTTGACTAACATAACTAAAATGACACATCAAATTCAACTGAAAGGCTAGAAAATGACCTTTAAACATCTCATTGCTGGCCATTAGCTGCCTCCTAGAAGGAATTGAAACAAGTGCTTTCATTATTTCACTGGATAACTACCCTTACCTGATATATCATACCTAATAACCAAAGTCTGATGTGAATTGCGAACAGAGAAATCTGAGAGAGTGGTAAAAAGTTTGAGAGTGAAGAGTTCAATAAATGAAGACGCATGCAGACTTACCTAGAAAATGCCATGCTAAAAACCTGAGAGAGACCATTCTTTGGTGAGGTAAATGGAATAGATTTACAGTATCTATGACTTGCTCCGGAGGAACAACCAAATTTATTACCCTATAAACGAAAAAACAGAGGGTAAGGAGGTGAGGCTTCGAATATCATTAATTCAAACAGGCAGACTCTGGTTTTCACCAGGAAAATGCGAATCTCTCTGAGCTAGCTCTGTTTTGCTTAGAACCTAAATAAGTAAAATCACATCACTGACTTTTCGCTTTCAAAGCAATCAAAAACTTTTTTTACGCAGAAGAATTTGATACACTCATCTCTGGCTTTAAAAACGGAGATAAAAAAAAAAAAAATCCTAATTTCTACAGTAAGGCGCACAAAATCCTGCCCCTAACTTTGTGATAAAGATTTAAGGATCCAAGATGATTCCTCATTGAAAGCTGAAATTCAATCCTTCATTCACAAATCTACATTTTGTGTCTCCAAAGAATTTTAAGCACGGAAGTTAACAGGCCTTTTTATTGCTCATGACAAAATTACAAAAAGATATTGACTGATTCGAAAGTAATATCACAAAGACCCTGATTCTAGGTTATTCTATTCGAGACAACAGGATATAGAAGCATTGTTTGGATCCGGTACAAAACCACCGAGACAAAATAAATCAAACCTAATGTGTTTGATCTAACAATAATATAACATTTTTCAACGTTACTGATAAAAAAATGAATACTCTTTTATTCATCCCTGTCTTTAACAATCGTCTGAATCAGTCAACAGGGGACAGAGACATAAAGGCAAGAAGAACTAACCTGAAATCATTGTTCAATCCATGACCTACGAATTTAACACCATTGTCAACAAGATAACGCAATTTGAGATAAGTTGATTTTAAAGTTGTTAAATGTTTCGAGGAACTAGCTGCATTTAAATCACCGGGTTGAATCCCAGAGAACTTTGTTAGATAATCAACGACTTGTTCTTGAGTTGAGATGTAGTCATCGATGAATGGAGTTCCGGCCAATACACCTTGGCTGTTGATCAAAAAATTCAAAGTAGTGATTATAAGGATTATATTAATTCAGTGTAAAAATGAGATGTGCTGATAGATGTTACCAAAATAAGAGTTCTAACTGTACTATTAAGTTGAAGGAGTCACTTGACTGGCAAGCCTAATTTCTGAAAGCTATTCAGGTTATTTTTTTTTTTGTTAGACTTTTGACAGGGCGAGGGGAAATTTGGTGCAGATCAGGAGCACGTAAAAATCAAGAGTGTACCAATTTTTTAGATGTCATGTTCGGGTTACACCTCTATTTTTAGAGACCTGAGGCTTCATTTTCATGTGAATTTCACAAGCGGCATTCCATGCAGAAAGAGCACAATGCAAAATGAAATTAAGTGATGTACATACTTGATATATTGTTATGATGAAGGTTTATCCTAAGAAGTTAACAACACAAGACCTTTCTAGACATTTTGAAAAATGATAAGATAGCAGAAAAGATAACTGCGTTTAGACAATGTTTTGCAGGAACCAAAAAAAAAAAAAAAAAAAAAAAAAAGCTCAAGCAATGACCAGGAAAATATATTTTCCTCCTCCACTTGCATTCATAATATTTTAACTGTTGAAATTTGAGTAGGAGAAAGAGTATATATTTAATTTGTTTGCACTCTAAACTTGCTGAAATTTAACATTTGATCTAAAATTTGTACACAAAAAAAGTTGACAGTTGATTGGATTATGAGAAACATACCCTCTAATGACAGACACCCTTGCAACGGACATATGAGAGGGCTTCACTGTTGACAATTTTCCGTCACTTCGAATTTCTGCTTCCTCTTGATTCAATGTAACAAACTCAGCATCCATCGCAACTATCTCACCTGATGGGCAAATGCACACGAATTAGAGAAATTAATAGAAAACTTAAGAAATCTTGCAAAAAATTTTGAAGTATTGAAAAGAGGAGTAAAACGATGATCAGTTCAACTGTTTAAAAAATTAGTCCCTAAGGAGGAATGACAGTCGCATTTTTGGATACCATGACAATTGAATGAAAAGGAACCGACTGATAATCTGTCATTCAAATTCCTAAAGATGGTTGTAGTGCTTCCATACTCACTTCTGCAGATGTATTGTTCTGATTTTTAAATTCCATTGCAGATCAGATTGGCACCACGCTTTTTTGATGCTGTAAATTTGCAAAGATACTGAGACCAAACTACTAGATCAGTCACTACATATCTTTTTGAGATCCACTCCCTGCCTGCCTGCCGTTAAGAACTTAAGATGTAGAATTGGCTCATCTCAAAATGATCTCATAAGAAATGCATTAATATTTTAACTTCCCGTCATTGCTGCGCAGTAGAGTCTCCGAAATTCATCCATGGGAATGACTGCCCTGTGTGGATTAGTCTTGTACCACATGTACATAACTCACTCAATTCAGCTTATGTTTTCAGAAATCCCTATTTTCAATTAAATTTCCTTGAGATTAGTCATCAAATAGAACTGAAAAAAATAACTATCAACTCATCATACCTAATATTTATTTTCGGTGCTTTGAAAACAATTAGCTAAACTGACCCATTATTCAGGATACTGAGAAGTTTGCTTGGATAATATTGTAAAACACACTTAGGAAGAACAAAAAATTTACAAAGAGATCGAAATGCCATGTAGACATAATGATGAGCGCTAACCTGATTTTGGAGTTTCTTCAGCAGTGAGAGGAACAAATGTAATACCACTTCGATTATTCTGGGCCAAACAGACATCTTCACAAAAAACTTGGGACGTTATTGCAGGAGGCGCAGGTGGAGGCTCCTCGGATTTGACCTTGTGTTTACTCCAGTATAAAACACACGGTATTTTCCAATCTAAACTGAACCAGACAGCTTCCTGAGCGGTGACAGGGGTAATACTGGAAAAAAAGGACAAATTATACAGAATAATGTCAATCGGTCGAAGTGATCCTGCAGCATTCTGTTTAGCGTGAACTGTTCAAGGTTTTCCCACAATTTTAATGCACTACAGATTTCTGGATTTTCAAATAAATCATCAAAAATCATTGTATTATCTAACGTTACCCTGTAAATTTAATTCAATTCGTTCAGTTTTAGTTTTAAACCATGCAGATAGATACAAGAAAATACTTGTCGTAGTTACGTTGTATTTAAATAAAATTCCTTTAAAAAAAAAAAAAAAAAAAAAAAAAAACCAGCCTTCAAAAGTAGATCTCACAGCAGAATGTGGCAAAATTAGATATGCGCCTAGTTTGTAAGAACTCTCAGACTTTTGTCCTGGTAAAGATGCCAACACGTTTTGTAATTTGAGGCACAGTTTTACAGTTACAACTGTTTTACAATCAAATCTTTTGTTTTGATGCCTGATATGCGACAGGATAATTTGACTTTAGAGGATTTTTATGAGGAGTCTTAAATTATGAAAAGTAGAATTTACAGGTGCTTGAAATTTGATGATAATCATTGATACATAGAAACTACCTGGCGAAGTGAGCACAATGATACCCTCATTTTGTGAGTTGAGCAATTTTTGAAGAAATTACAACAAAATAATCTAATCTGCTAAAGCATGTGTTTAAATGGGAAATGCCGCTGTATGACATCAAATAGCCGTAGATTTTCCCATTTTTGAATCTATTATTCTCAAATTTCCTTCATTGGAATACAAAATTAATAAAAAATACGGTTAACTCAGCTTATAAAGCACTTTCATAGGAAGCATTTTTATGAACAGCCCCTTGTAAAAAGTAATGCATTACACCCTTCCCTCCCCTTCCCAGATGGCCACCGACAATGAAAGAATATTATTAAGAGTTGTCAAGGCTTTTATCTAAAGCAAGGAAGAGTATTACAGAAATGATAGAGAATGTAAAAAATTCTTTACCTGACATCATTAAACACATGCCAATTTTCATTTTCATAGTCTGTATTGATAATTGCAACTAGATTCTTTTTTTCATCATTAACATGACATACAACGGCTGATAAATTATAGACTACTGATAATGATACATCATCCTTCTGTAAAAAAGATCAAACCACTTCACAATTTTGGCAACAAAAATAAACAAGCCATGAATAAACATTTGTACACTATTTCAAGTACTAAAGGATTGAAACAGTAGTACGGCAATTAAGCGTTGTAGCAGAATTTCTTCTCCATTCTGGGTTGTTCAGAGTGTGAACAACATGCAACAGCTGAGCCAAAGCATCAAGATTGTATTTGTTAAGCATCGTACCTCAGAGACTGTAAGGGTAATGCTTAGTGTGCGATTTAACCAAAGTAGATTGTGGTTTTTTTATGAGCAGAAATTTGAATACAGGCATCGAAATAGTAAATATTTTGGCTGGGAGTTACTTTCATTAATTTTTGTTACAAAAAATGTGTTCTACGGAATTGGGATTAGAATTCAAAATAATTATCTAGTGGTCCATTCATCCCTGGTCTAGTTTTTAGGACGAGAAAAAGGAAATAAAAAAAGTCACATGACTAAAAATAGCAAACAATTGGAGGAATGGACCAAAATTGATTAATGATTGGTTAGACTAGAGAACAGAAATACCTTCGGAGCAGAGGCTACAGAGTTAACTTCACTACGTTCTAGTTTTGAGATGAGAACTTCCCCAGTTGACAGGAGCTGAAGATGAACATGTAATGGAAGCCAAGAATTTGTCGAGTAAGGATTGCTTGAATTCTGAGTAGTGGTTGTCTCTGAAAAATATATTGAAAGAGATGAAAACTCTGTTGAAAAAGATTAGTTAAAAGTTTTAACAGAATGCAACATTTGATAAAAATTAGAGAGACCATGAGCAGCAACATTCGAAAAATGTTAGAGGGAATCACTGCCTATATTTAAAAATCCATAAAATGTGACAGAGATAAACTTTTGGACTAATCACTTAAGAAAGGATGAATTTACATTTCAAACTTTTAGAAAGTTGGTGAAGACATTATTATGGCACTAATTTACAAAAATGTAAAGTTAAAAAAATCTGCTGAGTGCTTGGATACATATAATCCGAGGGTATTTTTATTTTTAAATTAACAAGGTGATATTTTGCAGATTCTTCTATCAAATAAAAATTCATGAGACAAGGACAGGAGATAAGTCTAAGATGTGATGAAATTAATTTTGAATGTACACTGAAATAACATGATTGGCTAAGGGGGAAGAGTTTTGTTTTGGAAATGCATAGTTGAACTTTTGTGAGACCCTACTATCACCTCTGTTGTTTACATGTAACCAGTTTAACTGCATTTTGAAGGGTATACCTTCCGTGAAAATTTGAAAAATTATCTCTCTTGTGGTTTTCCTAATTTTGTCAAAGAAAAACAGACAACATTACAGACTAAAATGTTTTCGGTGGGACGAGGAAGAATTAGAATGAATATCGAGGAAAAGTAGTACTTATTTTTCCTGATAAAAAAAAAAGAAAGAGACAGAGAAAATAGAATTCATTGGAAAAACTGCCAGAATCCAAAAAATATGTCCTTGGAATTTCACCGGCAGTAACTCCTTTTGTTCTAGCAAAATGGAACAGACTTTAGCTTTAGCACTGATAAAGGTAAAGGTGAACTGATTTAAAGTGAGAAAAAAAATGACCCACTTACCAGTTGCTCTACCCGGGTGCTTAAATCTGCAGCCAGGTCTCGTGCAATTTTGTCCATATCGACATGGTTTTGTGGAGCTAACAATAGGTGGATTGAGTGAATTTGGACCAATGTCACTGACAGGATTAGAGTCCAAGGCTTTTTTCACTAAAACGTCCATCTGACTTTGCCAGAATGCTTTATCCTTTAAAAAAAGAACAGATAGTGAGAAGAGTGCATCACACATATAATGCTCTTCTAGTACAAAAAAATGTCGCATAAGCATACTAATTATGAATATCATATTTCAAGTTTTCAAGTTATCATTTTCAAGTTTTTCCGCATTTGCTAAGAGACTTTTGTACCGACAGAAGTGCTTACTAACATGATATCATTATGCATTTTGATGGCTAAGGTACAATATTGACAACTGACGATTTTATGGGACAAAGAAAAAACTTCTATAATTTTGAGGTTGTACTCACGATTTTGTTTTTACATTCCAGCACTCCCATGCGGAATTGGAAAAAACTAAAAACATCAGCTTGCAAGTTTTACACTGTGGAATGCGGCGATATTGCTGACTCGTTTTTGCCAAAATTGTCAGTTGTCAGTTAGGTAGTATTGTTCCTTAGCCAACGATTTACTTACTGAGGGAGCCAATATTTTGCAGTTTGCTGAAAAAGGAGCCATAAAAGAGGATCGAGAGGGGGAGGGGAGAAAAGGAATGAGAAGTTTTCTAAGGAATTTTTAATTCAGGATAGTCTGCAATATTCATACAAACTATTCTGATTTTTAGGTCATTGAAAATAATTGCGAGTCCAGGAGGATCTTTCTCTTTGAAATAATCAAGGTAAAGAGGTGTAAAAATCACACTTAAGAAAAGAGGAGGAAGAACAACAACAACGAAACTTGACTTACTGCAGAGCTTTCTATATTGCAGTTAATTGTGAGCAGAGTTGGTAAAGCTTTTAACTGTCGAGACTGAAGGGTTGGCTGAAAACGCTCACATTGATCACACCATGCCGGAGTGGTCTGCTCGGGGCATAAACTTTGCTTTAGAACTTCGCAAAAAGTGTACTCAGTGTTTTCTACGGAACAAAAGATATAATGATTCATCAAAACAAAAATTAATGAAAGGGAAATGAGAGAGGAAAAAAAGAAGTCTTGCGAAATTACAAGGATCCAAAAAGTATGAGGAGTACTTATAAGTATGAGTTAAGCTTTGACTTTGTGGAGCGGAGCTGAAACATAGAGAGGATCAACTGTGCTGTTCTGAGTTTCAAAATTGTACCTACTCAATAAAAATGGGATGAGAGTTTTCTGAACATGTTGGCAAAAACTATCTGAAACAAAATGATTGATATGAGGTGCCTAGTATCGAAACCTGCAATCTCCATTGCAGTGTCTAAAAATTTGGCAATCATTTTCATTAGTTATAAAGAGAGCAGGTGAGTGTGTATTTGCTTCCTTTCCCTAGAATAATTTACATTTTAGCAAGAAAATTATAATAATATTTTACGAAAAAATTCTCATTGATTACTTCTATTAGAAAACTAAATCATCTGAAGATTTTTTAGACAATACAGTGGAGATTAAAGGTTTTGATACTGGCTGCCTGAGTTATACTTTTCCCCCTTCATTGATGAAAGTGATCTTTGCCTGAAAAGTGGCTTGTCTTCAAGCAAGTGAACAGATAGAGCTGTCCCCCCCNCTCTAATATTAAAAATTATAGAGAATAATTCTATCAGAAAATAGAACTTTATTTCACCTGCTACATTTTCTGGATAAATAAGGTTGCAAACCAACAGGTTTGATTCCCGGCTGATAGAGTGCTGGCACTTCAAGCAGCGATGGACATGAAGTTGCTTGCTTCCAAACAGCCGACTCACTTCCGTTTCTTCATCCTTGACTGAAACAGCCTCTAAAGAGTCTCCTTTTGGCAATTAAAAAAAACAAAAACCATTAAGTATGCTGGTAAAATAGAGGATGAAGAAATGTTTTCTACATAATTATTAAACTGTAATATTACATATTTTCAGGTGCAATAGACTCTTAATTATCTGACAAAATGTGATAGTTGGGGATGTTGTTCAGTGGACTCAGGATAATTCGAAATTGAAGGGCTTTTTCTTCGAATTAGCGAGGTTTCGAAATAAAGAGAGTTCGAATTAAAGAGATTCCATGTGGAAAAATTTCGAATTAGAGCGGCTCGAATTATAGAGGGGCAAATAGACGGATTTACGCCAAAAGGTCTTCTGGTCAAAGGTCAAGCTTTTTCAGACACCCAGGTACAAAAACAGTTGACTTCGAATTGTGGAGGGAATGTACCGTCTTTTTTCGAATTATTTAGGGAGGGCCATATTTACTTCCAACACTTCGAATTACAGAGAGAATTTTTGTCGCAATTTCGAATTATGGAGGGCCGCTCCAGCTTAAAAATTTCGAATTAATGAGGGGAGAAAAATAAATTGATTTTCTTCGAATTATCGAGAGATTTTCAAGGGAAATGGACTTTCCTTCGAATTAAAGAGGTTTTCGAATTATCGAGGTTCGAATTATCGAGAGTCCACTGTGTCAGGACACACAATTACAGTGTTTTCAAAATTGTCTAACTTCTCCTTCTCTTTTAAAAGTTTTTAATATATGTATACAGTAGTAAATTTACACAATCATTTTCCTTTAAAATTAACAATTTGTTAATGGAAAGCCAAACTATTTGCTGTTCTGGGAGATTTTTTAGATAATTATGAAAAAGTAGCACTTTCACAAAACTGTATTTGCGCTGGTTCCTTTTTGCTAAATATGATCCATTTAGCAATCTGGCTCAAATCCATATGAATTCATCATCTAAACGGTATGAAGAAACTGAAGTAAATTGAAAGAAGCACTAACCTTGTTGATCCACTTTGTTCTTAACTCGCTTGTTGGCAATTCGACTTTGTAAATCTATACTAGGAAAATCAGTATCACGGTAGACAAACTCAGCTCGTTTCTCACTTTCTTTAGCTTTCCGCTTTTTCCACTCCAAAAGTTCAAAATGCAACTGATGAAGAATAAATCTATTCCAATTCTGATAAAAAAGAAGAAGAAAAGAAAGTTAGTTTCATAGAATGGGCCTGTTGCATGCAAGAGATACAGCCGCTCGCATAGACTTTATGGAGGTTAAATGACACGAAAATTACGATGGTCACATTAAAAAAGTCTGAAATACACTCCTTACTGCGCAATTTGCATTGTTAGGAACGCGCTTTTACAAATTTCCCGCGTCTGGGGGCAATTTTCTAATCACCGGAAACGAGCAAACGGTGGGCTCAGTGATTTCCGGAAGATGCCGAGTCGTTGTTGTTGTTGTTATTTTTTCCTTCAGTTTGTTTACAAACCCAACGTGATCTCTTATAGTGGTCCATATACGTTTTATGCGGTAACCAAATCGATCAACTTTTAAATATCCAACACAATCCTTCTACATTTCATTTCACAATATTACGAGCTTCGATTTTTAGGTTATGTTGTCAGTTTTAGTTGACCGGAAATAGCCGTGAGTTGCCGTTAATTATTTCCGTTAGAAAACTGCCCTCAGACGCGGGAAATTTGAAAAAGCGCGTTCCTATCAACGCAAATTGCGCAGTAAGGAGTGTATTTCAGACTTTTTCAATGTGACCATCGTAATTTTCGTGTCATTTAACCCCTAAAAAGTCTATTCGCATGGCTGTATCTCTTGCATGCAACAGGCCCATTTCAAATCAATGAGGTGTTACGGTCAGAGATAGGGATGATCTGGTCAGAAATCTGAAGACGTAATTGAGGCTATGAAATTGAGAAAATAATTTAAAATTTTAAGCTGAAGTAAGAAACCACTTAAGTAAATATTTTTTGTGCACATTATTCTTCACATGCCATAAATTGTGGAAATGAACAAGGTATTAGCAGGTTGATTTCTCTCAAGGTCAACTGACCCATTATGGTCTACTAGGGGCTTTACGGTTACTTCTTTTCTCATTTCAAACAAAATAGACCCAGGCTTGACAGATTCTGTTACAAAACTACTGAAGCTCCCATAAAAAGTAACGCCTATGGATCTATTTTTGTCATTTTCTGGAGAATTCAATTGTCTGACTGATGCCACTACCTTATACGACTCTACATTCCTACAGAGAAGAAAACTGGTCTTATTACTAAAATTCGCTTTTCATTTAAGTGTGAAAGATCACAGGTGTAACTTGGTCAAACTTACTTGAATTAGAGTGACTAAATTTGTTTTTTTCTTTAGTTCCAGGTTATTCTGATCAGGGAGAATTAAATTCAAGGCAGAGGCTTCATGAGCATTTCTCAATGCACGCAGGAAGTTGCCAGAATGACAAGGATATCCTGTTGAAAGTGTGAGCATGTGGAAGAGAAATCCTAATTCACAACAAAGACAAAATTCTGCTTGGCAAACGTGCGATAAAACAATCTGCCGAAGTTGCTCTGAAAAGTACAGGACCTATAAAAAAAAAGAAACAAATACAGTACAAAACTTGGTAGAAGTCATTTTCCAATGACATGAAATTGGCATTAAAAGTAGTCTGAAAGTTGAAAAATTCTATTTGCAAATGGAAACTATTCCGTAAGCTGAGCTACAAGGTCTAGATTTATCACCGGAAGAGGAAAATGTCGAAACAGGATATGAAATTTTTTTCGATTAATTACTGTTTCCAAAGCCTCACAGTTTAAAAGTCACACTTCACTCAGCTGAACTTACTCATTTCCATATAAGGCTGTTTAGCAAACGTTTTACCGTGTCAGCAACTTACCTGAATCATCGCATTGCAATAGGAATTAGGGAGGGTTGCTTCTAAGCCACTGAAATGAGTTTTGTTGAACTGCTCAAAGTCAAAATCTTCAGGGCCTGATTTCCAATACTTCATATCTAATTTACGGTATCGTTTCGGAATGGCCACAAATACAGGAGCACTATTTGCATCACCTTCCTTCAATGATGGATTTTGATCCATTGGGTTACCATTCCTATGAGCACTTTTGAAATCTTGTGTGTAAGGCACCTGAAACAGAGGTCAGAGAAAAACGCTCGTAAACATGATGAATATAATAATCTTCATTAAAAACACGTACACTTAATATCAAAGATGCAGCAAATTCCTAGCTTTCGTAAATTGAACACCTTCCGTTTTCCTACTTTATGGCAAGTAATGATTTTTTTTTTGGTTCTTCACTTTAAACTATATCAACATTGGAACGGAAGAAATGCGAATTTTGGTTGGCAGCTTTACAGACATTCCATCATAATTTACTTTTTAGGGTAAAGGTATTACAGCAAAAAACAAAACTTTGTCTACCCGCAAGGGGAGCGAGAAAGTAAAAAAAAAGAGAAAAAGACGGAGGAGGTAACCGTTTGGTTAGAAAATCTTAATTTCCGATTCTACCCACTATTTTCATCCCTTCTTCTTTCCTGGCGGTATCAGCCACCTGTTGCTCCGAGTTTTCATTCAGGTATTTTTGGTTGATTCCTGCTATTAAAGTTGGCTAATTCGACCTTTTTCTACTACTTCTGGCCGATGGCATCATCAGGATACCTGTTGACAATGTTATAAGGGCACCCGTTAACGATTTCATTGTGGTACTTGTTAACGATGTCATGGAAACACCCATTGATGATGTCATCAGGGCATATTTGATGTTAGTCATTGAGCCACCCATAGCTGACATCATGAGGGAACATTTCCGTTAAATATGAATTTGCCCTGGTAGATACAGTGTCAACTTATTTTCAGTGGCCTCTTTAATTTCAGGAAAGGCATACTGATGGTAAACTATAAAAGGTAATGATAATAGAGCCTTAAACACGAAAATCCATAATGTTTGCAGACCTGATTTCGTCGCTTGCTATGAGGGTTTGGGGCATAACCAATTGTGCCCTGCATTTTCATTGTGCGTATTATTTCAGGATCAATCGGAGGATGATGTCTGCAACATATAAACACACTGGTATTAGATTTTGACAACTTAAGAAATGAATCTCAAGCGGGTTTAACAAAAATTTCAAGATGTTAAACAAATATTGCTTGAAAATCGGGTTTCTGAAAGAATCTTTCAGGAAATGACAGTTCGAATGTGCATTTTGACATGATCAGTCTGTTTTTGCTGAGCATTAAAAAATGGAACAATATTCTAGCAATTTCTCTATCCGTATCTTGATGAGCATTTGCTAGGGGTACAGCATTACCTTACTCTTACCAGTTGACAAAATGACCCAGTGTCATTGTGACACATGAGTGTGTCACAATGACACATTTATTGAAACGTATTTGTGGACAGCAGATGCTTAACTTTTAAGGACATATGTAAGGAGTTCATTAGGAATGTTAGAAAGTACATTCACACCTCTCCCATGCATATTTCACTGAATCAATAGGTAAATACGAAAAATGCGTGCCTCAATTGCAACATTTAAAAATCTCTGATTACGTTTTACATTCCTCAAGGAAAACTGATCAAAATGCTTCCTGCAACTTTGTGTGATTTTTATTAGGAGCTAGGTGCTTTAGGCTGATTTTTAAAAAAGGATGAGAATGTTATTTACCTGTGAGTTTTCTTGACAAATTGTGAAGGCCAATCAGAGACTAAGGGAGCAGGCACAGGATACACTAACGGAATGGCTGCAAGCACAGCTAGTTCATCTGTTACGTTGATAGGAGGATACGTCTCAACAGGATCAGCGAATTCTGTTGGTCTCGATAAAGTGTTGATAATAGGGGTTTGTTTTGATGTAAAAACATGGAGCGACGCTGCTGAATCACCGATGGCTATTACTTGACATGATGTTGAAACATCAAAAGAGAGACAAAGAGAATCTGTCGCGTTCACCTGCAAAGTTAAACGAGGCTTTTGAAACAGAGTAAAGAGCAAATATAAGTTAAAAACACATGTACAATTATTAACAGCCTATAAACAGTAGTTTACGTAGAATCGTGAATGAGGTGTATTTTTTATTCCATTTTACAGGGTCGCCGCAGAATTTAGATTACGAATTGCCCTGACTGATTTTGGTATATTTCCTAGACAATAATTGAATCAGGGCGTGCAAAAACCGCTGATGTCCATTTTTCCAGTCTTCAGGTTTTTTGAGCTGATAATATTTTTAAAGAGTTGATAAAACCCTATAAGTAATGAAAGGACTTATTTTGGGATTAAGGTAAACCGGAGACGAGTATTAACGCCAATTTTATGGTTGCATCTAACTCCGAAAAGTATTATCAACTCAAAAAACTGAAGACTGGAAAAATGGACAACAGCGGTTTTTGCACGTCCCGATTCAATTGAAGGTATGCCAGATGGTTAAGAAGACATAAATTGAAACAGTTTTCAGGCAAAATTCGTTCTTAAAAACTGCAAACACATTCTAGAAAGCAAATAAAGGTGACTTAACAATTTTTCCCTGACATTTTTGTCATTTTCCCTAACATTTCCAGGTTTTCCCTGACTTTAAAATTCCGTGAGATTTCTCTGTTTTCCCTGTGTTCCTTGACTGTGGCAACCCTAACTAAAGAAACACATTTAATTTGATCTATTTGTGAAATTTTCATGAGTCACATAGATGTGCATTCTAATCAACTGGATAGTGGGATTTCTACTTTTTAGGGTACACAGAGGGGGTCCGAATAGACCATTTTTATAGGTGGAATATTGCACGCCCTCACAAGCATTAGTGAAACTGCTTTCAAAAAATTTAGGGTTACATAGTAATACCAAAGCCTACTCAAGTGCCAAACTCAATAAAACCATGATTTTTTAAAGGAGGCCAATTTTTTTTATTTATGACTCAATTGGATAAAATTAAGAAAGACAAACAGTGGTGCACTGCTAAAAATTGGGGAGAGGGGAAAACTACGCACTGCTCCTATCTAATTTTCAATTTAATTGGATAATTTAAAAGTTCATCATGAAACACAATTGCAAAACATTCGAAGTCCTGATTGCGTCGTACTCAATAAAATGATCCATTTACTGACGGAGCTTGATTCATTACCTGGAATAGGCTCACTTCTGGCTCAGAGAGCGGAACAGTATCGACTAGTTGAAGTTGACCCAGGCTTGAGACGACTGCTAATCGAGACGAAAACGATGGCATGAACCGCAGTAGCAATGGGTCAAGAAGAACTGGGATTGGAGAGACAGATCGCATCATTCGAATGTCAAACACCATGAGGAGACGATCAACAACTAAGCCTCCTTGTCTGAAAATAACAAAGTATCAGAAAAAAAAAAACAGAATGATTGATTTTTCTTTTCAAAATTTCACTCATGAATCAATAACATGATATTCAGTTTTGCCACAATTGTTGATTATTGAGACAGGTCCTCAAATTCGATGTCAATGGTGTTCATTTTCAAGAGAATTTTGACAACTATGCAAGCTTCGGCCGTTAGTCAACAAGGAATTAGGACATACATTTTGAGAGACCGTTTCCTTGTTCCTATGATGTTTTTTGCATTGTTTTTCCGCAAACGACTGGAAACTAATTTCCAAAATTTTCCATGCCACCATTATGAAAATATTTCAAAATTTTTCAATTCTTATGCCAGTTTAGTTCTTCTTATGCCAAAATATTTTCAAAACCAAGTTCCATTTAAGTTTCTTCATAGAGAACTGCAATACTAATTTTTCACAATTTTGAAACAGCAATTGACAATTGAACCTGCAGTTTTTGCAGAAATATTTCTTCTTTAATGCTTATTTTGAACAAGGTATTAAACCATTTTCTATTTGAAATTCTCAAGTTGCCCCCTGGCCTCCTAAGGAAGGGGGAGTCTCCGGTCTCATTAAGAAAATTCCCTCTTCATTACCACATTTGACTGCCACCCTGTTTTATTTAAGTGGTAAGATACATAAAAATTTTGAGGCTTCGGATTTCGCAAGAAATGAAACAGTGTTTCTATACATCGGTTTTGACCTTTTTATCAATGTTTAATTACTACCTAGTAACTTGGGATTTGCTGTTTCTATATCAGCTATTTAAAGTTCTTCTAAATTTGAAACATGTACCAATGTAAAAGATTCTTAATTACAAAACAAATTACCTGCTTGAAAATCCACATGTAACGAGGAGGTTACCATGAATATCGAAATCAGACAGGCTACCAGTGTGAGCTTCCAAGGAGTGTTCAACTTTCAAACTTAAAGGATCTCGCAACTGGATGATTCCTGAGGGGTCCCCGCAACAAACGTAACGATTACCATGCTGGCGCAAAATTGCACAACTCGACTCCTTGAGATCAATCTAGGAAAAAAATGGCTTATTTGGTAAAGTAACTGAAACTGAAGCATTACAAAATTTGTACTAAACTTTATGAGCGAAAGATTTTTTAGCACTACCATTTTACTGGAAAAAATGGATACACTAATACAAAACCTTTCCCCATTGATGGTGAAATATCTTCACAAAGCTCATTATTTAAAGTTTAGAATATTCTATAAGATAAGACAAGACCAAGGTGAAATGGAGTTCTTAGATTGGTCAATTTCCTTGTTTGTATGCATTTTACTCTCTATTAATATTTTTTTTCGGCTGAATAATAGACAAACTAAAGGCATCTCCTTGGTGACTGACAATCAGAAAATTATTCTGCACATTATTATTGAAGAAGACAAATAATCAGTGTACCGCAGTACAGCTCAAAAATGTTCAATTATGATCCTCCTTTGACGTCCTTGGATTCTGAGGAAAAGTTCCTCAGAATCAAAGCAAAGTTCTGTGGGCATTAAGATGATTTGTTCGAAGGGCTTTTCTAAGAGAGATAAGAAAAAACTTTTGATACTCCAATCCAAGGGCAACTTGAATGGGACAATGGTTCCTACTTTCACAGCTAAATAAATAAGACAACTGCCTACCTATGTAAATATCATTCTATTAATTGAAGGCGTGTTCTGAAAATCTCTGGGTTATGAACGAATTTCTACAGAAAAATAATGAGACAAATAAAATGATTCCACTTTTCATAATTTTATATTAGTAAAATTTGGTGAATTCTTTGGCTGAAGATCGAAGAGCATATGAATATGTATTTTTAACCAAATTGACATGATGTATCGACGGTGAAACTACCAAACCACGTATCTCGGTTTGCGACGTCGCAGACTTCCTGTCATACTTTATTTTTTAAATGAAAAACTACTTAACATCCAGTCTTGAAAACTTCTGTGATTTTTTCTCTTTGTGCGGAGAAAATTCTGTGAAAATTTCAAGGAATGATATTGATTTGGTCTACTTCAAAAAAATAAAATGTGAGCGTAGATTTTTAAACACCGCAAACGAGATACGTCGTTTGGTAGTTTCACCGTCGGTATGTGAGCAAGAATACTTTTTGAATGAGTGATACGTAATATGTTACGTCAAGCAATTAAACACAAAAGAACATACCAAATTAACCTCCTCTCCTCGAGCTAAATTAAACTCGACCAGTTTATGTTGATGACCACCCATGAGGATGGAGTCTCTGGCTTGGTGACTCAAAGGTAGAAAACATTGCATTTCATTTAAATTGTCTGAGCTGCAAAACAAAATAAAATTGAGAGAAATGTCTGCAATGCTTGGAGATAGTACTGGTTGTTGATTCAGTGGTTTTGATATTCAACCTGTATTACTTATATTCAAAGGTCAGGAGCCGGAGTGAGGTTCAATTACATAAACTTCACAGTGCATTTTACAATATTAGGGCTTGTACTATGAGAATGAAAGAGAACATCTCCAATATTCGAAGTTGGAGTGGAAGTGTAGTGGAAAGAAAGTATCTTGAGTCTGTAGGCAATTAAAAATGATATTTGATGCAATCTTTGCTTCGGATATTGCAGCAACGCTGACCTTTTTTGAAAGGCAAATTTTTTAAGTTTATGGCGGCAGAACTTAAAATAATGTATTAAGCCCCCAAAGGGCTAGTTGTAGACAAACAACATAGTTGTTAAAACAAAACAATGACGCTAGACTCTTGAAAGTTCTTCCTTTGAAGAGTGTTTCTGACGTCTGTGTATTGGAAAAGAAGAGAAGTAACTGACTTCATCAATTGTTTTTTTCATGCAACTTTTTACTGGTTTTTTTCCATTGGATAGACACAAATAGATCTGTATCCTATATTACGCCGAAAGACTTCAATATGACATAAAATGAGCATGTCTTTAAAATTTTGTAAAATCTGTTCACCGGTAATTTGGCTGGTGTAACAACTTCAGATTAACTCAAATTACTGCTAAGACTATGAATTATTTGTTAAAAAAATATAAAAACTATACTAACGAATGGGTGAAAATTGGAAGTCCTCGGCGAAGCTGACATCTCAATGAACTAGCGGTTAAAGCAAGTATTCCACAATCTACACTGCTGATGCAACGGACTTCTTCTGAATTGTGAACTCTAAAGGCAGAGTGTTTCTGCATGTCTGGTCCGTAATAAGAGGCAACATATCCCTGAAAAAATGTGTTAAACATTTTGAGAAGGGTAACCAAGAATCAGAACAGGCACTCAAAAGTGTACCTTGAGTATATAAGCAACGGAATGATCAGGAAAAAGAGTAGAGCTGCAAGATGTTGCTACTTTATTTTATGTGCTTCATAGATTTTAAAAGACAAGATGCTTGACTGAGGCAAAAATTTTATAAAATGTATCATTTTTTGACCTTTACTACTTACATTAGTGAAAAATGTTAAACAAAGTATGCAAAAAGACTCACCCTTTCCTTGCCAATCCACAACAGTTCTTCATGCAAGTCGAATGCAACAGCTGTGACACCATGCTGAGAGCAATTATCCGTCAATATAGTGTGAGATTCTGTGTATTCTGTGCAGAGTTCAAATTCCACTCCTCCCATCTGGTCGTAGTGCTGTACAGGAATGAACTCGTTCCCAGAAGACAGATCATAATTGACACCATCACCTCCTTCATTCTTCATGTAATTACCATACACTGAAATGAAGTATGTTTCTCAATTACTGAGTTAATTCTAAATTACGAGAGTCCGTTTCAGATTGCTTTTCCTCTTTTGCTGTACGCACAGGAAAGAGAATCGCTATCCTGCGCACACAGCAAGAGAGGAAAAGTAATCTGAGATGGGCTTTACTAACTCATTCTCTTTTGAAGTGTGACCTGTTGCGTTTCTGTTAGACTGCGTCCATATCAGTTTTCTGAATCCCTAAACTTTCATCCTTACACGCAGTTTACTCAAGAAATCTACTAAGCCGATGTTCATGATTTTTGCAGCTATTGACAGGGCCAGTTACGAAATACAGATCAACATGGGGGAAGGGGGATCTGAACCTGAGTAACAGGGGGGAAAGAGGCATTCAGGGCTGCACTACCTATTGCCAAAATGGATACTCGGCGCTCACGGTCAATTTTTTTAAAATGTAAGATGAAAAATCAACATGAGGTGGAATTTCATCATCCAAAATTCGTCACAAGACTACCAGCTGCAAAAGGTTACGTTCACAAGCTGCTCGTATTCTTATTCTCCTCTTGTTGCATTCAGAGTTGTAGGAATAGAAAATTGAAAACACCAGCCCCTCATCGAAATTTTTTCAATTGATGTCTGCTTAACTGTCTGTCCGTTCGATTACGCCGTCATGTATCTAAACATTGAGAGTGATGAAATCATCTGATATGGACACATCTACTTATCAGCTCCGATTAAACAGCTTGTGAAGCTGTGCTTGTCCTTATTCCAAGAGAGAAAACAGAAAATTAAACACTTACGCATCATTTGATCTGCACTGGAATTGAACTGCGGAAGTCCAGATGGTCGGAACTCCATTATGGAGAGAAGGTATTCCTGATAAATGTGAACTCTAGTACACCTTTGGCGTTCGAAAGTCAATTACTTATTTTTCATTTAAAAACATGGAATTTTTCATGAATATAAACTTGATAAACCCACAACACAACAGCTATCAACGTCATGTCAAAACAAACCTTCAAATTTTTCAAAGAGAGAGGAAGAGGGAAGGTTTAGCGTAGCAGACAAGTTGGAACCGTGAGCAAATGCTGATCACCATTGGCCAATAGGAGCGAGGGTACAACACGGCGCGAAGGTTGTTCAACGCTGTACATGACCCAACCATAGAATAAAGAGATGACCCAACTTTGCAACAGTAGCACACTGATTCGCTGATCACTGATCTGCTACGCTGCAAGATTGTGCGGTCATCATTATGGTGGTCTGTAATGCTGCATTACTTCAGCTTGCAGGAAAGGTGACTTGTTTAGATTCTATTAGCTGAAGCAACCTGACTGCAAGAATTTTCAAAACTATGCTCCAAGGCCACAACTCTCTACATATTATGTACCTACTCAATCTTGCAGTAAGTTCGCAATGAAAGTGACCGGCAGGGCCGGTTTGCAAGCTTGCTGTAAAGTTGCCACAACATTGTGTTCTGTTTGTTGAGTTCTTGCTGCAACTTTGTTACTTCAAAAGACTTGCTGCAAACTTGCCCCAGTCTTTCAAATGAGAAAAATAAGTTTTTAGCAAAATTGCATCCGAATCAAGATTGCGTCTTGAGTCATAACTTGAGATGAAAAGGACAAGCCCTCGGCACGGCGGTCGACATATGACACATATTAGCGCCTACAAGACTGCATGAATACTTCACCCATTGCGTCAAACACAGTGCGGTCAGGAGCGATTGGCGTGAAACGCGTAGCGCCTACAAGACTGCAGGAATACTTCACGCATTGCTCCAAACACAGTGCGACAAGTCCGGCGCAGCGGCGGAAGTTAAAATTATTAGACCACATTCATGTTTGTTCTTTCAATTTTTTGGTTCATTTATTATAAATGGAGGATCTTGTTCACACAGAGATATGTTTACGGAACTTAACTTTCGCGCAAAGTTCCGTGAAATTTTGCT